TCCAGCCATTAAGCTTGCCTGGACACTCGAACCGCTTGTTAATACATATGACGCCAGGTGGCGATGCTGACGAGGAGGCCATCCACGTCAGTCCTTTCTGTGGTTAGTGGATATTGGCGGGTAACCATCGAGTACCTCGCCGAAGTCCCAAAGCTGGTGCAAAATGGTTGACCTGATCGCGAACCTGGGTCAAGGCTGGCTTGGAATGAGCCCGAAGAGGAATTTCCTCCCTCTGGCCTTCCACATCAGCCCAGTTCCGTCAGGAAAATTGGTAGGTAGAGGAATTCGGGACATTCCGGGTCGTCTTCCAACAAATGTGCTGCATCTGCTTGCTCACCCCAAATTTCCTTCTCTCACAACTCAAGAAATCGATGCCAAGTTTGCTTTGCTATGTACATTGATCATCCAGACCAGACACCTCCGGGCGTGCTCCACATTCCAAGCATGCTCTGCTTGTAAGTTTTAACGGCTATGGGTCGTCATCCGCTTACAGCTAGTGCCTAGCGGGAACTCGTAGTAGCACGGGTGAGTAGTTGGTTGCTCGTAGTGCTCGTATCACGCAACGCTTGAACGGGCCTCTGGGTTGGCGAACGGCCGTCGGTTTCTCTTGCAACCTTACCTTTTTCGCATACAATGTGGCTCATGTTTTAGTGTACTTCCTGAGGGTATCCGTGCTGGCCGAAATTGGTAATGTTTTATTCCTTCACATTTGGTAAGCATACTCCTTTTTTCCACGCAATTGAACCGAACTATTCAAGCGGCATTAACGCTTCCGCGTTGCAAGGATATCAAATTCCCAACAGCAGGGATTTCCGGCAATGGGGATTCGAACGTAGACCTGCAAGCTTGCGTCGCTGCAGTGGGTAGTAGCTGATGGCGATTCGCTTTTGCAGTTCTCTAGGCGCCAAAGTTGCTGCTGAAGCGGCGAGAACTCTATCAAGCCGCCAAGCCGCCGCTGCCGCGTTGACTAACTCCCTCTTGTCCTGATGACTCAGTTGTGCTCATCATGCTGCGTGAAAATTTCACCACCATTCTAGCATGCGGAAGCTACCAGGATGTGGCGCGTCGACAAACGAGTTGGATCATCTCGCGTCAGAAACAACATGCTACGAGGTCTGCTGCGCGCGCGTCTCGTTCGTGCATAGTTGTGATAGTTGAGAGATAAATCAAGAAGCCCAGAAGTCGCATGAAAGTAGCCCTTTTCACCACCGCGACTACTGAGTTCAATCTTTCCACTTGGGTGATGATCCGAGTCGCCAAGGGCCCTTGCCCACGTCTCCGTCGACCCACGGAGACGATTTTGATGGCTACCCGAACGCAGCTAATACCAGCATGATTGCGTTCTGAAAGAATGGAGAGGAACGACCAACGGCGCGAGAGGTAGGCCATTGTGTGTCCACTATCCCCTTCTAATGACCAACAAACTGAGACACCAAGGACTCGAGAGGACAAACGAGAGTTCACAGCAAGCGAGAGACACAGCAAGCGAGGAATCACAGCAAGCGAGAGATCACAGCAAGTGAGAGACCACAGCACGTGAGAGATTGCAGCAATTGAACGATTACAGCAAGAGAGAGGTCGCAGCAACAGAGAGATCACATCAAGATAGATATCACAGCACGTGAGAAATTGCAGCACTCCAACGATTACAGCAAGAGAGAGGTCGCAGCAACAGAGATCACAGCAAGCATGAGATCACAACAACAACTACAACAGGTGAGAAATCACAGCACAAGCAATCATAACATGCCAGAGACCACAGCAAGTGAGATGTCAATACAACCGTGAGATCAACCTCTTACAGTGGACAGCATGCAAAGTTCCTGATATTCCTCAAAGACAAACAAAAAAGGGTTGCTCGCCTCTGTCAGATCTTCTGCTGTCATGCTACTTGCCCAATTCACCATCAGTTTGAACCGTGTGGATCTTAGTGACTCGTATCAATCTTATTTGGCAGAGCACACTGACAAAAAGAGCCCTGGGCCAGTGCACATATCCAGAAGCAGTGAATTGAAGCAACACTTCTTCAAATACGGCACTGACTGCGTCACCAGCAGTGGTGCCCTCTTGGTCATAGTCAAGGCCATTCCAGTGACCACTCCTTATGTGATCCCTGCAGTTAACACACTGCAGATTAGTGAGGCTTTGATGTGGACAAGGATACGAAGTGCAGGAGCAGTCTCACGTAGTCCTTATCACGTAGAAGCATGCACCTCTTGTTTGTTGTATATGTTATACGGTATCTCACACCTTCGGGGATGATGTGTAATGACGGGGCAGCTAGGATGTAGCATTCTTGAAATAAGAATGCTAACTACAGGCACAAAGAATTGCAGTTGTATGCAATGCATGTAAGCTTCACTAAGGTTGTTCAAGTTGGCGAAATATAGCCAATATAACGGAACTAGTCTGCCTGGTATGTAGAAGGCAGTAAAACCATCACATGGCAGGTACCGTATGGGAGTTACAGGAATTGGTGGTTGGTTGGTAAACCCCTGGTTCAAATAAACCGTAAATGCAAACGAAAAATGGTTAATGCATTGCTTTCTAGACGCAGAGGATCCAGTTATGGTAAAAAGTAGATTTAGGTGATTTTTTTTTGGCAATTTTTGAAAAGGCATATCTGTTATTGTGTTTGCATTTCGATTTCGTACACCCTCATTGCAGAGTGAAGTTATCGAGGCACCGCCACTGTTGCTGCGGTGTCATCATCACATGGCGAATCACCCAAGTTCGTTCAGGACGGGGCACCGTCCCGCCACCGCAGCTGCTGCTTGCTGCCGCATTTCCAAATCCCGATTCCTCCTGTACTCATGAGGAGATTCCCAAGAGTGGGAGCTGGGGAGGAGGGGAATCCTAGAGAGGAGAGACCTGCAGGTCCCGAATGTTACTCCATGTGTTCCCCCTTGAGTGACAAGCATCCACGAGCAAGAAATATGCATCTCGTGCACGAGCTGGCTTGATTTCTTTGCTATTAGCGAACGGATAGCGACGAAAGTCTTTGATTTTATGGCAGCCATGACTGCTGCACTGCCTGGAACAAGAGCTGAAGCGAGGATCGTCTCGCCGCCACAAAATGGTGCATCCGAGGCGAAGGGAAGTGGTAGTAACACGGCTTTCGCGTGGGCCCATCGCACGGCGAAAGCGTCGAAAAGAACGAAGGGAACCAAGGCAGCCAAAGGAAGGAAGGAGAGCGAGAGAAAGCGAGAAGCGGTCGATAGGAAGACTGCAGTGAAGGATCACCTGGTCGTTCTCGTTAACGGCGTGGCCGGAAGGTACGGATGTTCCGAAATGCGTAGAAGGTCTGGAACCGGAAGGCATGATGGAAGCACCGGAATGTATGAAAGACTTGAGAGTTGGCTGGAAGAATTTCCTTTTCAAGGGGAAGTGGTTTGTAGTCCTTTGAACAGACTGTTGCGAATCCGTTACAAAGTGGTTTGCGTGTTGTCCGGGATCAAGGAGTTTGAAGGTCCGACTACTTCTCCGTTTGAGTTTGTCAGTCCAGTTCTCACCCAGTCCCCATCACGACGACCTTTGAAGTCGAAATGACTTGGTGCCAGACTCACCAGTCCGACCACGTCTGATCCCTGCCTGCCGTGGACTGTCATTCGCGCAGTCCCATGAATCGGATTGGACCTACACCAAGGCACTTTGTTCAGACACATCCGTCTCGCTACTACCCCCCACCCCTTTTGCCTGCCGTGGATTGACGTGTACGCAGTCCCATGAATTGGACGTACACCAAAGCACAACTGGAGGCGCATGGGGATCCGCACCTACTCGTGCACAGTACGTTTCGGTTCATTGCCAGGCTAAATGGTGGACGGAGGATAGGTTGTGATAATACCAGAAAGCCTTTTTTACTTTCTTTCTTTCTCCCTTTTTCTTGTTTGTCGTGTTTTCCCCCTTTATGCTGCATAAAAGAACTGTGAATATTCGTGGGTATGTCACTGTGTTATGTTATGCCGTGCTATCACATGCCATGCCATGACCTGTCTCATCACGGCTAGGATACACAATCTCATGCTGTGCCATACCGTTTCATGTCATGGCGTTTAGCCATGCCATGTAACCAGCCATATCCAACCGTGCCATATCACCAGTCCATGTGACCTTGCCATTCTACCACACCATCTATCCATGCCGTGCCAGGCTGCGAGTCACTGAGGCGAACAGTGGACGGTGTTGATGTTGTCGGCAACCGCCTTGCAGACGAGGTCAGCTCTGAATGAGCCCATATCCGGAAACTACATTTTATCAGGACTTTCAAATGCATGATTATACAAATCATACTATTCTGCATTTCCATCTGCTGTCTGCTCTTCTCACTATGACCGTTTCTTCATCCGGCTTAACCCATCCTTTCACTCTAGGTCCTTGCAATGCATTCACAATGTAGCTGCTTACCGTTCCGAGTTGACTTTTGAGTCGACTCAAAAGTCAACCCTTGCAATGCATTCACAATGTAGCTGCTTACCGTTCCCCCCTCTCCCGCTTTTCCCCACCCCACCCCACCCCCCCTCTCCCTTTTCGGCCTCTCCCAGGTGAGCCAAGTGATTCACAGGAACCCTCAGCTGCGGCGGATCTCCTTCATTGCTCACTCGCTGGGCGGCGTCCTGTCCCGCTACGCCATTGCTCAGATGTACCAACCCGCTTGCCCTCCTGCGTCAGACGAACGTCCCTCAAATGAGCCTGCATCACGTGAACCTTCCTCAAACGAGCCTGCCTCACGTGAGCGTCCCTCACATGAGCCTTCCCCACATGAGCCTCCCTCACGCGAGAGCACAAGTGTCCCTTATGTAAGCAACCCTTCCGACAGCAACCACTCAGGTGACCACTTGCACGGGCAAGCGAGCCAACAGGCTCAATCAGAAAAAAACTGTTACTCGAGCTCCTCACGTACACCTCCGCCAGAGGAGCACTCACCAGATAACACCTTCCCCACATGCGCCTCCACCTCGTCGCTACCCTCCGATGCATCTTCCCTGCCGCGCCATCTCATGCCGAAATCACCAAGCGTATCGGTTCTGGATGTTCTGCGGAGGCAGGAGGAGCAGTCACAGCTGGCGGATTTGGGTTTCCCTCCCATGCTGCGTCTAGATGCGGAGGAGGAGCAGCAGCAGAATGGGGAGAGGCAGAGCCAGGGGCAGGGGAAGGAGCATGGCATTCCTGAAGAAGGTGGCAGGGTGGGGGAAAGGGAGAGGGACTTTGCAGCAGCAGAGAGTGAAGGTGAACGAACGAGAGAGTCAACAAGCAGAAACATTGATGGATGTTGCAATGTGCAGGGGGGAGAGGAGGAGGACGTGGAAGAGGAGGAGGAAGGAGAAGAAGTGGAGGAGGAGAAGGACGACGAGGAAGGGGGAGGGTCGTACCAGGGCCCGCGCATAGCAGGACTGGAGCCGATGAACTTTGTCACACTCGCTTCGCCACACCTGGGCTCGCGTGGAAAAGGGCATGTAAGCTCACCAGGCTTCCTTCCTGTCGCGTGTCCGCATGTCTAGTGTTTAGGCAGCTTGTAGGCTTGAGAAGAGAAAGGTGGAGGTCTGTCTGGGTCACACGGAGCATGGCTGGTTGAATGTCAGTAGCAGGAATGATCAGATAGTCTAATTTGTTCTCGGGCAGGTGCATGGCACGGGTGGAAGTGAAAATAATGCTGCTGAAAAGTTTTTTTTTTTTTTTGGTCTTTTTTTTCTACTTCTTTTCTTTTTCCCAGCTGCCCTTTCTGCCTGAGGTGAGTCGAGGGCGCCCATCCCGCTCCCTCCTCTCTTCCTCTCCATCCCCCCTGTTCAACCCCCCCATCCCATCCTGCCTTTTGCCCGTCCATCCACCCATCCACCCATCCACCCATCCCCCATCCACCCATCCCCCCATCCCACATGTCCAGTTGCCCTTTCTTCTCAAGGTGAGTCTCTTTGAGAAGGCGTCCGTGCCACTCGCACCGCTCTTCCTCGGCCGCTCCGCTCGCCACCTCTTCCTCACCGACGTCGACCCGCCTGTCAAAACAACCGACGTCGACCCTCCCGTCGAAACAACCGATGTCGGACCTCGAATTCATCCCAGTAATGTCAACCCGCAAATCAGCACCGCGGATGCTGACCCTCGCGTTGACTCTACTGGCGGCACAGAACCGCAAAGTGAAACCACCGGCACCAACGCTCGGATTGATACCACCAGTGCTGGTCGTCAACCAAGCACGTCTGGTGTTGATCCTCTCAGTGATGCCCTGGGTGCTGCTGTGGCTGGCGATATTCATGTAGACGCTGCGAAGGTTAACCCTTCTACGGGCCGTGTCGACCCTTTAAATGCCAAGTCTGGTAAATATTTACCTCTCAACACCAACACGACTCTTTCCTCCTCCGTTGATGCTGGTCATCCCTTTGCTGAACTTTCTGCTCAGCCAGCTGCCGAAGCTCTTGCTGTGGGTGCTGAGTCCAATTTGGGCCATGCAACTGCGAAGGAAAAAAAGCACCAGCAGCCGCATGGGATGGTGCGGTTGCATCGGCTGGGAAGCAGCCTGATTGACGTGACAAGGGTGGCAGCAGCAGAAGACCATTCAGAGGAGACAGCAGAGACAGGGGTTGGGAGTCGCAAGGAGAAACACCAGCTGCCTCTGCTGCTTCGCATGACTACAGACAACGAGGAAGGCCCCTTCTTGTACGTTTGTTCGGTTTCGGCTGCTCCCTGTCCTTTTGTTTTTCTGGCAGCTATTGGCTCATCTGCCTGTCCACTGAATTGAAGCAAACTGTATGGCGCTTAAAAAATAAAAGGCTGACTCATCCAGACTCTCCTATCTGGAACCTTTCCCTCTGCTTCATCTAACATTGGTGGATGCCTAGGTTAGGTGAAGCACGAAGCTGCACTTGGTCAGGCCATCGCTTCCAAGAGTCGAAACGTTGGCCAAAAAGATGTTTTCGAGCCAAACGTTGGCCAAAAAGATGTTTTCGAGCCAAACGTTGGCCAAAAAGATGTTTTCGAGCCAAACGTTGGCCGTCAGTCCCAAGGATCACAAGCGCATTACTGCGCCTTCCGTTTCCCATCGGTTCCGTGCGCCTTTGTGTTCCCCACTTCCCCCTTCCCCCTTTTCACCCCCTCAGGTCTGCTCTCGCTGCATTCAAGTACAGAGCTGCATACGCCAATGTCTTGGGGGATCGTAAGCACTCGCTGCATTCCTTTTGCTGCGTCGGATTCACCGCTGTAGCTTTCCTGTCATCGCCTTATCCCATTTGTTGTCCAGATTCACCCTCTTTGCTACCTCTTCGTTTTTCTTTGCACTGTATCACCTTTTCGCCCACTTCTCTCTTACCTTACCGCTCTTCACCCCTCCCCTTGCGTCCATCCTCGCATGCAGAAATGGTTGGCTGGCGAACAGCCTCGATCCGTCACCAGTGGGAGATGCCATTGGTGGGTTCGTCTCTCCTTCTTGCTCTTGCCACTTTAGCCTGCCTAATGAGTTGACTCACAACAAGCCATAAGTGTGTTCTTCCCCCCTGCTTTGTGATTTCACATTTCTGTGTTAGTGCGCCTTCCATATGTCAATCTTCGTTCCTGTCTTTTAGGTTCAGCCACGTGCTCTTCCCTGGGCATTCCACCTGCCTTCTACCCAGCCTCTTTTTCTTAGTTTTCCGTCTCCAATTTTTTAGGCGCCTAAAAAATCACCTGCTCTTCCCTGGGCATTCCACATCCCCTCTACGCAACCTCATCTTCTTTATATTTTCGTCTCCATTTGAGACCTCTGTAACCCCACCTCTGTAACCCCACTTCTTTTCTCCTCTTTTTTTGTGTCCTGCCAACTTATTAACTCCTCCTTCAAGCAAATTTCTGAACCCCAGTTTCTTTCGATTTTCCCTTCTTCTTCCCCCTTTTTCTGGCCGTCCACCACACCCTCCAGCCTGACGAGCTTCACGAGTTGCCAGACTATCGCTTCATTGTGAGAGTACAGCCCATGCCGTGCCAATCAGACACTCCAGTAGCGCAACCCGAACCAAGGGCGCCAGAGCCAAGGGCCCCAGGATGTCCTCCTGACACGGGTGTGGGAGGAGAGGAGAAAGGATGCCATGCCAACACATCGTCTCTGCACTTGGCTGCTTGTGATGCTTCTTCACATGCCAGTGCTGCAGCTGCTGCTGCTGTTGCTGCTGCACGTGGGGACACCTCAGGCGCTTTTGCAGTTGAAGCTTCCAATTTCGTGACAGGGAATGCCACAAGCGAAGCTTCAGGTGCTCCTCCAGGTGCTCCTTCAGGTGGTCCGTCAGGTGCTCCTTCAGGTGGTCCGTCAGGTGCTCCTTCAGGTGGTCCGTCTGATGGACCTGCAGCAGGTGACGCCCCAGAGCCCAAAGAGCACACCAATTTCTTTGCGCGCCTGAAGGGAAGGTGGAAAGTGGGGGGGGGAACAGCAGCAACTCCCGGCTTCGGACTTGGCTTTGGGTTCGGTTCCCCGCAGCAGCAGTTCCTGCCATTCAAACAGCAGCCACTGAAGCTGAAAGAGAAGGGGCATACCGAACAGGGTGAGGAAGGAGAGCAGGCCTTTGAGAACGATAAAAAATCACCTGATGATCCACCTGAGGGTCCACCTGAGGAGGGTGAGAAGGGGCGGTTGCAGCTGGTGCGTAGCATGAGTGAGGGTATGGTTCCCAGGGGTGCAAGTGGCAGGGGCAGCGGGAGTGGGGGCAGCAGTGGGGAAGGTAGTGGCAACAGCAGAACTGGACAAGGGGCGATGAAGAACGACATTGGGCATGGGAGCGATGAGGGATGGTGTGGCGAGGAGAATAAGGCGAGGAGAGCATCTATTGGTGGTCCTGCTGCTGCTGCTGCTGCTGCCGCTGCTGGTGGTGCTGGTGGTGCTGGTGCTGCCATGCTGCCACGTACTGCAGGGATAGCACCGAAGAAGCATAGCATTCAAATGCAGTGGGAAGGTGGGTTTCCTCTCCACGTCTCCGTTGATTGTCGAGTACAAAGCCGCCTCTTCACATCCACATCTCCCTTGGTTTGACTTGCTCAGCCACCAACCATCTGTGCCACTTTTTTCTCTTCTGCACCGGTCAGGTTTCCCCCTCTGAGAATCCATCTCACACATATCCCTGCTCTCCCGCCCCTCAGATGCCACAGTGGACAATTTCAACTCAACCGTGTCCAATGGGAGCAATGTGCTTTATAAATAAATCATGCTCCCTTGGCATACAACTCATGCGTCCCTCTCACGCCCCTCGTGCCCCTCCTGCCCCACAGACGCCATGGTGGACAATCTCAACCGTGTCCCGTGGGCTCAATGTTTTCAGAGGTATATCATGCCCCCTTTTGCATGCAACTCATGCGTCCCTCTCACGCCCCTATGCCCCTCCTGCCCTCCAGACGCCATGGTGGACAATCTCAACCGTGTCCCGTGGGCTCGCATCGATGTCAACTTTGCATCGTCACCACTTGCCTTCCTGGCTCACATCCTCATTCAGGTATTCCTTCCCCGCTCTCTCTTCATTCTCATCCGACTGCTTCTCCTTTGAAAATAGTTACATTGGAGTTGTGTGTCTGCTGCCCACAGGATGACTCATTGTTTGTCATCTGATGAGTGCGTTTCAATTGCATGCTGTTTGACAAAGCTCAAGGTTTTGTTCACCTGGAGGCGAGTGAAGCACAGCATGTGATGTGATTGTAAGCCCATGTTATGCCACTGGACAACCCCTCTACCCAATGGCCTCCAGGTGAACATCCCAACACTCAAGGCGCATGGAGCCAGTGTGATTCAGCATGTGATTGACAACTTTGTGGTGTAACACTACACTTCACTTGCAGCATCAGCAACGCCTACTGTATGACCAATGCTGCACAGAACACCATCCCTCCATTCTGTTCCATTTTCTAAACATGTAAAGTGAGAATTTGGTACCCGGGTGGCACACCACTTCTTCATGGTGTGAGACGCTCAGCTGGCTACTCACCAGCTGAGGAATGGTGGGCAATGTGGGTGTAATCAATTATGAATTTCTTGGTTTGTCGGTTTGCTTGTGCATGTGTATGATATGTTGTGACATTGTTTGTAAGCCAGTATCACCGACATATTATAGATGCTGCTCAAGTGTTGGGGAGTACTTAGCATGGCTGAGAAGTGTGTTATGGCAAGAGTTCATGTCTGAGTCAGTTGTTATGTACCGTACTCATGTCAGGATCACCTTATGGAACAAAGCAGGTTTTACATGGTGCAACTGGCAAATTTACAAAAAGGCATGACATCACACATTTGACGTCTCATGCGAAGGGTGTTGTTGATTTTGGGAGGAATACGGTAGTAGATGCCAAGCAGTGGCTTATATTGAGGCTTCTAGTCTTGGGAGGAGCGGAAGACACCAAAGGCAGTCAGTGCACCCGTTGCAGCCACAATCACCAGCGCCAGGGCCGGCAGAGGCGTGGGCACTCCAATCAGCTGGGCGGGCGAATTGGGGAGGAATGAGATTGGAGCGAGGTGAAAAGCGAGAGCTGAAGGCAGTAAATACCACCATGGCAGCCACAATTACCAGCGCCAAGGCAGGCAGCTGCCTAAAACTCCAGTCAAGTGGTGGGAGAGGTGAAATGAAGAGCGGTGAGAAATGGGCGAGTTATAAATGGAACAGAGAGTAGAGAGAGAAGGGGGTCGATACCAAAAAGGGACGTGATGAGAGCAGGGGAGATGAGGAAAGGGGCACATAATGAGATCTGCGGTTTAGAAGATATATCTCATGATCGTGCGTGTGAGTTTGATATCTACATTTCCCACAGGAACTCTTACGGCATCTTTTAGCCCGCTTTTGCAGAAGGGCTCAGATGCATTGCCTGTCTGTGTCGCCCGTCACCCACATCTGTCACATTTGAAGTGTTCATCTATTTATTACACTCATTTCAAGCAACCCCTCAATCACCTCGAGCAGCCCCTTGCCAATGGCCACCTCCACCACCAGAGTCCCGCCAAAACCCAACGTTGCCAGCGCGACACTTCAAGCCTCCTCGAAATTTGCGAAACACGACACCCATTCGCACAACGCACAACTAACTAACAACCCCTTGCTCACCTCGAGCAGCCCCTTGCCAGTAGCCACCTCCATCACCAGAGCTCCCACGAAGCCCATCATCGCCAGCCGCCCAACCCAGATGTCCACTCCGCCTCCGCCGCCGCCGGACCCGCCCTCGGACGCCATGGAGCGCACCGCCACGCCTCCCCGGCGGCTCGCGCCGAGACTGCTGGCTCGCGAGGCCGAGGTTCGCGCGCAGGCTTGGCGGAAGGCGGAGGACTGGGAGAGGGAAGACGACAGGCTCCTGAGCGGGAGAGCTGGAGGTGACGCGATAGTGGTGGGTGCGGGGGGAAAGGGTCGGATGAAGAGCGGGAAGCGGGACGTGGAAGGGATGAGAGGGAGGATACACTACCAGTAAGAACATGGATTCGTTTAGAGAGGAAAAAGTGCTACTGTTAATGTTGTGAGTGGAATCAAAACATTGATTCGTTTAGGAGGAAATCAAGTGATAGCAATTAAAAAGACGAGGAAAGGAAGTAGAGACAAGGCTATTCAGACACGGATCACATCACAAATGCGATCATACATCATGCCGACGGTATTGTTTCACCCTTCGACTCGTGAACGTGCGTACCTGGCACTGCTGATCGCGCTGCTTGTGACGTGGTCTCCGCCTGAAAAGGAACCAACATAACAGAAAAAATCTTGCTCAGATTTCTGAAATTGCTGAGATTTCCTGGTAACCTTTGGTAACAAGCATGCGATAACTGCCGCGGTCGTGCGGAACACGGGAAACACGAAAGAGGTGACAATGGCGAACGGACCTGGTAAGATAGGCACGGAGACGCCACAGAGGCAGCTGTATGAAGGGCGGTAGCCGCCATTGTGAAGTGAATGTGTTCGACGCTAAGGTTGCCTGGACAGAGTGATGCTGTGCTAGCGGAAACAACGGACTATGGAGGTGTCAGGAAACGGAAAAATGAGGCAGCCTGAACACAATGGCAGTGTGAGGAAAATTTCTAGGCTAACGGGATGCGTGAGGATGCGAGCAGGCTCGGGCCTGGGGACCTCGAGATTGGCTGACTTCAGGTCCAGGTGTGAAGAATATGGGGCACAGAGAAGTGGGTTTCTAGGCGGGGAAAAAGGAGGGCAAATGTTCATTTGTGCAACAATATATATGCTTCCATTGCGTTTCCCTCCTTCCAGTTCAATAAAGAAATTGTATTAGGCCTGCCCACGGCCTAGGGCAGAGGATGGTGGAAGTGCCTGACGATGCTTCGTTTGGAGCAGTGTTCCAGCGTGGCACAACAGCTGGATGCTTCTGCTACTGCCACGAAGCTGGCTATGATTCGACGTGAGATTGTAACGAGTTTTCCCGTTTCAGAAGAGCTGCAATTTGGTGTCGCTGATCCGTGTGGATCTGGCGCGAATGTAAAAACAAGTAGAATTAGAGCCTATCCTCGTTCGTGTGCGAACGAGGTGTAGCTTGTAAACCAAACGGTAACTGCTGTCATCCGATTGTCGGCTCTAGCCGATTCCAACCAATTGCGAGTTTCCCCGCCCTTCCTGGTCGTCATGTTCTTCGGGTACAGTACCTCCTCCATTCCCACTGTCAGCTGTCTTGCCTTTTCGCTTCCCTCGATCTCTCTTCGATTCTTCCAACAGGTGTGTCAAAGACTGCTGTCAGATCAGCCTGGGACGCATCATGCCTGCTTGAACATCTTGCTGTGTGGCATGAAGTCATGCTCGGAAACAGCATGATAATGGCTGCTTGGAATCGCTCGAACACAGCTTTTTGCAGCCATTAGGAACACACGAGACTTCTCATTATGCGTGTAGCACTTCGAAATGAATTGTGGTATTTCCGTTCTAGGCCGTCTATCCACACCAATTTCCATCGCCTAGCGTGTTCAGTGTGAAAGAATTTTCCTTCGTATCGGTATAGGAGGTTAAAGAGACAGTATCGTCCGACGTTTCGGCCATTATCAGACTAAATGGTATCACGCTGCTCGAAACCGTAGCACCAGCATTGCGGCTGTTTGACGTCTATCATTGCGTCAGTAAAACGATAAATTGGCAGCCATGGCGGACGATCAGTGGTTCCATGGTGCCGCGCTGTCAGACATCGGTCGGCCGTCGTCAGACCCGCCATCAGCGGCGTCAAGCACGGGTCCTCCTCCGCAAACCGGCCGAATGTCGGCCGGCACTCGCCGGACCGTCAAAGGTGCCGGCTCTGGCACTCCGTCAAAAGGAGCGGCAGGCGGGATGACGGCGGGGAAGAAACGAATGGCCGCGGTAACGGAAAAGGCCGTCGGGCTGAAGGATCGATTGCGGGTGAGTCCCAAGGCAGCTTAGGAAGGTGCACCTCCGGTTAGCCGCTTATAGAGCGGAGCTCATGAGTTTATGTGAGTTTATGGAAGCTTGTGGAATCTCGTGAAATCTATGGGACTTGATAACTCGTGGTTGGGAGCCCATTCTCCGCGCTCTGCAAGCTGTGCAACGTTCCAGCCGCTTCTTCAAACGCGAGCAATGTAGGGTTCTTTCTCCATCGGAGCGTGCTGCAGCGAACCCGCGCGTATCTTCCTGCACACCTCCTCCCCCCTCCATCCCGACCCTTTTTTCACACTTTCCGCCACTCCCCATCTCTCTCCGTCACTCGCCATCACTTCTCCGCCACTCCATGTCACTCTACGTCACTCCCAGTCACTCCTCGTTACTCTCCCGTTTCTCCCTGTCACTCCCCCGTCACTCCCCCGTCACTCCCCGTCACTTCCCCCCCACTCGTCACTCCCCGTCACTCCTCGCGACTCCTCGTCACTAACCGCCACTCCCCGCCACTAACCGCCACTCCCCGCCACTCCCTGTGTCGTTCAAGAAGGGTGCGTCTGTGATGCGCCGATCGCGTGTCATGTAAACTGCAACAGCGCGCCTCTGACAGGATCGCGCACCACCTTCCTCGTGTCCAACCCCCCTGTTCCCCGTTCCCATGGCCCCCCTTTCCCCCATCCGCCTTCTCCAATCTAGAAAAGGGACTTCTGAGTCGAGAATAAGTAGCCACTTATTGCCAACCCTAGCCCTCCGCTCTCCCCTCAATCTTTACAGCCCCCCACCCCACCCCCTCGCCCCCTCCCTTCTGACGCACCGTGCGCGGACAACAAGCGAGGGAGGAGGTGTTGGAATCGTGGCAGGACGCATGCGACGTGCAGGAGCAAGTTTCCAATTCTTCCGCCCTCCTCTCAACCACTCGAAAGCCCAACCCCCAATCCCCCACCCCCTTCCGCCCTCTCTCGTCAGCAAGCGAGGGAGGAGGTGCTGGAGCTGCGGCAGGAGCAAGTCCCCAACCCTACCGCCCTCCCCTCAACCTCTTCAAAACCCGAACCTCATTTCCCCCCCCATTCCCCCAGCAAGCGAGGGAGGAGGTGTTGGAGCTGAGGCAGGACGCGTGCGACATGCAGGAGTATGCCTCCGCCAAGCTTGCGCGCGCGCAGACGTACCTGCAGCTCCTGGCCAAGAAGGCCCACGGACTCGGTGCGTGCCCTGCATGCCTTTCCTCCCGTGCTTACACTCGGTGCTTTCCTTTCCTTTCCCCGCCACCACATGGCTTCGTTCCCTTGTCACATCACATGCATCTTACCACGCTCTTTTGGTTTGCCATCCCCCTCAGTCTCACCTTTCTATTCAGTTTCATCCATTTCAACTTGCCCACTATGTCCATCTTGACCTCCCCTATTCCTTACCTCCAACTGTTCTCGCTGCCTGTGCGCCATGTGTGGTGTGGTGGGAGTGCGTGCAGACCAGGTGGCACAGGAGGCGGAGTCAAAGGTAGCGCCTCTGAAGAAGGAGCGCCGGCGGCTCTTCAACAGCCTCATCCAGTCCAAAGGTCACCTCCCCCCCACCCACCAAATTCCTCTCCTAGAATGCCGCCTATCGCTCCCCTTGAATGCACTTGAACAGCCTCATCCAGTCATCATGTGACCTCCCAGCCAGCCAATCCCTTTCGTAGAATGCTACCTGTCACTCTAAAAAAAAGGCGCGGCAACAACCTCGCTCGGTCGAAAAGGAAACCTCCCATCCCATCTGAGGCACGGCTCTCTCGTCTCCACGCAGCTAGCATGTGGCATTGTGTGAACCCAGACGTCATCCTGTGCATCCCTCCTCGCACTCTCCTTCTCACACTCTCCCCTCCCCTCCTCTCCCCTCCCCACCTCTCCTCTCCTCTCGTCTGCTCTGCTCTCCTCTCGTCTGCTCTGCTCTCCTCTCCTCTCCTCTCCTCCTCTCCTCTCATCTGCTCTCCTCTCGTCTGCTCTCGTCTCCTCTCCTCTCCTCTCGTCTGCTCTCCACTCCTCGCCTCTCCTCTCCTTGCCTCTCCCCTCTTCGCCGCTTCTTCCTCTCCTCCTCTCCTCTTCTCTCCACTTCTCTGCTCTCCTTCCTCCACCAGGCAACATCCGAGTGGTGTGTCGCGTGCGCCCGGCATTCGAGCACGAGGATTCTCTCGCGCTCTCCTTCCCAGACGAAACCACCATCCGCATCAACCCCTCTGCGTCCGTCGCTGCCACTGCTTCAGCCAGTGCGGGCAGAGCAGGGTCTCCTGGGTCCTTGGGTGGTGGGGGTGGCAGCAGCGGGCTGGCAAAGAGGGACTATGAGCTGGATCACATTTATGGACCGCATGTGGGGCAAGGTGAGGGGTGATCATTAATGGGCCACATGTGGGGCAAGGTGAGGCGGTCGTACCGCACTGAATCGCATGCAGTGTCAAGGGTGTACATGAAGCAGTGCAAACGTGCCTGTGACCGCACTGAACCACTCTGTACCTCCTTGTTGTGCAGGCGATCTATTCGTGGACGCGGTGCAGCCCATGGTGCAGGCTGTGATGGACGGCTTCAACGCCTCCATCATCGCGTACGGGCAGAGCGGCTCGGGGAAGTCACACACCATGGTACGAGCATTGGGCTGGTGGGAGAAAAAGGTACATTGCCTGATTCGAATGCAGGCCAGATAGGCAGTTAGGAATTTTCGGAAGTAGATAAACAGGGGGGACGGAGGCGGAAGAAGAAAATGCATTGCTGCCCCTTTGCTGTTGCCCGCCTCCTCTCTGCATGGTTGACCTGGCGTTTGCTGAGATCTATGACCTTGCGAACATGACACAGCGGACATGCCACCCCCCACCCTCTCCCTTCCTCCCCCTTTGGCATTCCAAGAGGGCCTGTCCGACAGCAGGGGTATCTTTTACCGAGCGTTTGATGAGATCTATGGCCTCATACACTCGGGACTAATCCCCACACGACTCCTCCTTTCCTCCCCACCTCTTGTGATGAGTCGATTTTTGAGTCGACTCAAAAATCGACTCATCACACGGCTCCTCCTTTCCTCCCCACCTCACCTCTTGCGCCATTTCAGGAGGGCCCATCTCACGATCGCGGCGTCTTCTACCGAGCGTTTGATGAGATTTACGATCTTGCCAACTCAACCTACGCCCCCGCTGACAGCTACACCTTCCACGTCAGCGTGCTCGAGATGTTCAATGAGCAGGTGAGGAGGTGTGGAGGGAAGGAGAGGGTGGGGTTGGAGGGTTGAGAACAGGTGAGGGTGGAGATTTGGTGTAGGTGGCGGCGACGGGACGGGGGAGCTGTGAGGCAGGTAGTAGAGAGATCCACGACCTCGCCTACTCAACATACATACGCCCCTACTGACAGCTACTCCTTCCATGTTAGTGTGCTCGAGATGTTCAACGAGCAGGTGAGGAGGTGTAGAGGGGAGGAGGTGGGATATTTCTGAGTGTTTTCAAGGTATTTTTTAGAATGTTTTGAGAATTCTCAAAAATAGCCTGGGGCTCAGGGGGAACAGGGGCGGAGGGTGGTACAGATGTGCAGTGAGCAGGTGAGGAGGGGTGGGGGTGGGGTGGGGTGGGTTAGTTGAGTGGAGTGAAGAGAGCTGTGAGGCAGATAATTGAGATGTGAAACGAGCAGAGGGGTGGGCGAGCTGGATTTAGGGGCTGAGGGAACGGCTGATGCAGGAAAGTAGAGGAAGGGGACTGACAACGGAGGGGGGAGGGTTGCGTTTCATCGGTTCATCTCACCTCCGTCTTCCCCTTTTCTCCCGTTTCTCCCGTTGTGCGTGCCACAGCTGAGCGACCTGCTGGTGAACCCCTTGCAGGCCGGCCATGGGTCCTTGGGCAAGGTGGAACTCGTGCATGGGGGGCCGGGAGGAGGCAGCGGAGCAGCAGCAGGGGGAGGAGGAGCAGGCGCAGCAGGAGGAGCAGGAGTAGGAGGGGGTGTGGGGGGGGTGGGGAGAGGTGGAGGTGCGGGGAGTGAGGGAGGAGGCGGTGAGCAACCCGATGGAGTATGCCAAGGTGGTCAAGACAGCTCTGCAGCACCGGGCGGCAGGGGGAGGTGCATCTGGGGGAGGTGGGCTCGTTGGCGACAGCAAGGAGCGCAACAAGCTCTCCCACTTGTGAGTCTCTTCACTTGCCGGCTCTTGTAAGCTCTAAGCTCCTCTGCCGTGCTTATAGGCTCTTTTGCCCCTCCTCCCCGGGATAGTACTGCACGCACACCACAACTACCCGGTGTATGGCCAAGGAGCCGATTGCTAATGGCAGACCCTTTTTTTCAACCCCCCCGCCAACTCCCCCCCTTCCCCCCCTGTGACTGCACCCCAGGGTGGTGATAGTGCGAGTGCATCACGGCGACCCAGTGACAGGAGAGCAGCAGAGCAGCAAGCTGCTGCTGGCGGATCTCGCCTCCAGCGAGCGCCTCCTCCGCCTCATCCAACCCTCCGGCCATCCACCGTCCCACTGGCCGCTCTGTGTGTGGCTGCACCTCAGGGTGGTGATACTAGTGCACGTGATGGCCGAGAAGCTGATCGCAAATGGCATACCCTGCCCCCTCCACCCCGACCAACACTCCCTCTCGCCCTCTGAATCCCCACCAGGGTGGTGATAGTGCGAGTGCATCACGACGACCTGGTGACAGGAGAGCAGCAGGACAGCAAGCTGCTGCTGGCAACTAACTACCCCATGACCCCCCATGCTCCACCACCTTCTGTTACCTCGTTTTGAACCCTCCCAGGGGTGGTGATTGTGCGAGTGCATCACGACGGCCCAGTGACAGGCGAGCAGCAGGACAGCAAGCTGCTGCTGGCGGATCACACCCACCCCTCCCCCCCTCCCCCCTTTCCCCCCTTTCCCCCTTCACTGTACACACCAGGGTGGTGATAGTGCGAGTGCATCATGACGACCCAGTGACAGGAGAGCAGCAGGACAGCAAGCTGCTGCTGGCGGATCTCGCCTCCAGCGAGCGCCTCCTCGCCTCCTCCTCTGCCTCGGGGGACCGCCTCACCGCCTCGCTGCACGTGCAGAAATCCTTCTCAGCGTACGATAATGTTGGTTGATGGGGTGGGTTGAGGTGGGGTGGGGTGGGGTGGGGTGGGGTGGGATGGGTTGATGTGTCAAGTTCTCTGTGGTATGGTCTGTGCTGCTCATACATCCTCCTCCGCCTCGGGGGATCGCCTCACCGCCTCGCTGCACGTGCAGAAGTCCTTCTCAGCATACGGTGCTGTTACTGGGTGGGGAGTAGAGTTCTCTTTGATATGTCGTGTGCTGTTCAAGCATCCTCCTCCGCCTCGCCTCGGGGGACAGGCTCACTGCCCCGCTGCATGTGCAGAAGTCCTTCTCAGCGTACGGTGCTGCTGAGTCCTTCTTAATTGATTGTTTGCTGTTCTGAAGTCTTTCTCAGCGTACAATGCATGCGTTCTCGGCGTGTCGTGTTGTGTTGAGTCCTTGCGCGGCTGTGCTGTTCAACCTGCAGGCTGGGCGACTGTCTGTCTGCACTCACGGGCAAGCGTCCCACCGTGCCGTACGGCAACTCCAAGCTCACCATGCTGCTCTCCGACTGCCTCGGTACGTAGGGGGATGCCTTGGTGCATGGTCCAACCAATACTTTTTATGAGAATTCTCTGTTATATGATGCAATTGCCTCCAAGCTCACCACGGTGCTCTCTGACTGCCTCAGTATGCTGTTTCAGCGTGCATTGATGCGTGACCCTGTACCTCTTGTGTTTTGAGTCGACTCAAAACACACATTGATGCGTGACCCTGTACCTCTTGAGAATCTCCAAATACAAGGTACAGGCGTGGCGTTCCAGTGCTTTTCTGGGCCGTAGTTTTTCCCAGTTCCCATGCAAGGTGTAGCGCATGCCTCTAGTGCCAGGTCCTCCCATCCCGTGCCATGCCAGCATCCTCTGTGAAAGACGCTTGGATTAGAATGTTTGTGCCTGTGCTTCTCCTCTTCCTCACGTTTTTGAGAATTCTCAAAAACCAGCTGGATTAGAATGTTTATGCCTGTGCTTCTCCTCTTCCTCACGTTCCCCCCCTTCACACTCTCCCTCTCTTTTAAACCGGCAGGCGGTGAGGCCAAGCTGCCAGGTGTAAACCCGAGTCACTACCACGGCTCTCAGGTTGAAAACACTGGCTCAGGAGGTCTACCCTCACCCTCCCGCCTCTCCCTCCCTTCCCTGTATGTACGGCCACCAGGCGGCGGGGCCAAGACGGTGGTGGTGGTGACGTGCAGCCCGTCAGTGAGGGACGCTTAGAATCAGTGCGCCCTCACGTTCCCTCTCTCCTCGCTATCCTCCCGTCTCCTTTCTCCCTTGCACCACCAGGCGGTGGGGCCAAGACGGTGGTTGTGGTGACGTGCAGCCCGTCAATGCCCGGATGTGGCAGAGTCGGTGGCTAAGCCCGTCCGCATCCCCACTTGTGTCTACCTCCTCTCTCTCCTCCTCCCTCACCTTGCCAGGAGGTGAGGCCAAGACGGTGATGGTGGTGACGTGCAGCCCGTCCGTGAAGGACGTGGCAGAGTCGGCTCTCTCGCTGGCCTTTGCTGCCCGCTCGCGCAACTCCGAGCTCAGCCTCGGCACTCGTGACACCATCAAGAAGTGGCGCGACATGGTGGGTCCGTTGGGGTTGGGCATAGTGTGTGGGTGGGTGGGTGAGTGGCCGGGCGGTTCAGCCTGTGACAGCTTTGAGAGGCTGTGACCTGAGGGAGGTGTTTGAGAGTGAGAGGCGGGTGGCATGGGCGATGGAGCGCGGAAGTGCTGTAACGCGCTGAAGAGCCGCGTTCTTGTATCCTCCCTTTCTCCCCATCCTTTCAGGCGACTGACGCATGGAGGGAGGTGTTTAAGAGCGAGAGGCAGACAGCAGAGGCGCAGCAGGAGCTGCTGCTGCTGCTGCTGCTGCCATATGTGTTGAGTTTCACCGTGATTTCCTCCCCCTCTCCCCCCCCATCTTTCCTCCCCAGGCGAATGATGCAAGGAGGGAGGTGTTTGAGAGCGAGAGGCAGACAGCAGAGGTGCAGCAGGAGGTGCTGCGGCTGAAGGACGCCCTAAGGGCGAGCGAGCAGACGGGGTGTGTGCTGCTCACCGAGCTGCAACGCGCCTGGGCCCAGGCTGGCCTGGTGGAGGCGCAGCACCACGCTGAAGTGGAGCGGCTCATGGTGAGAACGGGAGTAGGGAGAGGGTTTGAGGGAGAATAGGGTGGGTAAGCATTCATGTGTGAGTGAAGGTATGGGCCCAGGCTGGCCTGGTGGAGCCTCAACACCACACTGAAGTGGAGCGGCTCATGGTGAGCCGGGGGGGGGGGGGGGGGCGGGGAGGAAGAGGGTGTGGATGGGTGAAAGTGAAGGACAGACAGACGTAATGTTTCGTCGTAATCCTCCTGGGCTCAGGCTGGAAAGGTGGTGGAGAAGGGGAGGGCAAGGCTGGAAAGGAGGAGAAGAGGAAGGAAGGATGTGTGTGTGAGTGTCTGGGTATGGCCCTATGCCTTGACATCCTCTCTCTAAGACCATGATGCTGCAGGGTGTTTTTGAGAATTCTCAAAAACACCCTGCAGCATCATGGCTCTGTGCCTTGACATCCTCTATCTGAGCTTGTGTTCACTTCCCCGTGTTTCCCTCCCTCTGCTTGCAGGCTGAGGTGGCAGCAGGGGTGGAGGCACAGCGGCGGATGGAGGAGGAGTGGGAGACTCGAGCAGTGCTGGAGGGGGCTAAGACCGTGAGGGAGCACGAGGAGGAGATGGAGCGCGTGCAGCAGCAACACATTGCGGAGATAGAGGCGTACAAGGTGATGCAGAGGGGTGCAAGGTGATGCAGAGGGGTGCGATGTGATGCAGAGGGGTGCAAGGTGATGCAGAGGGGTGCAAGGTGATGCAGAGGGGCGCAAGGTGACGCAGAGGGGTGCAAGGTGATGTAGAGGCGTGCAAGGTGATATAGAGGGAGGTGATATGGAGGCGTACGTGGTGATATGGAGGCGTACGTGGTGATATAGAGGCGTACGTGGTGATATGGAGGCGTACGTGGTGATATAGAGGCGTAATGGGAAGTGGCAGCCTAAATGCCAGCAGCAATGGAAAGCATCTCGCTTTCTTTTCCAAGTTCGTCCTCTTGCACCTCTCTTTCTCTAACCCCCTCCACTCCTTCCCCCCCACAGGTCCAAGTGGAGCAGCTGCACGGGCGGCTGGCAGAAGCAGCCGAAATGGCGGCGACGGTGGCGGCACTGCGCCGCCCGCAGGAGGATTCAGCGGAGGTGGCGGAGCTGCGGCAGCGGTATGAAGCAGCGGTGCAGAAGATGACAGCTTATAAGAACGAGCTGGAGAAGAGTGAAGCGCTCACCAGGGTGTGTATGGGCCACCGGGGTATGTGAGGGTGAGGAATGCCTGTTGGGCCTTAGAGGGTTGGGGGTGGGAACCTGGAAGGCAGGCAGGCTGGACTGGATGCCTGCAGCGGGAGAGCGACTTGAGTGCGGCGGCGGTACGAAGCAGCAGTGCAGAAAATGACGGCGTACAAGAATGATGCCACCAGAGTATGCATGGATCGGGGATGCCTGTTGAGCATTGGGAGGGGTAGAAGTTGGAAGCTTTTGAGTCGACTCAAAAGTCACCTGTTGAGCATTGGGAGGGGTGGAAGCTGGAAGCTGTGGCTCTCTCCCTGCAGTTGGAAGCTGGAAGGCGGCTGGATGTTTTGGTTGCGTACAGGGAGAGAGCCACTGCAGTGCAGGGAGAGAGCCACTGCAGTGCAGGGAGAGAGCCACTGCAGTGCAGGGAGAGAGCCACTGCAGTGCAGGGAGAGAGCCACTGCAGTGCAGGGAGAGAGCCACTGCAGTGCAGGGAGAGAGCCACTGCAGTGCAGGGAGAGAGCCACTGCAGTGCAGGGAGAGAGCCACTGCAGTGCAGGGAGAGAGCCACTGCAGTGCAGGGAGAGAGCCACTGCAGTGCAGGGAGAGAGCCACTGCAGTGCAGGGAGAGAGCCACTGCAGTGCAGGGAGAGAGCCACTGCAGTGCAGCGCTGTGAGGTAGTGTTCAAGAGGGAGCTATGTTGATGCTACTTTTGAGAATTTTTCAAAAGTAGCATGAACATAGCTGGAGAAGAACAAAGCGCTCACCAGGGTTAGTTGCTGCTGCTCACGCTGAGAGGTTGAACTTCGGAGTCTGTGGCAAGAGAACAGTTCAGCACAGACATGCACAAGAATGTTATGCAAACTGCAAAAAGTCTTACTCATGACTGGTAGACTTTGGAGTCTGTGGGAAGAGCTAGACGTTTCTACAGAAGCTGGGGGTTGTGTGTGTTTGCAGTAGTGCATAGGTTGAGGAGCTATGGCATGGCAGCGGCTAAGTTGGAATATACGCTTAACACCTTAAGCGTACAGCGTATGTACGCTAGCGTACACACGCTATCCACTAGCGAATACGCTATACGCTCTTAGATTTTTTTAGGGCTGCCCGAAAAAAAATTCGCAAAAAAGATGCGGATTTCCTAGGTGAGCATTTCGCCGTAGTCGAAATTCAAATCCGCGGTCCAGGCAAACGGGGATCTGACGAAGTCGTCAGGCAAATGTTGAATTTCAGATCCCATCTAGGCATTGAAATCCATCCCTTCTACCGCATTGAACCCCACTTTATCTACAAACTCCAACCTGTCAAAATTAACCCCCCAACAAATCTCGCGGTACTTACCAGCCAGCCCTGTTGGCTAACCCTAACTCGTCATTTGGTTCCCGCTTTCACCAGAGTTCACTCACGCTACTTCGCTTTCTAGCTATTATGTCTACTCCACCTCCCATTGCATTCGGCATTCGGATTCAGGATTATGCAAGGGCAAGCCTTAGTGAGAATAGGGAGTACTTTTATTTCACCCTGCCCGGAAAGTTTTTTCTCTGCCCGAAAAAGCGTATCTCCAAAACGAACCCCTAAGCGGATAGCGTATGTACGTTAGCGTATATACGATACGCGAATATACGCTGTACGCGTATATTCCAACTTAGGGCAGCGGTATGAGAACAAGCTGGAGAAGAGAGACGCGATCACTGGGTGGGACGGCAGAACTGGCGGCCTGCTATCTCTCGCCTGGAGATCACAGGGTGCGTCTGAACGTCTCTTCCCAGTTCCCTCAAGTCTAACCCGTTCCCCTCCCCCACCTCCCTTCCCTCTCCTTCCTCCCCCCCACCACCCTTCTTCCCCTGTTTTTTAGGAGCTGAATGCGGAGAATGCCAGTCTGCTGTCTCGCCTCGAGGCCACCAACAGTGCACTGGTGAGCTTTCGCCCAGGCTGGATTTGTCTGAGGTTGACTAAGGTTGTCTTAGTAGAATCACTTTGTGGGCATTCCCCGAGGGGTTCTAATCCAGTATAGCTGGTGGTGAGCTTTCAGAGCGCAGGCTGAACATTCAGTTCGCGTGGTCTACTCCACTCCATAGGTCTGAGAAACTCGACTCTTCAGGTGCTTCGGAACGAGTGTGCGTCCATGCTTTGAGATGCCTCAGAACTCTCTTGACACACCCCACCATCTCCCCTGCATGTCAACACAACTCCGCATCTCCCACTGAATCCAGTGCTATCCATTGCTCACTCTGTTCCTCCTCGTCCTTCTCTTCTTCTCCCCTCCAGGCTGCTCTCGAGAATTCCGCCCTCATGAAGGTGGACGCTCACGTCCAGGCTCAGGCTCAGGCACAGGCAGTCACTGCGAATGGCACAGCGGGACATGGGGATGGAGGCGCAGGGGCAGGCGACGGGACTGTGGTCCAGCAGCAGCAGCAGCAGCAGCAGCAGCAGCAGGGGCAGGGGAATGGAGGGAAGCAGGGGGTTCCTGCTGCCGCTGCCGCCGCTGCTGCTGCTGTTACGAGAGTGGGTGCAGGGGGGTTGCAGTCGCAGCAGCAGGTGGGGAGCGGTGGTGGGGAGTGGGAGAGGCGGAGGGACGAGGTGGTGGGGCGGATGAATAGGGTGATGGTGGATGCGCAGAGCGATGCTGCTGCTCTGGCTGAGGAGAGCAACGCGTGCTTGAGAGAGGTGCGTGGTGGAGAGCCATGGTGAGTGGTGGAGAGCGGTGGTGACTGGTGGATAGCAGAGGTTGATTGTGCGACCATGCCATTACGGGAGTGCACGAGCAACAGCATGCCCACACTAACTCCCACCCCCTTCCCCGATCTTGCTTCAAACCCCTCCTTCCCCCATCCGTCCACTACACTCTTCTCCGTCCTTGGCCAATCAGATGCTCACAGCTGTCGCCGCTTTGCCAGCTGGCAGCGAGGAGGAGGGGCGGGCAGCAGAGGAGGTGCGGGCGGCGGTGGTGGCGCTGCTGGCGTGGGCGCATTCCAAGGCGCTCTCTCTTGAATGGCCGTTCGTGTCGTGCGCCCGCCTGCTGCTGCTGCGCGTGCTGCGCTCCAAGTCAGCCGATGTGCAGTCCAGTAAAGTGAGTAGGGGGAGCGAAGTGAGTGTGGGGAGTGAAGTGAGGTGAGTGCGGAGGGGGCTTTTGAGGCTCCTCAAAAGCTGTCTGCTGCTGCTGCGTGTGCTGCGCTCCAAGTCAGCCAATGTGCAGTCCAGTAAAGTGAGTGTGGGGAGGAGGGGAAGAGGGGAGAGGGATGGGGGGGATGGTTGAGGTGCTTCAATAAGCCGCCTGCTGCTGCTGCGTGTGCTGCGCTCCAAGTCGGCTGATGTGCAGTCGACTAAACTGAGTGGGGGACAAGGGGGTAGCGGGCGGGGGGAACCAAAGGGGACTCAAATGAAGCATCAATCTCTCTCGCCTCCCCTCCCCTCCAATCCTCCCTCCCACCAGGTACCAGCAATCGAGCGGTTCCTGGAGAAAGCCCTACCGCAGCCGGCCAAGCCCGCCCTGCAGAAGAGCTCCACGTTTGCTCTCCCCACCACCGCCACCCCCGATCCTGGCTCCACCCTCCGCACGTTCCGCCTCGACCTCAAGCTGCCGGGGGGGGGGAAACAAGGGGGTCGACACGAGGACTCAAAGAAAGCATCAATCTTTCTTGCCTCTCCCTCCACTGTACCCTTCCCTCCCACCAGGTCCCGGCAATCGAGCGGTTTTTGGAGAAAGCCCTACCCCAGCCGGCCAAGCCCGCTCTGCAGAAGAGCTCCACGTTTGCTCTCCCCACCACCGCCACCCCCGATCCTGGCTCCACCCTCCGCACGTTCCGCCTCGACCTCAAGCTGCCGGGGGGGGGGGAAACAAGGGGGTCGACACGAGGACTCAAAGAAAGCATCAATCTTTCTTGCCTCTCCCTCCACTGTACCCTTCCCTCCCACCAGGTCCCGGCAATCGAGCGGTTTTTGGAGAAAGCCCTACCCCAGCCGGCCAAGCCCGCTCTGCAGAAGAGCTCCACCTTCGCACTGCCCACCACCGCCACCCCCGCGCCCGGCTCCACCCTCCGCACGTTCCGCCTCGACCTCAAGCTGCCGGGGGGGGACAAGGGGGCAGCGGGCGCGGGCGCAGGAGGTGGGGGGAGTGCGAGCATTGCGGACCGGCGGGGCAGTGCATCGTTCCGCCTGCCGTCGTTCCGAGCCGGTGGGAAGAAGGCCGCGGGCGCAGGAGGGAACTCTGCGGTTAAGGTGTGGTGGTCGTTGCTTGCTCTCCCCAATGCACATTCGCGTTTGAATTGTGTTTCCACTTGTTGGCACAAAGCATGACTTTTGAGAGTTATATAGAAAAAAAACGCTCTTTTGAGAATTCTGGAAGTGATTCAGATATACATGCATGCTGCTACTGTGGTGCTCCCGCACCTCCTACACTTGTAATCCGCCTGTTGCTGTCACACATGGCGCACAATCCCACGTGTCTATGCCCAACTCCTCTGAAGCACGCCTTTCTAAGGTTGAATCACACCCCGTGCACTGCTGAACCGCGCACACCACACCAGGTGTCAGAGGCACGGATCAGGAAGATCTGGCAGGAGGCAGCAGACCATGCCAAGGGTTATAAGGAGCTTCGAATCACACTCCCCTGAATCACACTCCTCTGAATCACACTCCTCTGAATCACACTCCTCTGAATCACACTCCTCTGAATCACACTCCTCTGAATCACACTCCTCTGACTCACACTCCTCTGAATCACACTCCTCTGAATCACACTCCTCTGAATCACACTCCTCTGAATCACACTCCCCTGAATCACACTCCCCTGAATCACACTCCTCTGAATCACACTCCTCTGAATCACACTCCTCTGAATCACACTCCTCTGAATCACACTCCTCTGAATCACACTCCTCTGAATCACACTCCTCTGAATCACACTCCTCTGAATTACACTCCTCTGACTCACACTCCTCTGCGTCACACCCCGTGCCGTGCAATGCCACACCACACACCAGGTGTCAGAGGCACGGATCAGGGAAATCCGGCAGGAGGCAGCAGACCACGCCAAGGGACACAAGGAGCTAGCCCTAGTGTTCGCTCACGTTGCTACCGCCAAACCCACCGCCACCACCACCACCACCCCGCTCTCCCACCCCTCCTCGCTCCCCGCTGACCTCATCGCCCGCGTCGCTGACGTCACCAGCCTGGAGCAGCGAGTGCTGCAGTGGATCGGATCGCAGTTTGGATTCTGGGCGGCGAGCGAGCCGCCCAGGGACGCGCAGGAGGACGTGGTGGCGGTGGCGGCGGCGGTGGTGGAGGGGTGGCGGGAGGGGCTGGGCACGTTCATGAGATACAGTGAGGATGCTCTGGGGCAGGTGCTGGCTGATTGGAGCTTCCGGCAATACCGGTCTCAACTGGGCAACCTCAAGGTGCGTGAGTAGAGTGCACTTGGTGTTGGATTGGCTGGTGAGTTAGCGGGAGGGGACTCGGCACGTCAATGCGGTACAGCATGCGGTACATCGAGGGCGCCTTGGGACAGGTGCTGGCGGATTGGAGCTTCAGACAGTACCGGTCTCAGTTGGGCAACCTCAAGGTGCGTCAATAGTGTGCACTGGGGCTGAGCACGTTAATGCGGTACAGCGAGGATGCTCTAGGGCAGGTGCTGGCTGACTGGAGCTTCAGTCAGCTGAGCAACCTCAAGGTGAGGTGCACGGGCAGAGTGCTCTAGGTATTGCAGAGGTGAGTGGGAGGGAGGGGCTGGGAACACTTATGCAGTACAGCGAGGACGCCTTGGGGCGGGTGCTGGCTGGCTGGAGCTTCAGACAGTAGAGGTCACAGCTGGGGAACCTCAAGGTTAGGTGCACGATGCATGCTGGTTTTTGAGAATTCTCAAAAACCAGCTCGATGCATCGGTACCCCTCTCTTGCATTGCTTCTCCGCGCTTCCTTCTCGTGCCATCCCATTGCACTCTCCTCGTGGGATGCAGCCGGGGGCGTGGGCTCGTCCCTGCTGGTGGAGGAAGCGGACGACATGGAGCATGTGATCAAGCTGCGCCTGGGCTTGAAGGCAGTGAGGCACAAGCTTTTCTTCTCCCTTTATCAATCCTCAATCTCTCCTTTGATGTTGCTTCTTCCCTCCTTGTGCAGGACGTGGGTTCCTCCTTGCTAGTGGAAGAGGCGGACGACATGGAGCATGTGATCAAGCTGCACCTGGGCTTGAAGGCAGTGAGGCACAACCTTTTCTTCTCCCTTTATCAATCCTCAATCTCTCCTTTGATGTTGCTTCTTCCCTCCTTGTGCAGGACGTGGGTTCCTCCTTGCTAGTGGAAGAGGCGGACGACATGGAGCATGTGATCAAGCTGCGGATAAGTTTAGTGGAGGTAGTCAGATATACGTTTCCCCTCACCACCTTCTTTCGTCCCATCCCATGTCAACCCCTCTTTAGGACGTGGGCTCGTCCCTACTGGTGGAGGAAGCGGACGACATGGAGCATGTGATCAAGCTGCGTCTGGGCCTTGAGGCAGTGAGGCACAAGCTTTCCTTCCCTCCTGTTTCAAATCCCTCTCTCCCTTGATGTGGCTTGCACAGGACGTGGGCTCGTCCCTACTGGTGGAGGAGGCGGACGACATGGAGCATGTGATCAAGCTGCGCCTGGGCCTTGAGGCCGTGAGGCACAAGCTTTCCTTCCCTCCTGTTTCAAATCCCTCTCTCCCTTGATTTGGCTTGTACAGGACGTGGGCTCGTCCCTATTGGTGGAGGAGGCGGACGACATGGAGCATGTGATCAAGCTGCGCCTGGGCCTTGAGGCCGTGAGGCACAAGCTTTCCTTCCCTCCTGTTTCAAATCCCTCTCTCCCTTGATTTGGCTTGTACAGGACGTGGGCTCGTCCCTATTGGTGGAGGAGGCGGACGACATGGAGCATGTGATCAAGCTGCGCCTGGGCCTTGAGGCCGTGAGGCACAAGCTTTCCTTCCCTCCTGTTTCAAATCCCTCTCTCCCTTGATTTGGCTTGTACAGGACGTGGGCTCGTCCCTATTGGTGGAGGAGGCGGACGACATGGAGCATGTGATCAAGCTGCGCCTGGGCCTTGAGGCTGTGAGGCACAAGCGCGCCAAGCTGCTGAGGGATGTGGCAGCCGATGCTTCCCTGGGGGCGCACAGGGAGGAGCTGCTGGAGGGGCAGAAGCGGTGGGAGGCGGAGGGCGGTGTCAAGGAGGAGAGCAGAATTGGGTCTCTCGCTGCCCTTGAGAAGATTTTCCGTGCATGTCAGGTGGGTGAGAGAGTTGGTGAGAGGGTGGGTGAGAGAGTTGGTGAGAGGGTGGGTGAGAGAGTTGGTGAGAGGGTGGATGAGAGAGTTGGTGAGAGGGTGGGTGAGAGAGTTGGTGAGAGGGTGGGTGAGAGAGTTGGTGAGAGGGTGGGTGAGAGAGTTGGTGAGAGGGTGGGTGAGAGAGTTGGTGAGAGGGTGGGTGAGAGAGTTGGTGAGAGGGTGGGTGAGAGAGTTGGTGAGAGGGTGGGTGAGAGAGTTGGTGAGAGGGTGGGTGAGAGAGTTGGTGAGAGGGTGGGTGAGAGAGTTGGTGAGAGATTCTGTGTTTGCCAGGTGGGTAAGTGGGTTTCCGAGCTTTAAGGGTGGGAGAGACAGCTTGCCAAGTGAGGAAGAGGCGGGTGCGGTGCAGTAAGGTGCTGAGAGGCATGGCAGAGGATGCCTCAAAGGTGACTCGCGTTCACGGCACAGAGGGTTTCATCATGGGAGTTTTCACTTTGCAGAGCTCTCACAAGTCAACCCCTCTGCACTGCCTCCACACATCAGGACGCCATGGAAGCGCTCCCTCCCACAAGTCTCCCTCCCTGCCACCCCCCTCTGCCATCAGGACGCCATGGAAGCGCTCTCAGCCTCGCGACTTTTGAGTCGACGAGTCAACTTTTTGCAGAAGGGGGTGACTCAAAAGTCACTCCCCTCTGCCATCAGGACGCCATGGAAGCGCTCTCAGCCTCGCGCATGCCGCCAGACGAAGCGGTCCACAGAACACCACCTTGACTCCTGACAATATTCACGAGGCAAATGCCCCTCCGCTGCTCCCTCCCCACCCATTCCCCCCCCATTAGGACGCGATGGAAGCGCTGTCAGCCTCGCGCATGCCGGCAGACCAAGAGGTTAATGGCATGCGGGAGGGGCTGGCGAGGCAGCAGCGGGAGGAGTTGCCGGTGCTGGCAGGGCCAGACAAGATGGTGGGCGAGCAGATCATCGCTTATGCCCTGCAGTTCTTCCCCGTGAGTGCCGGGGTTGGGGGTTTGGGGGGTTCAGGGATCCTGGCTTTGTTGAGGGAGCAACAGCAGGGGCCGCCCTTGGGTGCTGGCAAGATGGTGGGCGAGCAGATCATCGCCTATGCCCTGCAGTTCTTCCCTTTTTTTCGTCCCAATCCTCGCTCCCTCGTGTCCCGTCTGCCTGCCTGCCTGTCTGTCTCCAGCCGGTTTCGGAAACCAGTGGTGCTGTCAGTGCGGCAGGTTCCCTCCCAGGTACACCGGGCTCTGCACACTCACACCAACACACCGACCACCACCAACACCACCAGCACCAACAGCAACAGCAAGCTCCACACACACACCCATCCCATACCGGCACCCACCATCCTCACCACCACCACCAGCACCACCAGCACCACGAGCAGCAGCAGCACAGCGGCAATCAGGAGCAGCAGGAGGGTGGTGGTCTCTCAAGGCGTCTCTTTCACGACGGTGAGCAGGCAGGCGCCCCGCCTGCTTCCCATGCCGGTGCTGCCTCCTCTCCTGCCCGACACTCCACCTCTTCTGCTGCTGGTACTGCTGCTGGTGCTGCTGCTGCAGCACACCACCCGTCCTCCCCGTCGCGCCACAGTGCCACTGGTTCCCCCTACCGCCGCCCGTCTTCCCCCTCGCGCCGCCCCTCCTCTCCCTCCCGCTCGTCCCTCTCCCAACTCGCACCGTCCCAAGGAGGCCCGGCACTGCAAGAGAGGGCAGGAGCAGGGGGGGCAGCAGCAGCAGGGAATGCAGGGGCAGGGGGTGCAGGAGCAGGGGGGAGCTCCCTGTGGAGTCAGGTGACAGGGCTGGTGGATGGGCTGGGGCGAGGCACGGGAGAGGGAGCAGATGGAGGAGTGGGAGAGGGATTAGGACGGGAAGGGGGAGGTGAGAGTGCTGCTGCTGCTGGCCTGTCTACGGAAGGGGAGAGGGTCGGTATGCCAGCCACAGCAGTAGGAGCAGGAGGCGCAGGGGCAGCAGCAGGAGGAGGAGGAGGAGGAGGGGCAGCAGCAGCAGGTAGTGTGGCGGCAAGGCAGGAGGAGGTGCGGAGGAGGGCGGAGCAGGAGGGGGTGAGAGAGTGGACGGCGGTGCAGCTGAACAGTGCGGAGGGGCCGCTTGTCATCAAGTGCGGCGCCACGCACCACCTCCAACTCGCCATTAAATATTCCTCCACTGCTGCCGACACTGCCGGTGGTGCTGGTGCTGGTGGTGCTGCTGCGTTTGCAGCTAAGACCACATCAGGGTCTCTCGAACCGGACACTCTTTCGGTCCTCCCCGACCCGTCCTCCCTCTCTGGGCTTTCTCTGGACCGGATCCGATCGGTTCTTTTGCCGCTCCTCCCTGCTCCCATCGTCCACGTCATCGTCGCCAAGTCAGCGAATGCCACGCGGGCGCGGTACGGCCGGATCCACTCCACCCTCGCCGCCCGCGTGCCGGTCCTACGTGGCGCGCCCAGCAGCACCGGCCCCGCCACGTCTCGCGCTGCGGAGTCGCCAACCACTGTCGCGCGGCCAACTGGCAGCTACAGTGCCGCGAGCACTCCCGGGCGGGGGGTTTCGTCTGGTGCGGGGTGGGGAGGCGGGGTGAAAGGAGGAAGGAGGAGCACGGGGGTAGGGGGCGTGGGGGGGTCGATAGGAGGGAGAGGGGATGTTGTAGAGCTGGAAGGGAGGAGCTGGTCTAGAGGGGCATCTCTTGCCAACTCAGTCGCTGCCACTCCCATTTCATCAAGCCCATTGCATGGGCCGTTACGAGGGGGAGGAGGGATGGTGGGAGGGAGTGTGCGCATGAGTCTAGATGCCGGTGCTGGCGGGGACGGGGGAGGAGGAGGCGGAGGAGGGGCGGGAGGGAAAGCCTTGAAGAAAAGTTCGAGCATGCATGAGTTTCCGGATGGCTTGTAGGGATGGATGCGTGCTGCGTGTATCCCTCACGCACCGTCAACTACTTCTGACGCGCCTCAAACCTGGAGGGAAGGTCGTGAAGAGGAGTCGAGTGTGCATTAGCTGCCAAGTGCCTTGTAGGGCGGATGTGTGCAGAGCAGCGTACCTCCCTCACACACTGTCAACTTTTGAGGCGCATCAACTATGGTGGGGTGGGGAGGCCATGAAGAAGAGGCTCGGCATGCATGAGCATTGAGCATCCCTCGATACAAAGCTGCTGGCTGGATGTCTTGTTGGGCGGGTGTGTGCATCCCTCGATACAGTACCGTACAAGTTGAATTGTTTGTCAGGTAGCGCTTGGCTTGGATTGTAGGTAACCTTTGTGTTGTAGGGTTATTCATCCATCCAAGCAATCATGACTGACCGATTATATACCTACTGTACCTCTGGGTGCTGTGAGGGCATGCCTGTAAGGCTGCTGTAGACTGAGTTTTGAGTGTACCTACGTAAGCGCAGCAACAATCAGCTACAGCATTTGCTTCTTTGGAGGTACCTTGAAATGGGGTCCCTGAAAGTAATTACCTGGTTACTTTCTTCCTGCGAAAACCTGGCTGAAATGGGGTCCCTCCCTGTCCTGTGATTAGGGAGCTGCATTGAATCCTGGTGTCAGATCATGGTGGTCTATTCCCAACAAAGTAACTGAAACATGAGGTCAATACTACTACCGTATACATTCTAGGGGAAAAAACAGCAAGATGTACACACAATCGCCCCAGCATCGACACCAGTGAAAAGCGAACTCATGAGAAACTCTTTCCAGGGACCTCCATCCAGCCTGCTGCTTCAACATCCCCACTCTTTCAACCGGCATTTCTACAGGCGGCTCTCTCTCGTCCCTTAGCGGTATCTACACACTCTCATCCCATCTAACATCCCCATGACTGCTCCCTAGGTGTGCCACAACGCCTTGCAAAGTGGGTCCTGAATCCTGATGCCCCAGCAGGTGTCATCAACGTTCAGAGTCTTCAGTGGTGTGTTCAGTGGAACGGGTCGACCACCAGGTGCAGGGGCTGACGCTCCTCCTCCTCGTCCTCCAGCAGACGCCGACCTGAGACAGGTGTGCAGTGCGGTGGGGAGTGGCACGTTCGGAAGAGGTGACTTGAGTCGACTAAATAGTCACCGGGTGTGCCCTCGGGCTTTGAGGACCTCATTTGTAGGGGTCAGACCACCAAATGCAATGGCTGATGCTCCTGCTCATCCTCCTCCAGTAGACGCCGCCGCCCTGAGAGCAAGGTGCAGGGCTAAGGAAGTGGATAAGGAGGGGCGGTGGATGGACAAAGGGGGAGGCTTCACTGAAAGCACAATCCAGCCAGGTAGCCCCAACAGCAGCCCAGAAGCAACACCAACAACAGACCCAGCAGCAGACCCAACAACAGGACCAACAACAGACCCAGCAGCAGACCCAACAACAGGACCAACAACAGACCTAGCAGCAGACCCAACAACAGGACCAACAACAGACCCAGCAGCAGACCCAACAACAGGACCAACAACAGACCCAGCAGCAGAAACTCTAGGGAGCAGAAACTCTAGGGAGCAGAGACTCTAGGGCAGCTCTTAAGTTGGCTCAGAACTCACCAGCATACGCCATGCATGCAATGAGAAGGAATGCAACGCCGTACAGCACGAGGTACCCCCCACCAGCACCCCCTGCGCCCACACCTGCACTTACTATGCACATCCACTATGGCTGCCTACAGTGCACATACCATGTCCCACGACTCACCAGCAAACGCCATGCAGGCAATGAGCAGGAAGGCAACGCCGTACAGCACAAGACAGCCCCCCCACCAGCAATCCCCTTGCCCAAACCGCATACACGACCCATCCACTCATTCCGCAATGCATGTCCTACAAACTCACCAGCATACGCCATGCAGGCAATGAGCAGGAAGGCAATCCCATACAGCACGAGGTATCCCCCCACCAGCAGCACCCCCTGCTTCCACACCGGCACTTACTGCACATCCACTATGCCTGCAATGCACTGCACATACCACGCCGCCCTACAACTCACCAGAATACGCCATGCATGCGATGAGCAGGAAAGCAATCCCATACAGCACGAGGTATCCTCCCACCAGCACCCCTCCCACCTGCACATGTCCCCCCCAACTCACCAGCATACGCCATGCATGCGATGAGCAGGAACGAGACTCCATACAGCACGAGGTATCCCCCCACCAGCACCCCGTGCGCCCACTTCGGCGTGTCGGCATCAAAGCCAAAATACGCCACCCCAGCCAGCCCAATCCCAACCACCGCCGTCACCACGAGCGCCACATAAGACGAAACGAGGCTCCAAAGGGCAGCGAGGGCCAGCTTAGAGAGCGCCTGGGCGGCGAGCCAGAGGGAGACGATGAGGAGGAAATGGTCCGATGGGGCTTGCAGCAGCCAGGCGCCAAAGGCTGCGTGCACTGCTGCGAGAAGGACAAGGGCAATGGCTCCTGGCGCTGTGAAGAGCACTAGCGCGTGTAACCCGGTTACCAGCCCCATGGCGATGAGCAGCCCGCCTGGTGGAGCGCAGAGAAAGCGGGGGAGACGGACAAGAGGACGGTTGTTTTTGAGACGTTTCAAAAAACACCCTCTCTACACGTGACGGACAAGAGGACGGTTGAAAGACACATCTGACTGAGACTCCGTGCATCACTGTCAAGCTGTGCAGGAGCATTTTCAGAAAGAGGGTGTGTTTCTGCACGTGTTCTCAGTTACAACTTGGAACATTAAATCCGCATGCCGATCCCACGAGCTCAATCAAGCAGGAGCACCACATCATCATCATCATCCAATGATGGAGCCGGAAATAGAACGCGCATTGGAAAGGAGAACAAACAGGACGGGGCTGCAGCGTTGCACGCACCTAGCAGGGGCTGCAGCGTTGCACGCACCTTGTTACGTACCACCGATTCGGCGCACGCACCTAGCAGGGGCTGCAGTGAGACATTAGGCACCACGGAGAGGGCGATGAGGGCGAGTCCTGCCAGCAGCACAGCTGCCCTTGGGATGAGAGGGACGGGAGGGATGGGATTGGACGGGAAGGGTTGGAGGAGAGAATGGGTGAAGGTAGATGAGACGTGTTGGAGCGACGAGAGGAACGCAGATGGATGGGAGGGATGTTATAGGGAGGAGGACCGGAGATGTTATCACTGGCAAGTCACAGGAGCAATCAGGCTGTAGCAACCTAGACCGTTCTCATCATACCCATCCAATACATGCCCAAGTAAAGAGCCAATTCCGGCCTCTACCCCCCAGGTTCCCGCCTCACCCATGCCATAGCACTGGTTGGAGGAGTGGAGTCGGCTCAGAGCCTCGTGGTCCAGCTCGCCTGAGAGCGGAGCACGCCCACACGCAAGTGACACCAGAGTAGGTGTCATACTCTATTCATTTGCTGCCACGTATTGAACCATGGCCTCTAAATGGGGTTCGATCAGAGCCTCATGGTCCAGCTCGCCTGAGAGCGGCCGCACGCCCACACGCAAGCGGAACACACTGTCCCGCTTCACCATCATGCCCGCCCATACCACAAGCACCACTAGCACCTCCAGCACTCGCCTCTCGCCTTACCCATGCCACCATCAGCACTCGCAGCTCGCCTTACCCAGCCCGTAGCACTGGTTGGAGGAGTGCAGGCGAGAGAGGGCTTCATGGTCCAGCTCCCCTGAAAGAGGCCGCACGCCCACGTGCAGGCGGAACACACTGTCAGGCTTCACCATCATGCCCGCCCGCGATATCGACACCGTCACCGCGCCTTCTGCCGCACCGGCGGCAGCGGCAGCAGCAGCTGCACCAGTGCCGCCTTCCCCAGCCTCGCGGCCCCACGCGCCCTGCCGCTGCGGCTCCTCTGTAGAGGAGAGCGGGAGGTGGATGGGGTGGGTCGTCCGAACTGCCGCCAGGTGGGGTGGCAGTGGCTGCAGCTGGGGGTGGGGCTGCTGGGGCTGCCCCTGAGGGTGCACCTGCGGCGGCTGGGGCTGCTGCGGCTGGGGGGGCGGGGGCTGCGCCTGGCGCTCCTTGGGCGGAGTGGGGTGCACGGGCTGCCCCAGCCCGGGGGGCTGCAGGTGGGGCGCGGGGATGGGCGGGGATGGCTGCCTTTCCCGCGGAAGCGTGCCCAGCGGGGGCGTGGGCTGCCTCTGGGGGCCTCCGCCCGCGCCCGCGCGCGGAGCCTCCGCGGAGGGGTGCGGCGGAGGGCGCGCGCCGCTCGCGAAGGGCGCAGGGGGAGGCGCCTCCGCGATTTCGCCGTGGCGGCCGATGCCCGTGGGGAGGCGGGTTTCGGATGTCGGGCCGAGCTCCTCCCTGACGCCTTTCCCGCGTTCCATGGGAGGGGAACTAGGCTTCTAAAATTCCCGTGCGTAGGGCAACTAGCCTAATAGCTGCTTCGCCGTAAGCGAAAGGGAGCGAAAGGGAGCAAAAGGGAGGGCGGACACTGCTGCAGCGAAGAGCAGAACGCGAGAGGACGAAATGACGGCAAGGACGGCTGTTATGAAAGGTGCAGGGATTTGCGTCTCTGTGTCAAACTGCGCGGGAGTCTGTGTGCGTGCTTTCCCCTCCCGGTGGCGGTCGGGCGAGGTCGGTCCAGGTTGCGGAGGTTCCAGATTGGCCACGCACGAGGGGGAAACTCTGGCGGAGATTAGACCTCCGTGCGAAGGGGGAGAGCATCAGACGGATAGTGGTTCCGCGGGAAGGGGGAGAACCCCAGCGGAGGTTGGACGCGCGGGAAGGAGGAACGGCTGGTGAAAAACGAGAGCACATCAGCTTGGGTTGTCGCCGGAAGGACATCGGTGTGACTTGCCGCCGTTGCCGCGATGGCGGCGCCGCGAAGCAGCCCCGGTCTGGCCGTGGCGAAGGCAGTTCGAGAGCATGGCGCTCGGCGGATGATTTGGGATCGGATGTATAGCTTGTGACGCGGAATGAGAGAGACATCTCCGTGAAGAGAAAACTGCCGTGTAGAGGGCGGAGGTTCGATAATTTTTGTATGTTTGCTCGTGCATGAAGCGCACTTGCATCGCGCATGCCGTGTGCATCACGGGCCTCTGAGCTGTTGCGATAGTGCGTCGCGCAGAACGTGTCGCGCGTCGGTGGGGCGAATAGCTTGCATGACGTGGCTTCGGCAGCTATGTGTCTGCTCTAGAGGAGGAGAATAGAGCTGATCAATGTTGACTCGACATAGGTGCTTGTGGACATGTTAACACAAACTATTGTTATCCCGAAAATGTGAAACTACCAAAGCAACTAACGATCAGGCAAGAGTAGAAAATGTTTAGGTTTTTTTTCTAATCACATTGGATGGCAAGAGTATAAAGCCGTTAGCTGTAAGGAAAATTCCTTTTCCTTACTTCGCATCCCTGCTCAACGCGTACATCACTGTAGCACCACAGTCAGCACCGTTACCACTCGCAACCCTCGCATCGACAATCCGCCCGCCACCTTCGCACATCGCACCCCGACCTCACGGCTCGGCGGGTAACCCGCGCTCCGGGCCTCCGCTTCGACACTTTTTCCCAACCTCAGTCCCCGACCCGTCGCGCGACAACCACAGTCCATTACGGTACCGTTACCACTGTAGTTTCGCTATATATTCTTTGCTCATGCCTTTGCTCATTGTACTCTTGCTTCGATAGTGCAATTCTCGTTCGTTCACTCAATTGCACTCGTAACATTAGCAAACAATATTCTCATTTCTCTAACTACAAATCGCATGTTTATCATATTATTCACATTATATCGTATGTATATCTTTAGCGTCTAGTGGTCTATTGTCAGGCGTATATAGGTAGGGATTTGAATTTAGGGTGACAGATTCTCTCTGCCGTGATGTCAGCATCGATAAGCCACGGCAATTGGTGGAGAAGAACAGTCCACAGAACTCACGCGCAATATATTCAGTTGATTGACAGAATCCACCCATCACAAGTGGTTTCACAGCTGTGGTCCCTGTCCGCAGACTCAGCCACCTCAGACACAGTATCCTTTCCACCTCGTTCTTATCCACATGGTGGCTTTTGTATGGCAAAGTGATATGTCATTTGTGGCCACAAAACCGTGAGGGAGGGTGCAGTAACTTGCGGTTGCTGATGGCTCTGTTCGGTTTGCACTCAGCAGAAAGGACACACAACTCCAATCCCAAGCTTAATTCTCAATGTCCTCAGGGGCAAGCCCAGCCAGCCTGTGTCCTTTGCGTCTGGCCCTCTTCGCTGGGTTCCTAGGGCAACGTCGCCCATGAAAACCTGAGTTTGATTAAGAGCCAACGACAACATGGAGCTGGTAGAAAGGCACGAAGTCGATTCCACAACCGAAGCATTGGTGTTTGGAGTGCCTCTGGTTGGAGGAGAAAGTCAGACATTACTGTACATTCCGAGAACGAGAACATAAAGGTCACGACTCACAAGCCAGCACGGGCGATGGACGGGATGTGTTGGCTGGCAAACTCCACCTGGACCTCTTTTTGACAGAATTTCCTGACTTTGCCGAGTCATGAAACAACTGTACCTACAGTTAATTCCATCCAAAAAGAGATATTGCCCGACGATATTCGACGATATCCGCCAGCGGCAACAAGCACGCCCTCATCATCATCTCTCACAATTATCCCCGTAGAGTTCCGCGTGGGTTAGTTGGTGATCAACAGATATGATTCCCCCGCCCCGTTCCATCCTGAGCCCAATGCCAAGCATGGCTTGAGTTGCTCTGTTCTTCTCCGTCAGAAGTTTGATCAAAATTCCGAGTTGAGCTTACTTTTTCTGCAGTTCGTCTGTTAGTGGTCCATTCTCGGAGATTCCAACAATCTTAACTCTTCTGTTGCTTGCAAAGAGGATTCTACGTACACTAAAGTGACTCAATTAGTAGCAGGAAAAGTTGTGTCGCTTGTGTCGTTTCCCTGCATTCAAGTGAATTTGGGGAGATAAAGATGAGGCTATTCGGTCGTAACACCGTAGCACAATTGACAGCGGAAGCAGCATCATCATCAGCAACAGATACTGCTGGAACTGCTGATAACTCGACTACGCTTCCTCCGCTCCTGATAGTACCTCCTGCATCGCCGTACAATGGCAGCCAAGCGAGTCAAAGCAGGTCAAGCGCATGGGGTGGTAGCGGTACAGGTACGAACGGAACCACGAGCGCCAGCAGCGACGGATGCGGAACGGACGGCACGGATGGAACGGACGGCCTGGATGACTCGTCGGACGAAGCCAACGACGGCGAACCTCCGTCTTTTCTTTGCTTCGGGGGGAACCGCGGAATGTGGAACGTGGCGGATCGTGATTGGATGAGCCCCATGATAGGATACTTGCGAAGCCGATGGAGAGGAAAAGGGGAAAAGGCCCCCGGGAATTGCGGAGAGGGAGAATTGGCGCGAAAAAACGGAAGCGCGACGGTAGTGGTAGACATTCTCTCCCCGTCCGCCGACGGCGGCGAGCACAGCCCCCGGTCGGTCGGAAGCGGCAGAAAGAGTCTGCTTGCGCCCGCCGCGGGGAGAGGCGGAGCGGAAACTGAGCCGCTGATTCCCTGGCGGAGGCGGTACCGGCGGAACAACCGTTACATTCGCCACCGGCGCGGGGAGGGCCCGGATGGATCCACGTGGCAGTACGTGGGCGACGTGTTTAGCGTGCAGCGGTATCTGCGGATGAGTATGATGTGGCGCCACGTGTGCATAGCGATGTGGGTGCTGGTGACTTTAGCGGCTGCTACGGCCGTGTTCAGCGCGACGTATAAGAGCTTTCAAGACGAGCGCCAGGTACGGCGGCTTTTGAATCGACTCAATCCTGGAGCTGACATTTAAGTCGACTCAATTTTTCTAGTCGACTCAATTTCGTCGACTCAAACTGCGGTTCAGCGCGACGTGCGAGAGCTTCCTACACGAGCGTCATGTACGGCGGCGTCCCGTCGCGCAGTGCGCATTCGCTTTCGAGGCTCGTGAGAGATCACTGCTGGCGTGCGGCGCCGCAAAACTTGTCTCAACATGCATTTGCACGTCGTGCCGAGCCTGCCTGCCTCCCGCCCACGAGAACTCGTGTCGTGAGCAGTGGCTGTGGAGGCGGATGGAGTGCGAGCAAGCCATACAATAAGAAGCTGCCAGAGGCACCCCATCTCACCTCACCTCACCTCACCTCACCTCACCTCACCTCACCCCACCCCACCTCACCTCACCTCACCTCACCTCACCCCACCTCACCTCACCTCACCTCACCTCACCTCGCCTCACCTACGCTCTACTCTTTCAGTGTGTATTGGACGTGTACTGATGTATTGGTTATCGTGATCATCCCATGGTCTCCCCTTGCTCTCCCCATAGTGCCCGCGTGAGCAGGTGGCGCTGGTGGTGGAGTGCGAGGCGTAAAAGGGGCTGTTCGAGGCACCTCAGTGTGCAACGCACGTCGTTTCATGCCAAGGCTGTTGTGATGTCCCCGTGCTCTCCTGCACAGGTGGCGCTGGTGGTGGAGTGCGAGGCGTACAAGAAGCTGCTGCAGGACCACTTCACCGACACCTCCAACCAGGTACCACCGCTTTGTACACACCATTAACCACGCAGGACTGCTTTGTAGACACCATGGACCATGCGAGGCCAGTTCAACTCCAAACATTGCTCTCGTCTCCCCTTCTCCTTTTCCACTATCCACGACTCTTCCGGTCTCCTGATGGCCCCGTGTGATGAGAAGATCCAAGAGACGCCTCAAGCATCGGCTCATTTCCTGCAGGGTGTTTTTGAGAATTCTCATAAACACCCTGCAAGAGACGCCTCAAGCATCGGCTCATTTCCTGCGCTTTTGAGACGTCTCAAAAACAACCTCGCTTCACGTGATGAGAAGATCCAAGAGACGCCTCAAGCATCGGCTCATTTCCTGCGCTTTCTCTTTCCCTCTGGCCGCTGTGCAGATTCGGCTGCTTGCCAATCTGATGACCACGTTTCACTACAACAAGCCTCCGGGCACCCTCGACAGGGTGAGTTGAGTTGACACGGTAAAGTGGGTTGAACGAGTGGAGTGCGATGAAACGGTGGGATGAGTTGAGTTGAAACGGTGGAGTGCGTTGATGTGATTGCATACTCCCCGTCCTCCTCCCTCCGTCCTCCCACGGTCTACCTTCAAAGGCTGATTCAGATCGGTTTTTGAGTCGACTCAAAAACCTTCAAAGGCTGGTTCAAATCGGTTTTTGAGTCGACTCAAAAACCTTCAAAGGCTGGTTCAAATCGGTTTTTGAGTCGACTCAAAAACCTTCAAAGGCTGGTTCAAATCGGTTTTTGAGTCTTCTCAAAAACCTTCGAAGGCTGGTTCAAATCGGTTTTTGAGTCTTCTCAAAAACCTTCGAAGGCTGGTTCAAATCGGTTTTTGAGTCGACTCAAAAACCTTCAAAGGCTGGTTCAAATCGGTTTTTGAGTCGACTCAAAAACCTTCAAAGGCTGGTTCAAATCGGTTTTTGTGTCGACTCAAAAACCTTCGAAGGCTGGTTCAAATCGGTTTTTGAGTCGACTCAAAAACCTTCGAAGGCTGGTTCAAATCGGTTTTTGAGTCGACTCAAAAACCTTCAAAGGCTGGTTCAAATCGGTTTTTGAGTCGACTCAAAAACCTTCAAAGGCTGGTTCAAATCGGTTTTTGAGTCGACTCAAAAACCTTCAAAGGCTGGTTCAAATCGGTTTTTGAGTCGACTCAAAAACCTTCAAAGGCTGGTTCAAATCGGTTTTTGAGTCGACTCAAAAACCTTCGAAGGCTGGTTCAAATCGGTTTTTGAGTCGACTCAAAAACCTTCAAAGGCTGGTTCAAATCGGTTTTTGAGTCGACTCAAAAACCTTCAAAGGCTGGTTCAAATCGGTTTTTGAGTCGACTCAAAAACCTTCAAAGGCTGGTTCAAATCGGTTTTTGAGTCTTCTCAAAAACCTTCGAAGGCTGGTTCAAATCGGTTTTTGAGTCGACTCAAAAACCTTCGAAGGCTGGTTCAAATCGGTTTTTGAGTCGACTCAAAACCTTCAAAGGCTGGTTCAAATCGGTTTTTGAGTCGACTCAAAAACCTTCGAAGGCTGGTTCAAATCGGTTTTTGAGTCGACTCAAAAACCTTCAAAGGCTGGTTCAAATCGGTTTTTGAGTCTTCTCAAAAACCTTCAAAGGCTGGTTCAAATCGGTTTTTGAGTCGACTCAAAAACCTTCAAAGGCTGGTTCAAATCGGTTTTTGAGTCGACTCAAAAACCTTCAAAGGCTGGTTCAAATCGGTTTTTGAGTCGACTCAAAAACCTTCGAAGGCTGGTTCAAATCAGTTTTTGAGTCGACTCAAAAACCTTCGAAGGCTGGTTCAAATCGGTTTTTGAGTCGACTCAAAAACCTTCAAAGGCTGGTTCAAATCGGTTTTTGAGTCGACTCAAAAACCTTCAAAGGCTGGTTCAAATCGGTTTTTGAGTCGACTCAAAAACCTTCGAAGGCTGGTTCAAATCGGTTTTTGAGTCGACTCAAAAACCTTCGAAGGCTGGTTCAAATCGGTTTTTGAGTCGACTCAAAAACCTTCAAAGGCTGGTTCAAATCGGTTTTTGAGTCGACTCAAAAACCTTCAAAGGCTGGTTCAAATCGGTTTTTGAGTCGACTCAAAAACCTTCAAAGGCTGGTTCAAATCGGTTTTTGAGTCGACTCAAAAACCTTCAAAGGCTGGTTCAAATCGGTTTTTGAGTCGACTCAAAAACCTTCAAAGGCTGGTTCAAATCGGTTTTTGAGTCGACTCAAAAACCTTCAAAGGCTGGTTCAAATCAGATGCGCGCAGCTCGCCCGCCCCCTTCCTCCCGACCGTTTGCTTCCTCTCCTACTCCTCCTCTCCCCCACTCCCCCATCACCAGCGCACAAACCTCCCAACCCCCTTCAACTCCCTCGTCCCCCTTGTCCCACCGTCACATTTGGACAGGGCACGTGCACGGGGTTTCTCAACAACACGGAGTACGCACGACCTCCTTCCTCACACCGTGGCACCATTCTTCCCATTTGGCTTGGCCTCTCCCCTGTCTCCCCCCCCCCCCCCGCCCCGCCCTTTTCCTCCCCACTTTTCCCCCCTCACCAGGCCACGTTTATGGGGTTTCTCAACGACACGGAGTACACGCGTCCTTTGTGGCTTGGCTCCTCAAAAGCCCCCCCCCACCCTCCCCTCTCTCTCTCCCTCTCTTGGACAGGCCACGTTCATGGGGTTTCTCAACGACACGCAGTACACGCGTCCTTTGTGGCTTGGCTCCTCAAAAGGCCCCTCCTCACCCTCCCCCCCCCCCCCCCCCCCCCCCCCCCCCCCCTCTCTCAAGCGGTCCTTGTATGATCAAACAGAAAAGTACAGACATCCACGGGGAGTTATAGCAAAAGGGATATACATCTCAGTTACTAACCCGCCCCTTATCCCGCCCCCTCTCTCTCTCCCTCTCTTGGACAGGCCACGTTCATGGGGTTTCTCAACGATACGCAGTACGCGCGTCCGCGTTTGAGGGACGTCTCGTTTGCCGCTAGTGTGCCGCAGGCAGAGAGGGGGGCGTATGAGAGGGCGCAGGGGGGCGGCTTCTGCATCAAGTGAGTATCCGTCTGCATCTGGTGACTTTTGAGTCACCTCAAAAGTCACCTCGGTGCTTTCCATCTGTGTGTGCTGCTTTGCAAGCGCATGCAGCTTTGCTCTTCATGCGTGGTCGGCGTGTGTAGTGCTATTCGGGTGTGTGGTTCTCTGTGTGTTGTGTCTGGTTTCCCTCCTCTTCCCCAGTCACTCCTTCGCCCGTTCTTCTTCCCTTCCTCAACTCCCGCCCTTCTTCTCCCGTATTGCAATTCCCTCTCTCCCTCCCTCCCTCCCCCTTCCCCCTCCTCTCCGCGTCCCCAGGCACGACATGGCATGTGCGGGGCAGCAGTCGGACTACGCACCCATCCTCTACACCACGTCCTCTCTTTCACTCATTGGACAGGACATGCTCTGGGGTGAGTTTCCTAGTCTGGTTGAGCCGGTGATTTTAGGTGAGAGTGGGGTAAGTGGGTTGAGCCTTGCAGTCGGACTACGCACCCGTCCTCTACGCCACGTCCTCTCTTCCACTCATCGGACAAGACATGCTCTGGGGTGAGTTAGAAGTGAGTGCTGTGAGTGTGATTCTCTGAGTAAAAATATGCACTCTTTCTCCACACCACGTGCCAGCATGAGGTCGTGCTGTGGGGTGAATCTTTTGAGTCGACTCAAAAGTCAACGTGCCAGCATGAGGTCGTGCTGTGGGGTGAATCTGGGTTGCGTTGACAAAAGCTCTTCCCTCTCCCTCCTCCTCCTACCCTCCTCTCCTTTTCTTCCAGACGCATTCCCAGCGAACAGGGAGGCAGTGATTAGAGTGCGGGATCAGGGCATTACAGGAGCACTCACCCCGCCACTGCAAATGGCAGTCGACTCGACTCACTGGGGGGTAGTACTACCTACCAACATGCACGCTGCACCCTCAACACTCCCTTCTCCCTTTTTAAGTCGACTTAAAAATCCACTGGGGGCAGTACTACCTACCAACATGCACGCTGCACCCTCAACCACACTGGGGGTCCCACTCCCTTCTCCCTTCTGCTTTCCCCCTTCTCCCTCCAGACGCCTTCCCAGCCAACAGGGAGGCGCGGTCATTCGAGCGTGGGACTAGGGAATCATGGGAGCACTCACCCCGCCGCTGCAGATGGCAGTCGACTCACTAGGGGCCATCAACGTCCCAACATGCTTACCAACATGCTCTCGCAACACTCTCTCTGCTCTTGCCTTCTCATCTTCCCCCTCCCTCCGCCCCTCTCCCCCTCCCCGCCCCCCCCCCTCCCTCCTCTTCAGACGCGTTCCCAGCCAACAGGGAGGCAGTGATTAGAGCGCGGGACCAGGGAATTATGGGAGCACTCACCCCGCCGCTGCAGATGGCAGTCGACTCGCTGGGTGGCATCAACGTCGGCAGCAGCAGCAGCACGGGCGCGTCTGGCAGCACTGTAGCATCGGAATCAAGCGGTAACCGGGACCTAAACACCGTCATGTTACGCGTGTACCCGGTGTATGAGGAGCGCACACCCCCGGATGCAGGGGCGGGTGTGGCTGAGTTCCGATCCAAGTGCCGAGGGTTCATGTCGGCTGCGATTGATTTTGAGCCGTTGATCAAGTCGCTGCACCGGGAGCACATGCCGATGTTTGTGAGAGTGTACGATGTGACCAATGGGAGCAGCGAGGCTCAAACCGGGTATTATAACGGGGCCAACACTGCTGCCCGGGGGAACGGCAGCAGCGGCAACGGCAGTAGCAGCGGCAGCACCAGCGGCACCACCAGCAGCATGACTTCAGCTAGTGGTGGCAGCAACACCACGGCGGTTCAAAGAACCGACGGCGGCAGCAGCAGCAGCAGCAACAGCAGCAGCGATAGTGGGGGCAGCGGGCAGATGGTTGGGTTTGGCGAGACGGTGGCAGTGCCGGGGGAGGTCTTGGGGCGTGGCAGTGTGGAGCGGCTGATGTATGAACCTCGAGACCACCGGCTGGCAAAGGGGCAGAGCGATAAATACAACTACGTCACCACCATGGACCTGGGTGACCCGTACCGGCTGTACGAGATCAGATGCAGGTATGGTGTGGATGGCTGAATGGTGCACTGCACTGGGTGGGCAAGGGACAGAGCGACCGCTACAACTACGTCACCACCATGGACCTGGGTGACCCGTACCGGCTGTACGAGATCAGATGCAGGTGGGTGGTGGAGTGGCCGTGGGCTGGACGCGGATTGGGTGTGGATTGGGTGGGAATGGCGTGAGAGTGGAACGGGCATAGGATCTGGCATGTCACCACGATGACATGCCCATCGTGGTGACCTGGTGGAACGGGGATAGGATCTGTTTTGAGATGTCTCAAAACACTTCTTCAATCACATGGAATGGGCATAGGATCTGGCATGTCACCACGATGGGCCTGGGGGATCCGTACCTGCCTCCCCCAATTCCCCTCCCCATCTCCCTTAATTCCTCTCCCCAATTCTCCCATTCCCTCATCATTCCTCTTCCCCCTCCCCCCATTCCCCTCCCCCCTCCCCCCAGGTACCTAGACTATTACGTGTTCCCCTGCTCCTCTTTAGGCTGGGCGCTCGTTTTAGTCACAGTGATGTCGCTTCTAGGCTACGTGTGGTGGGTGGCGAGCTCGCACGTGCACCAATTGGAGCACGACTTCCACCGCATGGAGCTGCTAAAGGACAAAATGAAGGCCTTCCCCCATTCCTCTCCCTCCATTTCTCTCCGCGTCTCCCCCCATTCCTCTCTCCCCACCCCCCCATTCCCCTCCCCCGCATCCCCCCATTCCCCTCCCCCATTCCCCCAGATACCTAGACTACTACGTCTTCCCCTACTCCTCTTTAGGCTGGGCGCTCGTTATAATCACAGTCATGTCCCTACTGGGGTACGTGTGGTGGGTGGCGAGCTCGCACGTGCACCAATTGGAGCACGACTTCCACCGCATGGAGCTGCTAAAGGACAAAATGAAGGCCGCCCGCAACGTGGCTGAGCGCGCCAGCAAGGCCAAGGGGACGTTCCTGGCCACCATGTCCCACGAGCTGCGCACGCCCATGAACGGCGTCATAGGTGCGTGGTTGGCGTAGGTGGGGTGGGGTGGGGTGGGAGGTCCGGGTGAATGTTCTGGGTTCAGTCAGGCACATGCGTTCGTGATTGCCCCCCTCCGCCACATGTGTTCATACCATACGTACTACCACCCTCTCCACCACCCGATGCCAGGCATGCTGAACCTGCTGCTGGAGACTCTGCTACCCCCCTCACGATAACCCAGCTGCTGCACTATGAGGAGTTGACATGGGCCTGTTAGGCGTCCGCGTCCCCAACCGTTCAGTCACATCACATGCATGATGCCTATGCTTTACCCTGCCTCCGCCGCCCCATGCCAGGCATGCTGAACCTGCTGCTGGAGACGCCGCTCACGATAACGCAGGTGGACTACGTCGAGACGGCGCGCACCAGTGGGCGGGCACTCATGCACACATGCTCATGTATGCTCCCCTCCACTCCCCCCTCCCATCCCACCCCGTGCCAGGCATGCTGAACCTGCTGCTGGAGACGCCCCTCACGATCACCCAGCTGGATTATGTCGAGACAGCTCGCACCAGCGGGCGGGCGCTGCTGGAGCTGATCAACGACATCCTCGACCTCTCCAAGATTGAGGTGAGTTGCAGAGGTGGTGAGAGGTGGAGAGCGGTGGAGAGCGGTGGAGAGCGGTGCACGTAGAGAGATACGCAAGTGTGCACTCAGCGCAAGCACCAGCAGGCGGGCGCTGCTGGAGCTCATCAACGACATCCTCGTCCTCTTCAAGATTGAGGTAAGCTGCTCCTGATAGACGTGTAGGGGAGGTGTTTTGGCCTCCCTCCCTTATCTTTCCCGTGAAGTGAGGGTGTTTTTGAGACGTCTCAAAAACACCCTCACTTCACGTGGCTGCTCCTGATAGACGTGTACAGGAGGTGTTTTGGCCTCCCTTATCTTTCCCTCCTCCAATTTCCCCTACTTTTTCCCTCCCCCTCGCATGCTTCCTCTTCCCCCCACCAGGCGCAGAAGATGCAGCTGGAGCGGGTCCCCATGGACGTGCGTTGAGGTGGACACGGTTCTCACCATGTTGACCCCCCTGCCCTTCCCTTTCCGGACCTCCCCCATTCCTTCCCGTTCCCCCCCCCCCCACCAGGCGCAGAAGATGCAGCTGGAGCGGGTCCCCATGGACGTGCGGGGCGAGGTGGACACGGTGCTCACAATGTTCATCGAGCGCTTCCGAGACAAGCCGCTGCTGCAGGTGGCTGCATACGTCGACCCGCTCGTGCCGGCTGCTGTACTGGGCGACTCTCTGCGATTGCGCCAGGTCAGTTGTGACACCAGGGACTGGAGGGAGTGTCTGTGAGGTTGTGGCCTCCATGTAGTGTAGGCGCCTGCAAGGGGCGAGGAGGACACGGTCACACGGTGCTCACGATGTTCATCGAGCGCTTCCGAGACAAGCCGCTGCTGCAGGTGGCGGCCTATGTCGACCCGCTCGTGCCCGCTGCTGTACTTGGAGACTCGCTGCGCCTGCGCCAGGTCAGTCGTGACAGCTAAGGTTGTGACCTCCTTCCAGCCGCTGCTGTCGACCCGCTCGTGCCCGCTGCCATACTCGGGGACTCCTTGCGCCTGCGCCAGGTCAGTTGCGACCTCTATGGTCAGTCGCGCCAGGTCAGAACTGCGCCAGGTCAGTTGCGACCTCTATGGTCAGTCGCGCCAGGTCAGAACAGCGCCAGGTCAGTTGCGACCATAGACTTTCGAGTCTCTCTTTAGTGCTGTTCTGTGACCTCCCTTTAGGCATCTTCTATGGTACCTACGTCGACCCTCTCGTGCCCGCTGCTCTGTGGGCGACTCCCAACGCTGGCGCCAGGTGGGGTTTCAGATGCTTGTTCAAGGTGGTTGTCCAAGTGCTTTTGAGACGTCTCAAAAGTCAGATGCTTCTTCCAGGTGGTTATCCAAGTGCTTCTGCCAGGTGGCTTGTCGGGTGCCTAAAAGTCGTCTGGTTGCTAGAAATTTCCATTATGATTTCCGTGTCTTACCCTACACCCAACCAGGTGCTCATCAACCTGCTGTCCAACGCCTGCAAGTTCACCGAACGTGGACACATCTTCATCGCCATCCGAACAGCAGAGCCAGACGAGGATCTGCGCAAGGCAGCCCGCAAGCACCACCACCACCACCACCACCGCTCCCTCCGCTCACATGCCCCTGCCATGATACCCAATCAGCCATCCGCCACTGCCACGACAGCTGATAAGCCTTCTGGCTCTGCAGTGATAGGCGATAAGCCGTTGGCCTCTGCCATGGCAGGTGATAAGGCGTCTGTTGCAGCAGCCGAGGCAAAGGCTGGTGAGAATCGAAGAGTTATCGGCAGCACTGGTGCTGCTAGCAACATTGCAGTCGCTGCCGCCGCCGCTGCTGGTAGTGGCGGTGGTGGCGGTTATGCGGGTAAGGAGGATGGGGGAAAGGAGGGCGAGGAGGAGAGCCCTTCCAAGGATGTTTCCTTCCGGCCCGAACGACAGTCGTCTCGCTTGAGTGCGCTCATGCTCGCTGCTGCTGCTCCTGATGGCGATGCTGCCACTGATGCTGCTAATGCTGCCGCTGGTACTGCTGGTGCTGCTGGTGCTGCCACTATTCCTGTTGGTGCGACCAGTGCTGCCACTGCAACCACCACGTCTCACAGCAACAACATCACCAGCAGCTCCTCGCCTTTCCCGCCGTCGCCCCGTGTCCCCCCACCCGCTGAAAGGCCTGTCGGCGCCACCGGCCGACCCAGCATCACAGGCAGGCGATGCAGCACCAGCAGCTTTGGCAGGGGCAGCGGCGTGAACGGCACGGCGCCTGATAGGCTGACTCTGAGCGGACGAGAAGCGGTGGACAGCTGCAACAGCTGGGTTGTGCTGGGCGCGCGGCGAGACAAGTGGCGCAAGGAGGGGATGGGACGGGCGGAGAAGAGGGAGGGGAAGAGGGGTGGGGGGATGGAAGGGGAGGGAGGCGAGGAAGGGGAGGGTGGTGGAAAGGGCAGAGGAGGAGGAGGAGGAGGAGGAGGAGGAGGAGGAGGAGGAGGAGGAGGAGGAGGAGGAGGAGGAGGAGGAGGAGGAGGAGGAGGAGGAGGAGGAGGAGGAGGAGGAGGAGGAGGAGGAGGAGAGGAGGAGGAGGAGGAGGAGGAGGAGGAGGAGGAGGAGGAGGAGGAGGAGGAGGAGGAGGAGGAGGAGGAGGAGGAGGAGGAGGAGGAGGAGGAGGAGGAGGAGGAGGAGGAGGAGGAGGAGGAGGAGGAGGAGGAGGAGGAGGAGGAGGAGGAGGAGGAGGAGGAGGAGGAGGAGGAGGAGGAGGAGGAGGAGGAGGAGGAGGAGGAGGAGGAGGAGGAGGAGGAGGAGGAGGAGGAGGAGGAGGAGGAGGAGGAGGAGGAGGAGGAGGAGGAGGAGGAGGAGGAGGAGGAGGAGGAGGAGGAGGAGGAGGAGGAGGAGGAGGAGGAGGAGGAGGAGGAGGAGGAGGAGGAGGAGGAGGAGGAGGAGGAGGAGGAGGAGGAGGAGGAGGAGGAGGAGGAGGAGGAGGAGGAGGAGGAGGAGGAGGAGGAGGAGGAGGAGGAGGAGGAGGAGGAGGAGGAGGAGGAGGAGGAGGAGGAGGAGGAGGAGGCAGTAGCCCTCTGCTGAATGGCCCGACCGTGCGGCTTGTCATCTCTGTTGAGGTAAGGGGCTCATGAAACAGCATCCCCAGGTGATTGATACTTACATGCAGGCGTACAAAAGTGCAATGTGCACGCGCACATTTGTAAGTCGACTTAAAATCAAAGCAAGCGCAATGCACACCCGCACATGCTGCCTGTTCTCATTCCCCTCCTCCTTTCCTCCCCTCCCCTCCTCACCCACCCACAGGACACGGGCGAGGGCATCCCCTACCCTGCACAGCGCACCATCTTAAAGCCCTTCATGCAGGCAGACGCCTCAACAACACGCACGCACGGCGGCACGGGCATCGGGCTGTCCATCTCGCGCCACCTCGTGGACCTCATGGGCGGCAAGCTCTCCTTCACGTCGCGCCCGGGCGTTGGTACCACCTTCTTCTTTGACGTCCTCATGCCCTGTGATAGCCGCGATGGTGAGCCCGTTGCTGCTGCTGCTGCTGCTGCTGCTGCTGCTGCTGCTGCTGCTCGTTCTGCTGGTGTTGCAAGTCCTGCAGAAGCAGAAGCAGGAGCGGGATCAGGATCAGGGGCTGCAGCACCAGCAAGAACAGCTTCGTTGGTGGGACCAGCAGATTCTGTGATTGTAGAGATAAGAGATTCAAAGCACAGTGTTGCGTTGAAGGACGATGATGGGTGCAGCTTCCCCCTCCTCGCCGGACCAACTCCAGGTTCGGAATCGCCGCTGCTGCCATGGGTCATTCCAGCTTTGGCACAAGCAGCAACAGCATCACCAGTAACGAAATCTCCTTCACTTCCACCACCAGCGCTTACAGCACTATCCCCTTCAAGGTCATCCCCATTAAGAGCATCCCCACTAAGAGCATCTCCACCACACGTGCTGCCAGCCTCGCCGCTACACATTCTCCAGCAGACCGAAGCGAGCTTATCGCAATTCTCCGCCATTCTCCTCGACGACCGCACCGTGAGGTTCGGTGTGATGGAGAGCCTGCTCAACAGGCTCGGCATCCCGGTGCTGAACACCCCCGAAGCTGCTGCCGAACCTGTGGTGCACATCCCGGACCACAATTCCCTCGTCACTGCTCCAGGTGCGGTGGGCGCAGGGGTTGGCAAGCGGCTGGTGATTGTGTTGGTCGATGAGGAGTGGCTGGGGCGGCACAACAAGGCAGTGCTTCAACAGAAGAAAAAGCAGGGCGAGGGGCAGGCACAACAGGGACAGGAGAGACAGGAGGGACAGGGAACAGTACCTGAAGAGGAGGTGCAGGAAGGGCAGGAAGGGGAGAAGGATAGGGCACGGAAGGAGGGCGAGAGGTGTATCAGCAGCAGCAGCTGCACATGGCAATGGCTTGCAGTGAGTGCCATGGCCGAAGCAGGCTACGAGGTCTGGCCAAGCCTGCTTAACCAGACATGCTTTGCTGAAGCACCTGGTAACCAATGTGGTGGTAACCAGACAAATGGTGGCAGCATGGGTAGCAGTCCTGAGATTAGCCAATCCAGCGGCAACAGTGAGACTTGCAATAGCAAGGATGGTGATGCTAGGCTAGTTGGAGACAAATGTCACACGTGCCGCCTCCCTCGCATGGGCAGAGGCAGCTTCTGTAGCACCACCAGCAGCACCAGCAGTGGCAGCAGTATTGGAGCAGGCACAGAGGCCACTGCCCGCACCAGTGCCAGTCGCAGCAGTTTCTGCAGCAGCAGCGGCAACAGCAACGGCAGCAGTAGTGAGAGCAGCGGCGGCAGCAGTAGTGAGAGCAGCGGCGGCAGCAACCCAGCGTGTGGCTTCTGCTGCTGTGGGAGCAGCGGGCAAGGCATGATGGATGGAAGCGGTAGCATGGATGATTGGCCTTGGTTTGCTGCTGTGCTGCTGGCCTCAGGGCATGAGGGCAACAAGAGGGAGGCCACAGCAGCAGCAGCAGCAGCAGCAGCATCTAAGGCTTTTGATGTGACTATATCGAAGCCCGTGAGGCAGACTGCTCTCTCTACAAACCTGTCTCTGTTGCTTCTAGGGGAGGATGGGCCGCTAGGGACAGAGGATGGGGCTGAGGAGGAGGAAGAGGAGCGAGAAAGGGTGGTGAGGAGGGACGAGGAGGGGGGCGATGATGGTGATGATGAGAGGGAGTATGAGGAGGAGGATGAGGAGGAGGAAGAAGGGGACGAAGAGAAGTGTAAAACAGGGAAAAGGGAAGAAGGAAGGGAGGGAGGCAGAGGCACAGGGGTGCGAACAGGAGGTGAAGGTCAGGAGCAGCAACATCAACCACAGCAACAGCAGCGGCTGCAGAAGCAGCAGCAGCAGCAGCAATGCTCGATGCCAAAAAGCGCATCCGATCAGAGCTCGCCAGGTCCCGTGGTGCGATGGCTGCTACCTGCTGATGACGACGATGACGATTCAGATAGAGTTTCTCACAGCGGCCCGCTGTCACGTTCTCACGGGGATAAGGGGATTCATTGGCCTGGAACCACCACACGAAGCACCAGCACTGGCAAGAGCAGCGGCAAGAGTCCTCAAAGAGCGGGCATCCTCAAGTCTAGAAGCACGGATTTGAAAACGGATGAAGCTTCTGTTGCCCTGGCTGCTCCTCCTGCTGCTGTCCCTGCTGCTTCTGCTGCTGCTTCTACCCCTGCTGCTTCTGCTGTCCCTGCTGCCGCTGCTGCTACTGCCCAGACTGGTGATGGTCTTGACACTGGGTTCGGGCGGCAGACCAGGCGTGTGAGAATGAGTCTAGACGAGGTGGGGTCAGCTCGGTCAACGCAGTCAACGGGGTCAACCACAAGGTCGAAAGCGCGCAGATCCACTGGCTCCATGCACGAAGGGGATGTGCCGACCATTGCCGCCCGCCGTAACACCCGTGCCGCCCAGGCGGCTACTGGGAGCCCTTCCGCCCTGCCGCCGGCTCTGCCGGCGGGTGCGTCGATGCGCAAGGAAAGTGATGGAGCGAGGCTGCTGTGCCAGGCACTCAAGGGAAAGAAAATTCTCGTGGTAAGTTTCCCTGGACTGCCCTCTCTCTTCTTTCAAGCGGCTCTGGAACTGTCCTATCTACAAAATTGAGAAATAAATGAGGGATTGTGTGTATATATATATATATATATGTATATATATCTGTGCCCCTCAATATGCTGCCAGGTGGATGACAACATGGTGAACCTCAAGGTGATGGCACGCATGCTGCAGAAAAGCTCTCTCGTCCCACCGTTCGCCCAGCGCTGCCCTCCTCCCTCTACCTTCCTTCCCCCCCTCCCTCCATCCTCTCCCAGGTGGACGACAACATGGTGAACCGCAAGGTGATGGCACGCATGCTGCAGCGGTACGGCGTGGAGGTGGAGACGGTGGATGGCGGCGCCAAGGCTGTCAAGGCCGTGCAGCAGGCGACCACCAGATTTGATTGCGTCTTCATGGACGTGCAGGTGCGGCGGTTGTGTGTCTGGGCGGCTGTTGTTGGATGTTACTGGGCTGTGTTTGGGGGCCGGAGTCCAAGGTTTGTACTTGGATTATGCATCCATTCCATAGCTTGTTATGATAATGGGTCCTTTCCGTGGTTTGCGATCAATGGATTGATATTTTCTTACAATGATTTTTTGCAGATGCCGGAGATGGACGGGCTTGAAGCCACGGGCCTCATCCGCAAGTATGAAGCTGATGTGAATGGTGGAAACAATATAAAAGGCCGGGGAGCAGACCGGCTATTAGTGATTGCACTAACAGCTGATGTGGGTGCTGGCACGAGGGAGAAGTGCTTGAAGCATGGGATGGATGGGTACATGACCAAACCTATAGAGGAAGAGCAACTCTGTCGGGTTGTGTTGCCGTTTTTCACAGCCTTGGCAGCTTGTTCAAGAACATGAAGCTTCCTGTTTTGTTCTTTTTGATACACAAGCTTTCTATGTTATGTTGCATTTTTCATGTTTAAAGCTTCCTGTTTTGTTCTTTTTGTCAGAGCATGTAAGTGCAATTTGTTGTTTGGATATGGAAGCTCATAAAGCATAAGTGCAGGGTGCCGTTATTAACAGCGATGCTGTAATGAATTACAATTTAATTCTGTCGAGGCTGCTCCTAGCGAGGGCAGTCGCGAACACTGCGCGTCAGTTTCAGGTTCGGCCTACATTTCGGCCCGAACCACTACCGAGTCGCCCCGCACCAATCGCGACATTCCCAAACCACGCACGTCACAAGGTTCAATCGTCATTCCGTAATTCATCCCTTTTATAAAGTCTTCCACGCACTCTGTTTAGTACAGCTCATAACAGACGCACCCATCTCGTCCGTCAGAGCCGTCTGTAAGTTCCCTTGGGATTCCATTGGGATTGGCTTGATTTGGACATCCCCGTTAGAGTCAACGCTGAAGCGAAGCATCTCCGACGCTAAGACAACAAAGACAACACTGCAGGGCTGCCGAGCGGAACAAGACCCAATTTGCTACAAGCTGGTATAATGGAAGCATATGAAGCAAAAATAGTGGAAGCACAGGATAATGGCGTCCATTGGGAGAATCCCCCTTTCCGCGGATCCGTAGCCTTGTTTGGGTATTTTCGCGATCACCACGCTCCGCGTCGTCGATAACTATGCGGCTGCGTTCAGATTGTAGATTAGCACTCTGGATTCTGCTGTCTGTTTCCACTTACAAGCTTGACATTTTCGACATTTTCATTTTCCAAGCGTTGTCACTTCTATAGACGAGAGTGCAGAGATGAGCGTTGTTGCGTGAAGATAGAACAAAAACTCGCTGTCATTCGGTATTCTAGTATTTGTTAGGCGCGTGACTGGTATTTTGGTGCGCTGGGATGGCTTTCTTCGAAGCTCGCCGCTCGTTTGACCGTGCGCTGGCGTCAGACACGTGGACAGACCCCGCTATAGTCACGAGAGCCGTTAAAAGACGGTTAGGACTACCTGAGCCTGAAGAAACAGCTTTTGTGTCCGCTAGAGGAAGCTGCGACGCAGTTTTTGTTGGGGGAAACAGAACGCAGGGAGAAATAGAGAATGCGGCAGAAATGCTAGAGGAAATAGCTGCTGGTGCACCTTCTTTTGGGGAAAACGGAACGCAGGGAGACATAGAGAATGCGGCAGAAATGTTGGAGCAAATAGCTGCGAGTGCACCTTCTATTGGGGAAAATGGAACGCAGGGAGACATAGAGAATGCGGCAGAAATGTTAGAGCAAATAGCTGCTGGTGGATCCGAAGCAACAGCTAGTAACGGAGCGACCCGAGCAGCTCAAGATGGAAGCGGAGAGGCTTCTAACGGAGCGGGAGTAGAATCTAGCGACGGGGAAGTCAGGGGATGGCCTCTTCGCAGCCAGACGGCCCAGACGGCATATCACAACTCTCCAGGTGCGTCGCGAAAGTGCTTTTGAGTCGTCGGGAAAGTCCGTCTTCGTTATCTTTTACCTGCCAGCATGGCATGTGGTTGCGAGTGCTGTCTGTTCATTTTCATTGTGAGACGTCGAGCGTATGGTTGCGAAAATTCTCTTTATTTGTTCGTCCAGCTGCGATGGTCATGCTTTCGAAGGGGAAATAATTGCGTAGATAGATGCGGCACTGTTTTCACCAAACAGCCAAACAATCAAATTCCACATTCTCAGGCGTAAGGCAACAACATATCGTGTCAGGTTTTGGTCAGCTCCATGATTCTCTGTGCGCTTTTCCTTCTTCGTGCCCACCACCTCCAGAGTCCTTGCTTCATTTGTGCGATGTTTCCTGTGTGCGTCCGATATTTCCCCATGTGCGTCCAATATTTCCCCATATTTGTCCAATATTTCCAATATGCGTCACTATGTCCATGTGCGGCCTTTTCCCGTCCTACAGACGGCGCCACAAATAACAGCAACTCAGCCGCTCCAGCCGACCCTCCACCCACCGAAGCCCTTCCCCCCTCAGCAGCAGCAGCAGCAGCAGCAGCCAAAGGACCTTCCCAGCCGGAGCCCCGGCTGACGCACGAGCAGTACTCAGGTCTGGCGGAAGGCGCGGATATGGACAAGGTGGTGGCAGCGCGGGTGAGGGACACGGAGGGCATGCTGGAAGCGCTGCGCAGTGCGGCGGGCAGCAGCTTTGAGGACATGGCGCTGCACCGCGAGGAGTCCCGCGCCCACCCCGAGGCGTTCGGGCAGCGCGACTGGCGAGTGAGAATAACTAGGGGGATTGTGTAGTGGGGGTTGAGCTGGACTGGGGGGGTGAGCGGGGTAGCAGGGACCAGCAGGGCAGGTGCGTGAGTGGAAGCACAGCAGTGCGGCGGGCAGCAGCTTTGAGGACGTGGCTCTGCACCGCGAGGACTCCCGCGCCCACCCCGAGGCGTTCGGGCAGCGCGACTGGCGGGTGAGCGAGCGAGGCAGGTGAGCGGGAGTGGCGGGTGGGGGGGGATAGGCGCGTGAGAGGGGGAGGCGGATGAGTGTGGTAACAGAGAGGAGTCACGAGCAAGCCACACCCTGATAGCACGCCACACAATTTCTGAGGGCACAAGTAGAGTCACCCGTGCGAGGGAGAAGGTTTTTTTTGCGCATAACAAGAATCGAATCTTGAGGGGGTGTTCATACCTCCATCTTCCCCTCCCCCCTCACCTCCCCTAGACAATCCTCCCCTTCTTCATACCTTCTCCTCCCTCGCCCTGCGTGCAGCTGAAGGAGCAGAGCAAGAGCCACAGGGTGATGTACCGCCAGGGGCGGAGGGGGTGTTCATACCTCCATCTTCCCCTCCCCCCTCACCTCCCCTAGACAATCCTCCCCTTCTTCATACCTTCTCCTCCCTCGCCCTGCTTGCAGCTGAAGGAGCAGAGCAAGAGCCACAGGGTGATGTACCGTCCAGGGCCAGAGGGAACGGCCTTTCACGAGCTCTGCTTGGAAGGCGTGCTCAAGGGCTCCCTCGACACTGGTGGGCTCTCTTTTGGTTAGCCGGATTTACTTAGTATGGCCGAGTGGTATTTTTTGTGCCCAAGGGCTCTGTAGGTATTGGTGGTGGGCTGTTCTTTTGTCTTTGGGAGATCAATTTTGGTGGGCTGTTCGTTTGGTGTGGTGCTGTCTGTGCTCGTGATGTTTGCTGCATCCTCTCCGCCTCTGCCCCCATTGTTTACCTTCCCTAGCGCATGAATCTCACATCCACGCCCATCACTTCATCTTTTTAAGACATCTAACAGGGCGCATTAATCTCACATTCACGCCCGCACTTCGTCTTCTCCATTGATTATCTGCACAGTGCGGCGCGATTGGAGACTTGTTTTGGGCTTCAATTTTTGGTCGTTTGACATCCCCTCGTTCTCTTTCTTTCTCCTCCGTCCACATTCTGCAGTGCTCGCAGTGGCATGGGAGGCTCCATTCTTCATTGACTGGTAGGTGTGCCTTCCGTGTGTCATCACGGGTACGAACACGTGTCCTCATGCGTACAAACAAATGTTTCATTGGGTACATACATGTACTTTGAGGCGCCTCAAAATGCACAAATGTTTCATTGGGTACATACATGTATTTTGAGGCGCCTCAAAATGCACAAATCTTTCATTGGGTACATACGTGACTACAAGCACGGGATTTCATGGTAGCCTACCCTTCATGCTATCCCCACCTTTTCCCATTTCGTCGGGTATTGTGGTGCTACCTGCAAGATTTGAAACCGGCAACAGAAGAATATACAAAAAGGGAGGTTGCATGAAAGGTGTTTTTGCACCCTGCCGTCTTCCACTTAGCCCTCGTCCACCCGCCCGTTTTCGCATGAAAGGTGTCTGTTGTACAATCCCATTTCGGCCTGCAGATCCCCACCACCATCTCCCCTCTCTGATTTTTTGAGTCGACTCAAAAGTATTTTCGCATCAATCCCATTTCGGCCTGCAGATCCCCACCACCATCTCCCCTCTCTGAGCTTTCTTCCCTGTCGTCATTTTCCTCCCTTGTCTCCATCTCCCTTTGTCCTTCCCTCCCTCCCTCCCTCCTTCCCTCCCTCCCTCCCTCACACCACGTCTCTCCATGCCACCATGCCCCTCCCTTCCCCCCTCGCCCGCAGGTGGCCGCAGTTTTCGGTGCCGCCATTTCACATGCTGGAGTCCAAGTTTGTCAAGAGAGTGGCGCCGGGATACGAGCTTGTACACCTCCGGTCAGTCAGTGCTTTGTTAGGGAAGGAGCCCAAGGGCAGCAGGGACGTCATGTCACACACCAACACTTCTCACACCAACGTGCACTCTTCTTGAGTCAACTCACACATCTTGTGAGCCCTTGTGTGCTCTTCTTGAGTCGACTCACACATCTTGTGAGCCCTTGTGCGCTCTTCTTGAGTCGACTCACACATCTTGTGAGCCCTTGTGCGCTCTTCTTGAGTCGACTCACACATCTTGTGAGCCCTTGTGCGCTCTTCTTGAGTCGACTCACACATCTTGTGAGCCCTTGTGCGCTCTTCTTGAGTCGACTCACACACATCTTGTGAGCCCTTGTGCGCTCTTCTTGAGTCGACTCACACATCTTGTGAGCCCTTGTGCGCTCTTCTTGAGTCGACTCACACACATCTTGTGAGCCCTTGTGCGCTCTTCTTGAGTCGACTCACACATCTTGTGAGCCCTTGTGCGCTCTTCTTGAGTCGACTCACACATCTTGTGAGCCCTTGTGCGCTCTTCTTGAGTCGACTCACACACATCTTGTGAGCCCTTGTGCGCTCTTCTTGAGTCGACTCACACACATCTTGTGAGCCCTTGTGCGCTCTTCTTGAGTCGACTCACACACATCTTGTGAGCCCTTGTGCGCTCTTCTTGAGTCGACTCACACATCTTGTGAGCCCTTGTGCGCTCTTCTTGAGTCGACTCACACACATCTTGTGAGCCCTTGTGCGCTCTTCTTGAGTCGACTCACACATCTTGTGAGCCCTTGTGCGCTCTTCTTGAGTCGACTCACACATCTTGTGAGCCCTTGTGCGCTCTTCTTGAGTCGACTCACACACATCTTGTGAGCCCTTGTGCGCTCTTCTTGAGTCGACTCACACACATCTTGTGAGCCCTTGTGCGCTCTTCTTGAGTCGACTCACACACATCTTGTGAGCCCTTGTGCGCTCTTCTTGAGTCGACTCACACACATCTTGTGAGCCCTTGTGCGCTCTTCTTGAGTCGACTCACACACATCTTGTGAGCCCTTGTGCGCTCTTCTTGAGTCGACTCACACACATCTTGTGAGCCCTTGTGCGCTCTTCTTGAGTCGACTCACACACATCTTGTGAGCCCTTGTGCGCTCTTCTTGAGTCGACTCACACACATCTTGTGAGCCCTTGTGCGCTCTTCTTGAGTCGACTCACACACATCTTGTGAGCCCTTGTGCGCTCTTCTTGAGTCGACTCACACACATCTTGTGAGCCCTTGTGCGCTCTTCTTGAGTCGACTCACACACATCTTGTGAGCCCTTGTGCGCTCTTCTTGAGTCGACTCACACACATCTTGTGAGCCCTTGTGCGCTCTTCTTGAGTCGACTCACACACATCTTGTGAGCCCTTGTGCGCTCTTCTTGAGTCGACTCACACACATCTTGTGAGCCCTTGTGCGCTCTTCTTGAGTCGACTCACACACATCTTGTGAGCCCTTGTGCGCTCTTCTTGAGTCGACTCACACACATCTTGTGAGCCCTTGTGCGCTCTTCTTGAGTCGACTCACACACATCTTGTGAGCCCTTGTGCGCTCTTCTTGAGTCGACTCACACACATCTTGTGAGCCCTTGTGCGCTCTTCTTGAGTCGACTCACACACATCTTGTGAGCCCTTGTGCGCTCTTCTTGAGTCGACTCACACACATCTTGTGAGCCCTTGTGCGCTCTTCTTGAGTCGACTCACACACATCTTGTGAGCCCTTGTGCGCTCTTCTTGAGTCGACTCACACACATCTTGTGAGCCCTTGTGCGCTCTTCTTGAGTCGACTCACACACATCTTGTGAGCCCTTGTGCGCTCTTCTTGAGTCGACTCACACACATCTTGTGAGCCCTTGTGCGCTCTTCTTGAGTCGACTCACACACATCTTGTGAGCCCTTGTGCGCTCTTCTTGAGTCGACTCACACACATCTTGTGAGCCCTTGTGCGCTCTTCTTGAGTCGACTCACACACATCTTGTGAGCCCTTGTGCGCTCTTCTTGAGTCGACTCACACACATCTTGTGAGCCCTTGTGCGCTCTTCTTGAGTCGACTCACACACATCTTGTGAGCCCTTGTGCGCTCTTCTTGAGTCGACTCACACACATCTTGTGAGCCCTTGTGCGCTCTTCTTGAGTCGACTCACACACATCTTGTGAGCCCTTGTGCGCTCTTCTTGAGTCGACTCACACACATCTTGTGAGCCCTTGTGCGCTCTTCTTGAGTCGACTCACACATCTTGTGAGCCCTTGTGCGCTCTTCTTGAGTCGACTCACACACATCTTGTGAGCCCTTGTGCGCTCTTCTTGAGTCGACTCACACACATCTTGTGAGCCCTTGTGCGCTCTTTTGCGCTTCCCCTGTCCCGCCCCTCACTTCCCACGTCCTCACTAACAGCCTCATACTAACAGCTTTCCATCCAATCCCTTCTGCTCCCCTTCCCTGCCGCCCACGCTCCTCTGCAGTTTCAAGGTGCCGTGGCCATTCGCCACGCGTGAAATCCTCTACGTGCTCTTCTCCGTTCACGACGCTGCTACAGGCTTCATCGCCACCTCCCTCATCTCTGTCAGTGCTCCCACTCCCTAAGGTGATCTCCGAGTTAATGTAAAAGACATGCTCTACGTGCTCTTCTCCGTTCACGACGCTGCTACCGGCTTCATCGCCACCTCCCTCATTTCCGTCAGTCCCACCCACCCCGGTTTTTTGTCCCACCAACCGGGTTTTTTGTCTTCCTATTTGAGCGCCTGCTTGCACTCCTCTTGAACACCTCACTCGCACCATGCTGTACCACTCCCTTCTTTCTGTTCTCTTGTCCATTTACCATGCTGCTCCTGCTGCTGCTGCTGCTGCTGCTGCTGCTGCTGCTGCTGCTGCTGCTGCTGCTGCTGCTGCTGCTGCTGCTGCTGCTGCTGCTGCTGCTGCTGCTGCTGCTGCTGCTGCTGCTGCTGCTGCTGCTGCTGCTGCTGCTGCTGCTGCTGCTGCTGCTGCTGCTGCTGCTGCTGCTGCTGCTGCTGCTGCTGCTGCTGCTGCTGCTGCTGCTGCTGCTGCTGCTGCTGCTGCTGCTGCTGCTGCTGCTGCTGCTGCTGCTGCTGCTGCTGCTGCTGCTGCTGCTTCTGCTGCTGCCGCCACCGCTGTCTCCGTGCGGGTTGCCACTGCACAATTACTGAGCATTGCCCACTCAACCCACTCGCCCATCTGTTTCTCCTTTCTCTTGTTCATCCCATTACGTTGATTTTCTCCCGATGGCTTGCACCGTTTCAAATGTTCCACGCCTCCCCACTTCAAGTATTTCCCCTTCTTATCATATGTTCAATCTTCTCCTCACACACCCTTCTTTTCTCGCACCTGATCCCCCCCTACAGTATCCAGATGACCCAGCTACCTTTGACCCTGACTCATATGGTTTCTCCAATGACGGTGTGCCACGTGTGCGCTCTGGAGAGGTCCGCATGAGTGTGAAGGGGGGCTTCGCATCCAAGGACCTTGGCAACGGCCACTGCTACTTCCGGTCAGTCGCTGTGTGCCAAGTCAACAGAGTGTGATGTGAAGGGGGTATTTCTGTATCTAGGTGATGTGAAGGGGGTATTTCTGTATCTAGGTGATGTGAAGGGGGTATTTCTGTATCTAGGTGATGTGAAGGGGGTATTTCTGTATCTAGGTGCCTCATGAGAGTGCGACGGGCGTTGGAAACGCCTACTGCAACTTGCGGTGCGCCATTCCTTGTTAAGGCGATTGGAAAAGACGTGTTTGTGAGGGTGCTTTTCAGGTGCCCCGCAAAGGTTTTAAAGGCGGCGTAGGCACTGATGAAGACCTGGTAGGGGATGCCCTCCAGCCGAAACATGTTTGTCTTGTTTTAATTTCTGTTAATGAGAAGAGTTCCGGTTTCACAGACTCTCGGCTATTAGCTAGTGTTAAGAGTTTCACTGTTTTTTCCTACTTGCTTAAGCCTAAACCTAGGCACTGCTGCTCACTGGAATTATGTCAGAAGACGTGTTTGTGAGGGCGCTTTTCAGGTGCCCCGGAAAGGTTTTAAAGGCGGTGTTGCAGTGAAGGGGTGGGGCTAGAGTTGCTGCTCATTTCGGTCCGCCTTTGCTTTGCGAAATGGCTCAGATTGGTATGAATGGGAGTCCTGCAGCGAACGCATGACGTAATCAACAGGTATTACCCTCGGTGTCGCACCAACCTCTCCTAATCACCCCTTTCCCCCACTAATTCCCTGCTTCCTAATCGTTGCCACGCCCCCCCTGCTCCTTGCAGCGGCGTGGCAACGATTGACATGAAGCTGAACCTCATTCCACCGTGGGCCATCAACTTTGTGTCGCGACAGCTGGCGGGGTCTGGTTACCACCTGCTCTACAGTGTGCGTGCGCCTGCTGTGTCTGTAACTGGTGCTGTTGCTGGCGCTGGTGGTATAGCCACTGCTGTTTTTGTTGCTGTCTCTACTCTATGAATGTTGAGTGTACTGCCAAGAGATTGTACCTTTTTTACCACAAGTACTCCATTCGCTTAGCATGTGCATCATCTGTTTTCCTCACTCCCTCTCCCCACTCCCTATCTGATTCTCTCACTTTCCCTCTCTGCTTTTTCCACCCTCCCTCCCTGCAACCCTCAGGAGGTAGAGAGTGTGGCGGACGGCAGCAACAAGGAGGCGGACAAGTTCCGCGCGCTGCTGCGCTCAGACCCCTTCTACTACTCCGTGGGCCGCGCCATGCGCTCCCACGCAGCCGCAGCAGCAGCGCAGGGCGAGCGGGCGAAGCAGGAGCGGGAGCAGCTGCAGCAGCAGGGCGAGGCGGAGTCGTTCCGACAGATTGGGGAGCGAGTGGAGAAGCATGTGGAGAGGCTCATTGCGATCACGTCTGGGAGTGGGAGTGAGGTTCCTGGTGGTGCTGGTGGTGCTGGTGCTGCTGCTGCTGCTGCTGGTGGTGGTGGAGGTGATTCGGGAGTCATGAATGCAGCTGAAGCATTAGCAGAGGAAGCTGCTGCGCAGGTGCCGGCTACAGCAGGGACGCCCAAGGCTGCCTCCCCTGCGTTAGTGGCGAGACCGCCACGCCCTCCCTCGCCCAGGAGGCTTGTGGCCCCTGCACAACCCGCTACTGCAAAGGCAGCAGCAGCAGGCACTTCACCAGCAGCTCAAGGCCTGCAGTATGGGCAGTTAAAGCAGAGGGACCCAGCAATATACCATGCGGTTACCACCCTGGATAGAGCCATCTCGTTTATGAGAGCCAGAGCAGCAGCTCAGCGCCAGGCAGCCCCTGCTGCTGCAGGCAGTGGTGCTGCTGGGCTCCCAGGCCTGGTACCGCCGAAGCAAGAGGTTTGGAGCTACAGTGGCGAGCTTCGGCCTGTACCTAGGCAGGGTGAAAGTGGAGGGGATGGGGGTGCTGGGGAGACTGGTGGGAGTTGGGAAGGGGGAACTGAGAGGGTGTGGATGCTGACTAGGACAATATCGGCAGGTCCTGCGGATCACGGGAGGGGTGAGGGGCTTGGGTTTGAAACAGCAAGATTGGTCCAAGAATCAATACCAGTGCCAGCATTAGCATCAGGAACAGCAGCGACAGAAACATCTGTATCGCAATCAGCAGCAGCAGCAGGTGCAGCAGCACAGGGAGTCACAAGAGCGTCATCAGCAGCAGCTGCAGCACCCCTTCCCTCGGTGGCAGTTGAGCTTGAAGCAGCAGAACAGCAAGAGGGCACAGATACTAGCAGGGATGTGCCAGTTACCAATGCTGCAGAGGCAAGTGTAAGTACTATTGAGCGGCCTTCTTCGGCCCCCTTAGGAGGGAAGGGAGGGAGGGATGAAGGGCGGAGGTTAACTGAGGGAGAGGAGGATGCAGGCAGCAAGGGTAACAAGAAGCAGGGTGGGAAGAGACCCTGGCGCAAGGGGTTTTTTTGGTCTCAAGTTCTCCAGAAGTCCAGGTTGATCGCAGTGCATGGGCCTGGCAAATTCCTGTGATTGTGTCACATACTAGGTGAGAACCATTATGTATTACTAGTTGGTCACATTTATGTGTTTCTTAGTACTGTGGTTAATTTCTTACATGCAGATACATTAGATTACGTTTACACGTTTCAGTATGAATTGATGTCTATGTAGTAACTAAGACGGAAACCATAGTCTCCTGCATTTTGCTGAAGGAAGCTCACTACAATAGGAGTAAGCTGAGAGAGCTGCAATGGCTGTTTCTTAAAGATGCAATGGTGAGTGGGAGCGACGTATATCACCTCTTGTCAGGAGCTAATCTAAGTAGGGGAGACTTCTTGTGCATGTTGAGTAGGCAGCGGGTGTCTGACAAGGAGAGGTGGCCTCCACTCCTTTCGTTGCCGCTCCGCTGCCAGTCTCTCTTCGTACATCTCCTTGGTTTCCACCTGTACCAGCCGTTTGACCTGGAAGCGAAGGCATGAAAGAAAGAAACTGAGTTAGTGCCTTGTCGGAATGCAGCACCACCAATATTCCCCAGGAAAGGGCCCTCCACACACAGGAGGTCCGAAAGTCGAAGTGGTGCGAAAAAAACTCATATCTTCCACCTCAAGCCTTGCATTACAATGGAATAATCGCAAACGGCGATGGTCTGGAGGATGCAAACTTTCCGCAGTTACAGGTAAGCGGCAAAAACGGAGTTCTGGGACGTCATAGCCTTGTAAGTGAGCGCACCTTTTCGATCATCCCTATGACTGATGGATTGTTAGGCAATTCAACCGTTGACTCTCGCTTCCGCAGGCCTAGAGCAACGACGGTAGCCCGTTGATCGGACCTCTTTCCTGCCAATCCACGCTTCAGCGTCACGACCAGCCTACTTGACCATCTGATGGCCGGCTGGGCGGATGATGCGGAAGCCATGGTGGAATTTAGGGTACAGTATACAGCTCACAGAGTGCTTGGAAGTTCTGGTGTTAGTCGAAACACTTAGGTGCCGTTTGGCAACCAACTACATTGCAGCAAAAACACTGTCGCACTTAGCAAGGGAGGGACGGTTTTGACGAAATCTCGCTGCAGCTGTTTCGCACAGGAAAGCAGGAATGATGCTGTAACGAAACTCTTCATATGGCAATTCATTTTCCTTCGCCTGTATAGAGCCAGTTGTTCGCAAAACAAGGTTCCGGCCTGCCGTCTTGTCTCAGTCAGATCGAAAAGAAGTTACTCGCGAAGGCAACACACACAACTCCTTAAAGCTAATGTTGCAACATTCCCTGCACATATTGACGATCAGCCAGTCAGTCCACAATTCTCGCTCATGGAGCACACGCTGATCCGGATCCGACGGTCGACGGAGGGATTGGGGAGTGAAACGCGAGCGTCTAGCAATGTCACTAGCACCTTAACGCTTTCTTCAGCTGCATTTTCACAGTCGACTGCTGGAGAGCTAGCACGCCGCGCGGTACCATTTTGCCTAAGCGTTGCCGTGTGTTTGTTGATGGGTGAGTATCGACGTGACGTGTGATGTTCTCCTTAGTTTCTTCTGAAGTTGACTGTTTCTTGCAGTTATCATATGGAGCCTGCGCAAGACAGATTCCGCTTATCTCTTCATTCAATCCCAAGAGCTTAGGCAATCCTTGCAGGGGGAGCTGACAGCAATCAAGCTACCAGAAAACAGGTTTTTAGCAGTATTCCAAGTTAACAGCAACCAGTGCATCCACGAGAAATTCGCTGAACGCCGGTTATTTTTTGCGAAATGCGGATTCATTACCTTGGGAGAAACGTCATGGAGCAACACGACATTCGTATACTTCGCCGACCAAGCCGTCCACGCCATTTGCTCGCGTGATAATGAAACGGATGGTTCCATGGAACCCACTATGCTGCGGATCTATTACGACACTGGCAGCATGGATCTGCTCGTTCGCAAGGTTCATCTGGCGTCCTGGGATGGACTAGTGTATGCTGCAGCAGCTGAACCCGAAGGCCTGTATGTCTGGGCGAAAGGTATCGCTCACCTTCACAACGGAAGTCTTCACGGTCAGATCAAGTGCCTGATCAACGGAGTTGCGACAGCTCCGTTGATACTCTCCCAGGAGGTTGCGCTCTGTCCAAATTCTCGGACTAATGTTACACAGTCAGGATGTGGCTGTCTCGACTTTCCAGTCACGCTAACACTACATGGATCACCTTTACCCTCTGTAGCTTCCATCTGTAGGCCCAATTCCACGCTCAATTCTACCAGCGCAGTATCTGACGAGGCACTACAAGCAGCCAATTACAGTCAAGCCAGGAGAAGCGGACACATCGTTCTCCGTGACGGGTATCCTCATGCCAACACATCCACTGACGAGTCCCCCGTGAAGCAGTACTACCTGTGTGCATGCACAATGGTTCTTGACAGCGCTAAATTCATGGGGGAGTGGCTCCTGTACCATGGATTTTTCGGTGTGGAGCATTTCTTTGTGTATGACAATGGCAGTGAAGATGGGCTTCAAGAATCCGTGGAAGAAGCTCAGGAGACTGGTCGTGCAAGAGGTTTTGAGTTCTCAACCACAATTCGCAGCTGGCCCTGGCTCAAGTCTCAGGAGGGCGGTTTTTCTCATTGTGCTCTTCAAGCCAAGAAGCTCTGCACGTGGGTCATGTTCGTAGATGTGGACGAGTTCGTCTTTCCAGCACGGATGTTGAAGAAAATTGAGTCACGGAAGCTCTTCACAGCTGGAAACCAGTATGCTTCTCTTCTCCGCAAGTTCGTGAAAGGTCTGGTTAAGAAACATGCTGCCGCAGCGATGGTCACAGGTAGAAACGATTCCTGTGAACAGGTTGGGCAGATTGCTCTGCCTTGCCTGATATTTGGCCCATCAGGTCACCAAGAGCATCCAGAGAGAGGAGTTGTTTCTGGGTACACGTGCAGGCTGGAGCTTCCTGATCGCCACAAGTCAGTTATCCTGACTGAAGCTTTAGGTCCTCCATTTCACAACGTGATACATCACTTCACGAGCTTGAAGCATCAGTACTGCACACTGAATGTGGGCCATACGCATGGAGCTATTTTCCACTACAAGTACCAGGCATGGCCCGAATTCAAGACCAAGTTCAGGAGAAGAGCTTCCACTTTTGTGGCTGACTGGATGCAGATGGATAGGTTGCAGTCCAAGGATCGAGTTCCTGACTTGGGTGTGGAGGCAATTGAGCCTGCTGATTGGAAGGATCGCTATTGTGAAACTGAAGATTACAGGCTGACGAGGACTTCGATGCATATTGCATCAGCCAATTCTCACTGGCGCTATGAGAATGCGTTTGCTGCAATGCGCCACATCTTTGGAAACTTGTTTGGTGCATCTGGACTTATCTGATTCTGTGCACTGTGAACAAATTTACATCGAGTTGGCTTAACTCCTTATTACGAGGATGCTGATGAATTCATTGCACTTCCATTCCCAACGGAATGCTTGGTCTGTAGCCTCTGCTTTGCGTCCGGAATCCAGGCCAGAGCAGGGAGGAAGAGGCTTGTGCAATCACATCACCGACCAAACCGAATTACTTGGAGATCCCCCTCCAGGTCGGTCGGGCTCACAACTAGGCGCTACCACTTAGTTCGCTTCGGTTCGGTTCCGTGCCTTTTCCAGAGCTCGCGCTTTCGCTTCGGGCCGTACCGTGCTCCGCGGGAACGCGGAAGCATCAAAACGAAACCAGTTTCTTCCCCCTTTGCTGGCTCTGGCAGCTGCCAGTATTTCGAGCCCTGGCACAAATGCATGAGAGCACTTAGGTAATTGGTAGTGCTTGCTCGTTGGCACTTCACTACCCCGCCCCGCCGTAGGAGTGCTACTTCACCAGGACCTCGAGCAACGACCTGCGATTCTAGTTTTTTATCACAACGGCACGTCGCTAAACCATGCTTTGAGACACCCCTAAAGAAGCAGCTCCAGAGTAGCATTAACGTGCTCCAGTATATTTATACGAACTGTGCTCAGTCAGGTCTCCAACTGTGTACACTGTCTTCCCCGTGGTAGCGCATTTGCTGCAACGCCTCGCAAATATCCGAACCACCAGCATAACTCAAATCTCCAGGCTTTACAACCTCTATCAAAACATCCGCATAGTATTGCCCGCGTAGTTGCCCCCTTTATCATCCACACAGCCTCGTCCGCGGAGGCTCACCGCGTAGCATCACCGCGAATGGCGCTGCTAGAGGGCGTGATCGCATTCGACAAGTCCGTCGCGTCGTTTCCGTGGACCAGCCGCGAAGCAGTCACCGATCTTTTCCGCGCGCAGCTGAGCGGACAGTCCGCGGATGCGCAGCTGAATGGATCATCCGCGGTGGAGGCGCAGTTGAGCAGACAACCCGCGGATGGCGTCGTATCGTCCGGCGCAACCGAGACGACAGAAAGCCTGGAACGTAGCGGAAGTGAACGCGACAAGAGCAACGGCACTACTATTGACAGCCCGAAAGATATGAACGGAGGTCAAGTCAAGGACGGCATCGGTAAAGTCGGAAGCAATGGTGGCATGGCGGGCGATAGTGAAGCGGTGGTGGAGTATTGGAGCGCGCAGATGGCGGGGCTGCTGGAGGATCTGCGCTCCGTGCGGATTGGCGGCGCTGCGGAGAAAACTGGCGGCGCTAAAGACACAGCTGCGGGCCATGGAGCCAAGGACATGCGATGGAAGGTGATTGGCTGATTGACGGATGCGACTGGAGGGCAGATGAGTGCTGGCAGCGGGTTGTGGTAGGAGGAAAAGAAGAGCGGCGGCGGCCTTCACGTTCCCTTTCATGCCCTCCCTCGCCATCCTCTTTCTCCTGTACCACCCACGTCCCCCCATCCCCCTTCACCGCACCACCCAAAATTCCCTTGTTTCTCCTGCCTCGCCCCTCACGCTCCCTGTTCCAGCCGTGCGAGCAAGCAACAGAGTACCGCACGCTGCACCGCCCGGGGCCCAACGGCACGTCAATCCACTGTTTGACCCCCGCTTCCGATCCGTGGATTTATTCTCCTCACCCCCACCCACCACCCTTCAGCCGTGCGAGCAAGCAACAGAGTACCGCACGCTGCACCGCCCGGGGCCCAACGGCACGTCAATCCACTGTTTGACCCCTGCTTCCGATCCGTGGATTTATTCTCCTCACCCCCACCCACCACCCTTCAGCCGTGCGAGCAAGCAACAGAGTACCGCACGCTGCACCGCCCGGGGCCCAACGGCACGTCAATCCACTGTTTGACCCCTGCTTCCGATCCGTGGATTTATTCTCCTCACCCCCACCCACCACCCTTCAGCCGTGCGAGCAAGCAACAGAGTACCTCACGCTGCACCGCCCGGGGCCCAACGGCACGTCAATCCACTGTTTGACCCCTGCTTCCGATCCGTGGATTTATTCTCCTCACCCCCACCCACCACCCTTCAGCCGTGCGAGCAAGCAACAGAGTACCGCACGCTGCACCGGCCGGGGCCCAACGGCACAGCGATCCTACTTATACCTGCCTTCGATTCGCTGTTCCCACCTCTGCTTCATCCCTGTTTCCCATACATTCGCCCCACCCGCTCGTCCCAGCCGTGCGAGCAAGCAACAGAGTACCGCACGCTGCACCGCCCGGGGCCCAACGGCACGGCGGTCCACACGACGTGCATCGAGGGTGTTGTGCATGCTCCGGCGGATGCTGCCCTCGCCATGTCCTGCGACGCTCCCTTCTTCAAGGAGTGGTGAGTGCTCCGTGCTGTGCTGTGCCATGACACGAGTGGTGATTGCAATGAGTAGGGATTTGAACGGCTCCCGTTTAACGGCACGGCGGTCCACACGACGTGCATCGAGGGCGTCGTACACGCTCCGGCCGATGCTGCTCTCGCCATGTCCTGCGACGCTCCTTTCTTCAAGGAATGGTGAGTGGAATGATAGTGATTGAAGCGAGCTGACTTTTGAGTGGACTCGAAAGTCATGCCCCGGCCGATGCCGCTCTCGTGCCGTGTCATGTCATGCGATGCTCCCTTCTTCAAGGAGTGGTGCATGGAACGATAGTGATTGAAGCGAGCTGCCAAAAGAAAAGTCTTGCCCCGGCCGATGCCGCTCTCGTGCCGTGTCATGTCATGCGATGCTCCCTTCTTTTCAAGGAGTGGCCAGTGCTTGCATTTAACGAGTGTTTTGAACAGTAGTGGCTGACATGAGCGGTTTTTTAAAGCATGACATGAGTCATGCTTTAAAAGGAGCATGCTTTAAAAGGATCATGCGCGTTGACACATCCACAAGATCCGCCCTCCCCACCCCCCATCCCCCACCTTTCATCCCCACCTTTCATCCCCACCTTTCTCACCCTTCCCGCCTCTCCCGCCCCTTCCGCCCTTGCGCAAGTGGCCAAGCATTATCATTTACATGAAAGACAGTGAGAGGAATAAGGAAGGGGGGAAGATTGGCATTGAAGCGGCAAAAGACGTAGTGTCACTCACTCTCTCCCACCCTGCAACCCCCTTCCCTCAGGTGGCCCAACAACACCCTCCCACCATGCCGCTGCACCGCTGTGAGGAGTCTAAATGTTCCGAACGAGAGTGGGAGGTGTGCGTCGAGGCGCCACCAACTGACCGGGCCTTTCATCCTGAATCTCGTTTCCCGCAGGTGACCCAACATCGGCATGCCGCCGCACCGCTGTGAGGAGCCGAGATACATCAAGCGCGTGAAGCAATGAGTGGAGGAGGCTTGTTTTTTATGCGCCACAAGCTAACCGTGTCTTTCATCCCGCAACTCCCCTCCCGCAACTCCCCTCCCGCAACTCCCCTCCCGCAACTCCCCTCCCGCAACTCCCCTCCCGCAACTCCCCTCCCGCAACTCCCCTCCCGCAGGTGGCCGAACATCAACATGCCGTCGCACCGCTGTGAGGAGTCGAGGTATATCAAGCGCGTGGGGGAGAACTTCCACCTCTCCTTCATGCGGTGCGTGCCCCATGCCATGCTGTACTGTGCTGTACCGTGCTGTACTGTGCTTTACCATGTCGTACCGTGCCGGACCATGTTGTACTGTACTGTGCTGTGTCATGCTGTGCCATCCGCCTGGGGCGAAACTTCCACCTCTCTGATACGGTGCCCCTGTGATGTGCTTTTGAGTCGACTCAAAAGCAGACTCATTACAAAGCCGACCCCTGTAAAAGCAGACTCATTACAAAGCCGACCCCTGTAAAAGCAGACTCATTACAAAGCCGACCCCTGTAAAAGCAGACTCATTACAAAGCCGACCCCTGTAAAAGCAGACTCATTACAAAGCCGACCCCTGTAAAAGCAGACTCATTACAAAGCCGACCCCTGTAAAAGCAGACTCATTACAAAGCCGACCCCTGTAAAAGCAGACTCATTACACGCGGTTTCTCTCTGATACGGCGCCCCTGTGATGTGTCATACTGTGCTGTGCGTGCTGTACCCCGTGACAGCACATTGGTGGAGGCACCCACTACCAACGGGGTACACTGTGGCATACCGTGGCATACCGTGGCATACCGTGGCATACCACGGCATACCGTGGCATTATGCTCATCTCCCTTCTCCTGCCTCCCTTACTCCCCAAACCTGCCTCCCCCTCCGCACCACCTTCCTCCTCCTTCTCCCCTTCCTCTCTCGTCTCTCTCTCCCTCCTCCTCCCTCCTAGTCGCCCGTCCCACTATTCTCTCTCCTTAACGTCCCTCGTCTATTGCTTGATTTGGCTCTCCTTGGCCTCTCTCCCTTTCCACCATATCCCATCCCCTTCCACCCGTTTCCACTCCTTGCATTTCCGCCATTTCCCACCCCTTCACACCGCTGCAGGTTCAAGGTGCCATGGCCGCTACCCCCGCAGGAGTTTGCGCTCATCTTTGTGACGGTCTACGATGCCGCTTCGGGCATGACCGTCACCGTGCTGCGAACGGTGAGTCTTCCACACCCCCCATGCCCTCCCTTGTGTTGCCTAAGGACCCTTCAGGCACTTCGTAAGGCAGTCATTTTACATAACGACCCCCCTCTCTCCCTGCAGCTGCCTTTTGAGGCGCCTCAAAAATGACCCCCCTCTCTCCCTGCAGCTGCCCAAGAGCCCCGCGACTGCTGGCTTCACCAACTGTGGGTACAGCCGGGCGGGAGGACCCTTTTCATGACTGATGCAACAATCGCTTACTGTACCCTGCAACCTTTCAAATGTGCGCCACTCCCCTCACTGCAGCTGCCTGAGACCCCCGCCACTGCAGGCTTCACCAACCGCGGGTACAGCCGGGAGGACCCTTCATCTGTCTCCTCAAGCGATATCTTTCACAAGCAACCTTTGACTGACCCAGCAACGTTTCACACCACCCCCCCCCCCCCCCCCCCCCCCACCTTTCCCCCCCTCCCCCGCCCCAAATTTTCTTGCAGCTGCCCGAGAACCCCGCCACTGCGGATTTCACCAACCACGGGTACAGCCGGGAGGACGCCCCTGCCCCCCTGCCTCTTACCTCAAACCTGTGCCTCACCTCTCGCCCTCCCTCCTCTCCTTCCAGCTGCCTGAGAACCCCGCCACTGCGGATTTCACCAACCACGGGTACAGCCGGGAGGACGCCCCTGCCCCCCTGCCTCTTACCTCAAACCTGTGCCTCACCTCTCGCCCTCCCTCCTCTCCTTCCAGCTGCCTGAGAACCCCGCCACTGCGGATTTCACCAACCACGGGTACAGCCGGGAGGACGCCCCTGCGCCCCTGCCTGGACACATGCGCATGGGCATCAGCGGGGGGTATGCTGTGAAGGACATGGGCGAGGGGCGAGCGCACATGAGGTGCGTTGGGCGGATGGGGGACAAGGGGGAGTGAGTGGGGAGAAGAATTCCCTGCCAGGGCACATGCGCATGGGCATCAGCGGGGGGTATGCTGTGAAGGACATGGGTGAAGGCAGTGCACACATGAGGTGCGTTGAGGGGGAGAAGGGGGAGTGGGGGGCAGGGGCCCAGGGGGGGTAAGGTGTGGTTAGAGGACAACACTGCCTGGGCACATGCGCATGGGCATCAGCGGGGGGTATGCTGTGAAGGACATGGGTGAAGGCAGGGCGCACATGAGGTGCGTTGGGTTGGGCAAGGGGACAAGGGGGGAGGGGGGTGGGTGGTTGGTAGTGGGGGCAAGGTGTGGCGTGAAGACGCCAGTGTCTGGAGTCATGCCCATGGGCATCTGCGGGGGGAACATTACGCTGTCAAACACATGGGCGAGGGCTGAGCGCACATGAGGTGCGTTTGGTGGGGGGGGGCGGGGGGGGGGGGGGGGGGGGGGGACAAGGGGGAGGATGAGAGGTAGGGTGGGAGTTAAGATGTACCGTGAGGTGCATTTGGTGGTGACCTAGGGGGGTCGGTTGTAAGGGGCAAGTTGTGAGGTGAGGATGGGGGGGGGGGGGGGGGGATGGGAGAGCGGCGAGCATGCAATCATGTGAACGTTGTGGGCGTGCATGGTTTTTAAACACCTGCAACGTTCACATGATTGCATCACCTGCGTCATTCTCTTACATAATTGCATCACCTTCATCCATGTCTTTCCCATATCTACCCTTCTGCAGCGCTGGTGCCTCTTCAAGCCATAATGGATGCCCTCAATGCTATGCCTAGTCTTACTCCTGTGGCCGTATCAACCCTCTGTACCGCTTAACACCCCTGTGTATCCCATCCCACAGGTGCATATTCACGCTGGACCTCAAATTCCCTCCTGCGCTCGTCAACTTTATTATCCAGCAGTGTGGTGGAATCTTGTACCAGTGGTTTACAGAGGTGTGTAGAGTGGGTTTACTGGTGTGGTGTGTAGAGTGGGTTTACTGGTGTGCAAAGTGGTTTACAGAGGTGTGTAGAGTGGGTTTACTGGTGTGCGAAGTGGTTTACAGAGGTGTGTAGAGTGGGTTTACTGGTGTGCAAAGTGGTTTACAGAGGTGTGTAGAGTGGGTTTACTGGTGTGCCAAGTGGTTTACAGGGGTGTGTAGAGTGGGTTTACTTGTGTGCAAAGTAGTTTACAGAGGTGTGTAGAGTGGGTTTTTCTGGTGTGCAAAGTGGTTTACAGAGGTGGTTTACTGGTGTGCAAAGTGGTTCACAAAGGGCTGTGAAGTGATTCACAGAGATGTGTGGAGTATTTTGCAGAAGTGTGGAGTGGTTCACAGAGGTGTTTAACGTGGTTTGCAAAGGTGGGCAGAGTGGTCTGCAGAGTGTATAGAGCCTCTTGCATAGTTTAGAATGGTTCAAAGACGTGTAGAGTGGTTGTAAGGGGTGTGTGGAGTGGTTGGCAGAGGTCTATAGATTGGTTCACGGAGGTTCGCATCGTCTGTCTCCGCCTGTGGGAGTGTGTTGTGGTGGTTTGCTGAAGCAAAATATTGTTCAAGTTAATGCAGCCTTTGGAAATGCACCATATTCCTTCCTCCCCTGTGTCTCTTCCCCTTTCCCCCTCTCTCCCTCTCCCCTTCTCCCCCTCTCTCCCTCTTCCCCTCGCACCCTCCCTTGTCAGGAGCTGGCGCGGATATACGACGACCCCTCCAGCACCAAAGGGAAGGCGTTCCGCCAGGCTCTCCACGACGAGCCCCTTTACAATCACGTCCGGGCAGCCATGGAGAAATACCGGGCTGCCCGGGCAGCTGAACAGCAGCAACTGGAGGCCGAGCAGCAGCGGAAGCACCAGGAACTGGTGGGCGGTCAGCAAAACGGGCAGGCAGCTGGGGAAAGGATCCTTCTAGCCAGCAAAGAAGACGAGGAGAATTCGTTCAGAGAGTTAGGGGCAAAGGTAGAGGCGAAAATCGAGTCTCTTGTGGCATATGTGTCTAGAAGAGCGAGCAGCAATGGCAGCATTGATGGGGATGGGGTGGAGATAGTTGAGGGTGGGGAATGGGGGTGTGTGGAGGTAAGACCAGGGGGAAAGGACATGGGGGTTGGGGAGGTGAAGGCAAGTGATAATATGGAGGGACTGCAGATGGATGGAGGAAGTCAAAAGGGTGGTCTTGAGACGGGGGTAGGAGCAGCAGGAGGAGATGGAGGGGCAGGAGGAGGAGCAGGAGGAGCAGGGGAGAATGTGGAGACGGAGGCAGGGGGGGCTGTAAGCAGTGCTGCAGTGACTGCTGGGCTGCATCAAGGCCCACTTGCTGATTTGCCGCACCATAGTGTCAATGTACAGAAGGTGACTGTAGGGAGAGGTTCTACAGTACTCCAGACTCATGAGCAGAGGCATACACAGAATGGTCGATACGGGCTGAGAGCATCAAGGGACTATGGTACCGGTAGCAATGGACACATGGCAGGTGCAAGCGACCACCGTCTCTTCCGAGCCGTTGATACGCTGGATCGCGCCATTGCAGCCCTCCGTTTGCTGCACTCTGCATCCCCCACAGCAGCACCAGCAGCAACAGTGGCAGCAGTTGGTGCTGCTGGCATCTATAGCCCAGTGAACAACGAAAGAGGAGGAACCGCAACAGCAGCAGCCACCGCCACAGCCACAGCAGCAGCGGCGGCAGGAGAATCAGCCGCACATGGTGACTGTGCCAGGGGGCGGCAGGAAAGCAGTGGCGAAGCAGGCGGAAAGGGCGGGGCAGATGGGGGACTAATCCCCCCCCAGAAACAGCAGGCTGACCATGTACCCCAGAAGCACCAGAAACTGCTGCTGCAGGAGCAGCACAAGAGTGGATGGGGAAGGTTGCGAAAGGCTTTGGCAGCACTACGGAAGAAAGGCTGACTGCCAGTGGGATATCTGGTGGTCACCCGTCTTTTATATATCATGGCACAATGCTCAAACACTGGTAAGTGCTGCCATTCCCTGCACAGGGGTACTGAAAATATGGGCAGGGAGGGAGGCATTGTGGCGTGCGTTTTACTAGTATTTACTAGTACGGTATGGTTTGGAGCATGTCGGTTGAATGTCCTACGTATGTAAGAGCTATCTAAGAATGTTGTAATGCCCGAATCCACCTGAAGCAAGCACCCTTAGCTGGAGTTCTGGACATACGGTAGGCTGTTAGAAGGGTTGTATCAGTTGAGGGCATGAGATGACATACCATGGGAAAGTATGCCACGGGGAAAAGATAGTTTGCTCGAGGAGGAGATGGATAGGAATGGATAGGAATTGAAGCGATGTGATGAGTTATCATGGGCCAGGACAGTAGGGAGCATGGGATGGGGAGGAGAGAAGGGAGCATCTAGGACAATGGGGAGGGGAGTATGGGAATGGGGACAGTGGAGCATGGAAAATTAGGAAAGTGCGAAGGATAGACGTGTGCAGATAGAACATCAAATGCACAGTACCATTTTCAGAGCTTCTTTGATTTGAAAAAGCTATGAAGTATATTGAGAAGTGTTTGGCGCAGTACGTCAAGAAGACAAACTGCAGATTTAATGCAGTAATACACTTACTGACAACATTTACATGAATACTCATGCTATTCATGCATTATTACCCTCTCCCTCTCCTGTGACCCTTCCTGTTGTAACCCACCCCTCAAACTTCATATTTTAAGCCGGTAGTCACCCTATAGAGGAGGTCTAAATGGTTTGGGCGAGCTGGCACTCGGTGGTGTTGGTCATGGAGTAGCTGTTGCCGTTGCCAAAGCGCAGCTCCTGCACGCAGGGCCGGAAGTCCCACAAGTACGCATACACAATGTTGACCGTCTCCCCGGGGAGCATCTGCAGAGTGCCGCTAGCACCGCGGTTCATGCGCATCTCACAGTACCCCGGCGTCGTCTGCACGAAGATTTCACCTTGCTGGTACTGCGAGGGGTTGGGATCGGGGTTGTCAAGGATGCCCTCCCACACGTTGCCGAAGTTGAAGCACTGCCACACGCGCAGCGGGCTGGTGACGTTGTAGGCGCAGCCGTTGTAGAAGGTCATGTTGTAGATGTCGTTGTGCAGGTCGTACGGCCCCAGGTACTGCGAGCGGATCGTCACCGTCGTGCGCCCACATGCTGTGGGGGAGGAGAGGGCAGAAGGGAAAGGTGAAGGGGAAGAGGTGAGTGGGGAGCAGAGGAATGAGCAGGGGAGCAGAAGGATGAGAGGCAAGGGGAGTAGAGAAATAAGGGGCAAGGGGAGCAGAGAAATGAGAGCCTAGGGGAGAAGGGATGGCAGTGGGACGAAGCGGAAAGAGAGCGAGAGGAGGGAGCAGCAGTGCGTACAGGTGGCAAGGGCCTGGCGGCGGGGGATATGGTCGAGGTAGCCAGGCAGAGGGGCGTTGTGAGCGAAGGTCTCAGCCGCCAGAATGCGCGCGCCCTTCCTCTGCTGCCCCGCCGCCCCCGCCCCGCTAGGCGCGCCCCCGTCCGATGGGACGAGGCCCCTGGCGACCTTCATGGCGTCCCGCGCTCCACTCACCGCCGCCGCCAGCAGCCCCACCGCCAGCGCCGCCAGCACCAGCACGCGCATGCCCGCCGTCGCCATGAGGAGAGGCGCGGAGATAACAGGAAAGAAGTGAGAAGCGAGAGGGGCTTGATGCGGCGAGCGGGGGTTAGTGAGATGCTTAGAGGGAGCACTGGGCGAGCTGATGACTTCATGGTAGCCATTATGGCCGCTTTATAGGTCGCGCTAGACCACGAGATGCGGTGCGTGGATGATGCTAAGGGAGGGTTTCTCTCCTCTGGCATGGAGGAGGAATCGCCCTTTCTGCTGCTGCAGCTGCAGCTGCTGCTAAGGAATCATCACTGCAGCGGTAACGGAGGAGTTGAGGGGTCAGGACGGCACGGCAACATTCACTGTCGATTGCTATGCTGCATACAGGAATCGTTTCTCTCACTGCTGGCGTGATGTCGTAACCAAACGCGGTGTCCAACGGAGCACGGAATATGCGGCTCGGCGGACACGCCTACTACTATCGTCGCTAAACGAACACCAGGTCGAGGCAACACTGAGAACATGAGATGTTTTTCGAGCGATTCGAAGTTCTGAAAACACGGCGACTCGATCTCCAGACATGTTGTAATTCAGGCGAGAAATTCCGTCTGCCCGGTGGTTAAGCGAAACGACGGCGTTAACCGCCACCCAGATCAGAGTTCCTTCTTTCGACCTCCTGGGTTCCATATCAGGCTCGACGTCTCGCGTCCTGTGTCCTGGCTCTCGACCTCACAACCCCCCTCGTCTCGGTACTTGCGAGCCAAATGTCGGAGAAGCGGAGCTGCATAGACAGTTGGAAAGCACGCCGCGCGTCTAACGACAAGCAGCAGCCGGGTCGCGTCCAACATTAGCGTTTGCAACCAGATAACCTTGTCTACCCTACAGTCTGGTACAACGAATTGCGCAGCTGACGAGCTTGTCGGGATTTTCAAGGCATTTGTCGCCTGTGCACAGAACGCACGGACGAATAACAGAGGGAGAATTGAGGAAGAGAAAATAGCAGCAGGCAGGCACTTGACTCGCCTGAATCCTGATATTTCTCGACCGTTGGTGTTCCTCAGGGTTTTCGCGAATACGGTTGTTGCCACCACGCCGCGTGTGTGCGATGAGTGCAAATCAAACTGGCACAGCTGACGATGCCGCGTCAGTAACCACACGACAATTTTGTTCGTTACGCGGTATTAGTGTGGATTAGAAAAAGTTCGCCGGCTTTCGCCAAGCTGGAGAAACTGACATCGACATCGTCTATCGCAAGTCTTTCGCAGTCCTTGTGTGCAACCGACACAGTACATTTGAAGGAAACTCGAGTTTCGTCATGTTCGCCTGAACCATTTGAATTGCTCGTCAACTCCATTGTCCAGGTGTGCTCATAACATTCCATCAACCAATAGCCCTAGGCCTCAACATTTCTCAAGTGGGGTAGGTTTAGCGACCAATTGCACTTGGAGCATATTCAAGTCAAATTATACAGGAGATGGTAAACCAAATTCCACACCATGGCTTCTCCCACAGCCCCCAGATACCTTCCATCCGTTTCCGTACTATTCTTGCCTTTCGCAGATTCAGCAAAGCAGGTGTGGTGCGGATCCTTCGGCCCGCATGTATCGTCGGGGCGAGGAGCTGCGATCAGCCAATCATTGAGAAGCTGCAGCCCGTACCGTCCCAAGTGCCTGGCAACAACTCTGTTCATGTGTGTAATGAGTGTGTTTGTTCCATCGAAACAAAAGTCATTGAGCCGTTTTGGAGGGATGCTTCGAAACAGAAACCTAGGGCCCGCCCTGGCGGGCAGCGTTAAAGCTTGATTTCCCTGCAGCTTCTTCTTCTGCTGCTGCTGCTGCTGCGGCTGCCGCTGCGCCTGCATGGCTAGTTCCTTCTGAGAGTAAACCCACTGCAGGTAGTTGGGGAGATAATACCCCAACGCGTTCTCCGGCTCGGCGCAGAAAACCGTCATCCAGAAACCACCGTCTACAAGCGTCACACTGGCTGTCGTGGAAATGTTTGGAAACGTGAGCTGTTCAAATGACGTTACATTCTTATAGCTGCACGGTGATTACAGCGAAGGGAAGAGAAACAGGAAAGATGGGAAGGAACGTGGAGTGTGTTTACTTCCCCAACCTCTGAGAGGATGGAAAATGGAGTGTGTTTACTCCACTGAGAAGGGGCCTTGAACTCTCTGAGACTGATCCACATGGGGGATGAAGGTGCAACGGCAGCAAATGCACAGAGAGCTGAACGCCACGAAACGAAGGGATGAAAAGCATGGACTAGAATAGTTTAAAGAAACAAAAAAGAGAAGGAAATAAGAAAGAAGACAAGCTGTGCTCCCACAATGCACCTGCAGCCAAAAGGCCCGTCGATGTAAATCCCTCCGATCCAATAAAAGTTGAGCGTCAGAGGCTGCAATTCTGGGCTAGGGGGCGGCACGACCAACTGGTGATATTCATGGAGCTTGACAGCCGACGCATTGGCCTTGCCGGTGAGGAGGAAGAAGAGGTGGTGGCAGAGGAAGCGCACATGAGAATCCCCGACAAAGTTAATCTCGGAAATACCCCGGGATTGGAGGGCGGAGAGCCACTGAGAGGTGGGGGGGAGGGGATGCGCGCATGGGTAGAATTGCCACTTGTAGGCCCGCTTCTGTGCGTTGAACAGCCACCGGCCGTGGATGGCATGGTCGCACTGCGAATCTGGACCATACGTTGCATCGAGGGAGGATCTGTTGCTGGGTTGGGACTCTGTGGTAGAAGCTGGTTCTAGTTCGGTAGCTGGTTCAGTGGATTGGTTGGTAACTGATTTGGTGGATGGTTCTGTAGCAGGCTCAGTAGATGGTTGGAGAGCTGGTTCGGTGGATGGTTTGGTGGGAGGGAGGACAGTGAGAACCCATTCGGCCATGACATGCGATTTTTTTTTACGGACCCGACGCAAGTAGTCAGACGCAAAGTCCAGAGTGTCGCACTCTGATTGGACGAGGACACTGGTTGATTTGGGGATGGTGAGGAGGAAGGGGAGCAAAACGAAGGAAGGGCATATGGGCTTATCAGGTGTGAGCACGTGAAGGATAGGACTGAAGTGTGGAGAGAGGGTTGGGGAGAGAACGGAATAAGGAGCAAGGACTACCCATTTCCTCTCTCCCTCTTTACCCCATTCGCTCCCTCCCCATTCCCCCCATCTCCTCACTCCCCGTATCCCCATTCTCCTCTTTTCATTTACCGCCAGTTGCCTCCCTCCACATTCCCTGCCCCCTCCTTCCTTCCCCTCTCCTCCCCCCCTCCCCCTCCCCACCCCCCCAACCACCTTCTTATATGTGAGTCCCCTTTGCTCATTCCCTCTCCTCGCCCCACCCTCCTTCTCCCGCCCTCCCCCTCCTCCCCCTCCCCCCCCCCTCCCCCTCCCCCTCCCCCCTCCCCCTCCCCCTCCGCGCAAGCCTCACCTGTAGTCACCAGCGTCCCACACGCGGTACGTGACTCGCCAGCGCGTGACGTCACCGTCCTCTGTAGTCACATCCGCTATAGCCAAGGCGGGGCCCATCAGCCTCACCACCAGCGACTCGCGCAAGCCACCCATACTTATCCGCGCGCTGTTGCTGCTGCTGCTGCCGGCGCCACCACCTTTATAATTCTTCCACCACGCAATTTTGTCTTGTGCTATTGGAGTCAGTCGGCCGTTAGGAGGAGGGACCCATCTGGCGGGAGGTCTGACAGCGATCTCGAACGCGCAAAGCTCGCCCACCGTGCAACGGGAGCAACCCCCGCCGAAAATCAAAACTCCTCCCCTCTGTCGCTCTCGAAAGGTTTCCCCCGCGTTCCCCGCCTGCACGCTACCATTCTGCAGCGAGTCGCCATGATTCAATTCTTTCACGCCGTTGGTTCCCGACGCGTCGTTCCCGCTGTAACCGCCATGGTCCCCGGACCACCAGCAAATCGAATCGTATCCTACCAAATTTTCTGGAACTTGGCATTCCTCCTGGTTCGTGGCCACGTCAGCAGTTGAGTTACCTTCTTTCGCGTTCAGTGACGATTCGCCGGATAGGTTTGCCGCGCCGTGCCAAAGGTGGAGGCTTGGTGGGTCAGTGTACAGCGTATACGGGTCTATGAAGATGCTGTAGAATAGTAACGGAACCACCGCTATCACGAATAGCGCTAGCAAGACCACACAAGGTAGCCACGACTGTTTCGAGTCATGAGCTAAGAACACTGCCATGGGGGGCCTTCGTCCGACGAAATAGCAGCCAACTTGAAATCAATCATCTCGTGAGAGTCGAGATAAACCTCACGATATCATATTTGAGATCGTACGGTCCTGGATTATAATCCATTTCGGCTCTTGATCAATTCTCTACTCTCTAGGGTGCTGCGATTTGAAGCCTACGGTCGGCCCTAGTAGAAGGCTGCTCGCACAAGGTTGCTGAAGCAAATTTGCAGGGTCGATGGATACTTGCATTGCAAGCACGCACGCACGATCCCTCGGGAAGGCCGCCAGTGGCTGTGGCTAGGAAATAACTTTCTGCAGAGCTCCCTTGCGGTGGAGCAGCAGCAGCAGCAGCAGTAACTTTTGGATTTACTGTACTCCTTTCCGGTCCGCGGAAACTTTTGGCACAAACAAACGCCCTTCCCACCCACCGCTCTGTGCACGGTGCTCAGCACCGGGACAGATTTGCAGGGAATGTTGCGGTCCCAAAAATGTCCCACGCCCAATCATTTCCCTCCGCCCCAAACTTGAGACGTTTTCAAATGCTGGCGAAAATTAGGGCGTGTAACCGTTAAGCTTTTTTATGGTTACACGCCCTAATACTGTGTCGCGAATAACGCTGCGCGATGGGAGGGGATGCTCTGCTCGCGATGCTATGGTATCGTGGGATCCTAATCCAGGTCCGTCGTGACATATTCTCGATTCTCACGAGATGATTGGTCTCAAGCTGACGACTATTTTGTCGGACGAAGCCTCGTCATGGCAGCTTCCTTAGCTCATGAGTCGAAACACTCTTGGCTTGTACCTTGTGCGGTCTTGCTAGCGCTATTCGCGATAGCGGTAGTTCCGTTACTATTCTACAGCATCTTCATAGACCCGTATACGCTGTACACTGACCCACCAAGCCCCCACCTTTGGCGCGGCGCGCTTTCCGCGGCAAACCAATCCAGCGAACCGTCACTGAACGCGAAAGAACAGGGTAACGCAATTGGCGCTGACGTGGCCACGAACCAGGAGAAATGCCAAGTTCCGGAAAATCCACTAGGATACGATCCGATTTGCTGGTGGTCCGGAGACCATGGCGGGTACAGCGGAACCAATGGCGTGAAAGAATTGAATCATGGCGACACGCTGCAGAATGGTTCAACGCAGCAGAATGGTAGCGTGCAGGCAGGGAACGCGGAGGATACTATCAGGCAACGACAAACGGGAGGAGTTTTGATTTTTGGCGGGGGGTGCTCCCGTTGCACGGTGGGCGAGCTTTGCGCGTTCGAGATCGCCGTTAGACCTCCTGCCAAATGGGTACCTCATAAAGCCCGGCTGAGCCAGATCGCACAAGGCAAAAAGGCGTGGACCATGAGACATACAGGCGGCGGCGGCGGCGGCGGCAGCAGCAGCGGCGCGCGGATAGGTATGGGTGGGATGCTCGAGTCGCTGGTGGTGAGGCTGATGGGGCCCGCGTTGGTTATAGCGGATGTGACTACAGAGGACGGTGACGTCACGCGCTGGCGAGTCATGTACCGCGTGTGGGATGCTGGTGTCTACAGGTGAGGCTTGCGCGGAGGGGGAGGGGGAGGGGGAGGGGGAGGGGGAGGAGGAGGAGGAGGGAAGGAGGGAAAGAGGGAGGGGGAAGGAAGGAGTGAGGGAGGAAATGGGGAAGTTGGGGAGGGGAAGAGTGGGGGAGCGGGAGGGGGAAGGAGGGAGGAGGCAGGTAACGTGGAAGGAGGGTACTGGGGGTAACGGGTAGCAGGTGAAGGGTGAGGAGAGTGGGTGTGGGGAAATGGATGGGTTGGGCAATTTGTGCTTCTTATTCCGTTCCCTCCCCATTCCTTCCTCTCCACTTCAGTTCAGCCTTCACATGCTCACTATCGGTAATCTTATATGCCCTTCTTTCTTTCTGCACCCCTCCACGCCATCCCCCAATCAACCAGTGTCCGCGTCCAATCAGAGTGCGACATGCTGGACTTTGCGTCAGACTACTTGCGTCGGGTCCGAAAGACAAAATCGCATGTCATGGCCGAATGGGTTCTCACTGTCCTCCCACCCACCAAATCATCCGCCGGACCAGTTTCCACACCCACCGAACCAACCACCGAATCAGCTACCAACTCATCCACCGAATCGGTTACCAACCCATCCACCAAACCTGCTACCGAACCTGGACCAGCTCCTACCACAGAGTCCCAAGCCAGCAACAGACCCTCTCACGATGCAACGTATGGTCCAGATTCGCCGTGCGACCATGCCATCCACGGCCGGTGGCTGATCAACGCACAGAAGCAGGCCTACGAGTGGCAGCTCTACCTCTGCGCGCACCCCCTCCCCCCCGCCTCCCAATGGCTCTCCTCCCTCCAATCTCGGGGCATTTTTGAGATTAACTTTGTCGGGGATTCTCACGTTCGATTCCTCTACCATCACCTCTATTTTCTCCTTACCGGCAAGGCTAATGCGTCAACTGTACATTACTATGCAGACCTTCAATTGGTCGTGCCGCCCCCTAGCCCAGATTTGCAGCCTCTGAAGCTCAATTTCTATTGGATCGGAGGGATTTACATCGACGGGCCTTTTGGCTGCAGGTGCAGTGTGGGATCAAAGCTTGATTGTTTTTCCCTTTCCTCTTATCAGTTTTGTTCTCTCCCATTCCATGGTTTTCATCGCTTATTTTTGTGGCGTTCAGCTTTCAGTTGAGTAGCAGGGCATGGCTAGATCTCAGATAGTTTAAGGCTCTAATCACACTCTACATGCCTTCCCATCCTTCCTGAATTCATGGATCATGGCTCTAAGCTGAATGGCAGATCATTTGCTGTCCTTGTAGCTTTAGTCTTTGTGTCGCTCAATTATTCCCGGAGTTCAAGTCTCTAAACACACTACACGTGCCTTTCCATCCTTCCTGCCACTCCTCCCTTCACTGTAATCACCGTGCAGCTATAAGAACGTCACGAAATTCGATCTGCTAAGGTTTCCAAACATTTCCATGACAGCCAGTGTGACGCTTGTAGACGGCGGCTTCTGGATGACAATTTTCTGCGCCGAGCCGGAGAACGCCTTGGGATATTACCTCCCCAACTACCTGCAGTGGGTTTACTCTCAGAGGGAACTGGCAATGCAGGCACAGCGGCAGCCGCCGCCGCCGCCGCAGCAGCAGCAGCAGCAGCAGCAGAAGAAGCAGCAGCAGGGAAATCAAACCTTGACGCTGCCCGCCACGGCAGGCCCTTGGTTTCTGTTCCGAAGCATCCCTCCAAGGCGGCTCAACGACTTTTGCTACGACGGAACAAACACACTAATTGCACACATGAACAGAGTTGTTGCCAGGCACTTGGGACGGTACGGGCTGCAGCTTCTCAATGATTGGCTGATCGCAGCCCCTCGCCCCGACGATACGTGCGGGCCAAAGGATCCGCACCACACCTGCTTTGCCGAAGCTGTGAACGGCAAGAAGAATATGGAAACGGATGGGAGGTATGAGGGGGTTGTGGGAGAAGCCATGGTGTGGAATTTGGTGTACCATCTCTTGTATAATCTGACTTGAATATGCTCAGATTTCATCAGTACATGCCTGAGCGCACTTGGGTTCTAAATGCACCCTGCAGAAGTTTTTGCCCAGGTCCTTTTTCGGAACCCATTGCAGGTGAACCGACATCTGTTTAGGGATTCCATGGAGTCAAGGTGTTCCATATTGCTCAATTACCGGTAGGCTCACCAAATGTACACAGAACTTCCCTACACATACGGCGAAGGACATTGTAAAAAACTGGCCCTAGATTAGACCCGGCACTGGCAACAACCTGACAACTTGGCCTTATGAAGAGTATTGATAGTACTCCTACACTCATTCGGTACTCCAATCTCCACAAGGAAATCAAACCATGGAAATTAAACTAGGTGATGTGACGGCACATCAAGCACTCAGAGTGACAATTGACAGCCCAGAATGCCAAGTGCTCTGTGCCCCTGGCCCTCTGGCCTCCTTTGTTGGGTTTGCACGAAGTACTACGGTTGCCTGAAGCTGAAACCAGGGTCGGGCTGAGCGGAGCAGCTTTTGAGTCGACTCAAAAGCGTTTGCACCAAGTACGGTTGCCTGACGCTGAAACCAGGGTCGGGCAGAGCAGAGCAGTGGGCACCTTGCAACGGGTCGCTCGGATCGCCGCGTAAGTTACTTGAAGCTGAAACCAGTGGGTGGGCCAGGGGGGGCTCTCCTAGACGTGGCACGCAAGGGATTCCCCATCCCCCCTCCTGCATCCATCCCCCCTGCTAGGGTCTGCCTTAGCGGGCTCGCACTCCTGGCAGTACTTGCAGATGGGACCATGGGCGGCCCCCGAGCCATCACCGGACCTGGGACCATAGCTCCGGGAACTCCCGCGCCTAGCGGGTTCGGCACGGAGCCCATGGTCATGCCGCGGGTGATAGCTGGCGGCTGTTGATTGGTGGAGGAGGAGGAACGGGTGGGCTGGAATGACGATGCATGTGAGATACCATAGGAAGGAGCTCCAGTTGCTGCTGCTGCTCCTGCTGCTGCTGCTGCGGATGAGGTGGGAGGGGTGGGAGAAGCAGCAGCAGCACCGGCCGCTGCTGCTGCAGCGGCTGCTACGGCTGCCGATGCTGACGATTTGGAAGGTTTGGAAGAGGAGGATGATGATGAGGACGAGGAGGATGGTGGTGGTGGGGGCGTTTTTCGAGAGGAAGGGGAGGGAAGGGTGCTGGAATCAGCAGAGGGTTCTTCGAGGATTGTGGGAGCGGCAGGGGCTGCCTTGTTGAACGCTGTTCTCCACGCGTCCACTGTCTCCTTGGTGCCTGGTTGGACAGCGGGACACAATATGGCACAGAGAGAGGGCGGACACGCATGGAGATTTGAAGGAACGGCAGGGGCTGCCTTGTTGAAAGCTGCTCTCCACGCGTCCACTGTCTCCTTGGTGCCTGGTGGGACAGCAGGGCACAATATAGCACAGAGAGAGGGCGCACATGCACAGAGATTTGAAGAAACGGCAGGGGTGGCCTTGTTGAAAGCTGTTCTCCACGCTTCCACTGTCTCCTTGGTGCCTGGTGGGACAAGATGGAAGCAGGGATGGCACAGCATGGCATTGAGAGGGGATTCAAGAAGACATAGAGGGGTGCACATGGCACAGAGAGAGGTGGACATGGCACAGAGAGGAATGCACATGGCACAGAGAGAAGAGGACATGGCAGGGAGACCCGAAAAGACAGACGCCCACCTTGTCCTTCGTCCTCAGCAGACGCCCGTGCCTCATGCAAACTAAGCGCCCTCTTGAGTTGCAGCATGGCATCGCGCATGCGCTTGAACTTGTCGCGTTTGCCGGCGCTCTCGGAGTCCTCCTGCAGCATGGAATGCAGCCGGTCGTCCGACATGCCGCTCACCGTCTGGTACAGCTTCGTCAGCATTGAGTCTCGCGCCCGCTCCACCTGAGCCAGCACTATGGCCTGATGTGTCATCATGTGGTGGTGGTGGTGTGGAAGGGGGAAGAGGGGAGGGCAGAGGGGGAAGAGCGGGGGGGCAGTAGAGGGGAATATGGTGGTTGGAAGGGGGGACGGAGGGAGGGGAAGGAGAGGGAGTGAGTTGAAGAATGCCGGCACTCTCCGCGTCCTCCTGCAGCATGGAGTGCAGCCTGTCGTCCGACATGCCGCTCACCGTCTGGTACAGCTTCGTCAGCATGGAGTCTCGCGCTCGTTCCACCTGAGCCAGTACTATGGCCTGATGTGTCATCATGTGGTGGTGGTGGTGGAAGCGGGAAGAGGGTATGGCAGAGGGGGAAGAGCGGGGGCAGTAGTGGGGAAGATGGTGGTTGGAAAAGGGGGAGGGAGGGAGGGGAAGGAGAGGGAGGGGAAGGAGAGGGAGTGAGTCGAAGGCTTGCCGGCGCTCTCGGCGTCCTCCTGCAGCATCGCCTGCAGCTTGTCGCCCGACATGCCGCTCACCGTCTGGTACAGCTTCGTCAGCAAGGAGTCTCGAGCTCGCTCCACTTGAGCCAACACTATGGCCTGATGTGTTGTTGTTGTTGTTGTGGGTGAGTGAGAGAGAGGAGGGAGAGGAAGGAGAGGGGGTGAGGGCATATCTATGCAGCTTCAGCGTCTGGTACTGCTTCGTCAGCATGGAGTCTTGAGATCTCTCCACATGAGCCAGTACTATGACCTGACGTGTTGTGAGGTGACTTTTGAGTCCACTCAAAAGTCACCAGTACTATGGCCTGACGTGTTGGGGTGTGTGGGCGCAGGGAGGAGGGAGAGCAAGGAGGGAGAGGAAGGAGAGGGAGAGGGAGTGAGGGCCTGTCTATGCACCCTACAGGTACACGGACAAATATACACACACGGAGCCTCACCTTGGGAATGTTGTCAGCCAGGTGCACGAGCACTGCCTGCACGTATGGCCGCACCTCCATCACCTGGTACCGTAGCCAATAAACCCTTGAATACCCCATTACCCCATGTCGCAATCTCCGAGCCTCACCTTGGGGATGTTGTCAGCCAGGTGCACGAGCACAGCCTGCACGTATTGCCGCACCTCTGTCACCTGGTACCGCAGCTCCTCCTCCGGATTCACTTAGAACAACGCACTGCCGCCACCAGCACAGGGCCTCTTGCCCCTATCTCACACCCACAGGCACCCAGTCACACACGCACACTCGCACACACACATGCACACACGGAGCCTCACCTTAGGAATGTTGTCAGCCAGGTGCACAAGCACTGCCTGCACGTATCGCCGCACTTCAGCCACCTGGTACCGCAGCTCCTCCTCCAGATTCGCCACCCGCCCTGCCCCCGCCGCCCCTCCCCCTCCCAGCCCCAGCGCCCCCGGCACAATATTGCCCCCACCCCCACCACCACTACCAGCCGAATCACCATCCCTGCTGCTGCCATCGTCTCCTGATTGGTCGGTGTCGCCCCCGGTGGAAGAGGAAGGGGGAGGGGGAGGTGGCGCCTCCTTGAAGGCCTTGGTGTGGCTGCGCAGGCGCGCCACCCACTGCTGCTTCTCTGCCATGTTGTCTGCCCTCAGGATGAGCGACTGGTGCACTGGAGGAGGGGGGAAGGAGGGGGAGGAACAACATGTAGGGGTAGGTGATGAGGACAGAGGGAGAGTGAGCTAGCCAACACCCACTGCTGCTTCTCCGCAATGTTGTCTGCCCGCAGGATGAGCGACTGACTGGTGGAACCAGGGGAGGGGAGGGGAGGGTGATGGGGGAGGGGGACAACGTTGAGAATGATGAGGATGGAGAGTCGGGAGGGAGTGAGAGGAGGCAGGATACAAGGGGCCTTGAGTTGACCATCTTGGTGTGTTGCTGCCCATGCTCACAAACATGGGGTAAACACATGCCTTTGACCAAGGCTTGTCACATGTGACAAGTGGGATATTCATTTGAGTTGACCATAGTCTACACACTTTGCCCAGTTACACCACCTTTGACCAGCGTTGACCCACTTTTGACCAGAGTTGACCCACCTTTGACCAGCGTTGACCCACCTTTGACCACGGTCTTGTACGGCACTCTGTTGCCGATCTTGAAGGAGAGTGCTTGCGCTGATGGGTTCGACCCTGCCTTGATGTCCGACGCTGAGGGTACCTCCTCTGGCGGCACTATCTCGTCTATTATGCAGTCCTGTAACGAGTAAAGCAAAAACGGGGACAAATAGAGGGTTAGTAGGAGGGTATTCCGGATTTCAGCCCTTTATGCCTCTATTTCGTCCACTAAGCTGCAGTCCTGTAACATTTGTTTTGCAAAAACGGGGACAGAACAGAAGGAGAGCAGAAAAATACTTTTGGAGAGGGAAATGTACCCAGCCTCAACTACCCCACCTCAACTACTGAGTGAAATCCTAGCAGACAGAGTCTAAAACCCTCCATCCAAAAAGAACAGTAGAAGAATACAAAAAAGTTGCCGCCTTCCTCCTACCAAAGCATATCATCAAGACAGCGACTACCTTCCTCCACTCCCCAAGTCAATGAACGACTGTTGGTTGCTGCTTTACCTACCTTGAGAGGAAGTGACTTTTGAGTCGACTCAAAATTCACCTCCTTACCAAAGCAGATCATCAAGACAGAGACTACCTTCCTCCACTCCCCGTGTCAATGAACGACCGTGGGTTACTGCTTTTGCCTATTTCAAGAGGAATGACTGCCCCTAGGCGTCTTCTCACCAGGCTTCTTTACACAGTAGAGCCGCAGGGCCGGGCACAGGTAGAAAGTGAATTATGAGACGTCTCAAAAAACCACTTTCTACACGTGGCTTCTTCACATAGTAGAGCCGCAGGGTCGGGCACGGTGGACATGGTGGGAAACAACCATAGAAGCTTGTTTGAGCACGGCGGACATGGTGGGAAACAACCATAGAAGCTTGTTTAGGCACGGTGGACATGGTGGGAAACAACCATAAAAGCTTGTTTAGGCACAGCGGACATGGTGGGAAACAACCATAGAAGCTTGTTTAGGCACGGCGGACATGGTGGGGAACAACCATAGAAGCTTGTTTAGGCACGGCGGACATGGTGGGAAACAACCATAGAAGCTTGTTTAGGCACGGCGGACATGGTGGGAAACAACCACCACACCCCCCCCCAATCCTTACCTCAAGCGGAATGACTCCCCTAGGCGTCTTCTCATCGGGCTTCTTCACACATAGTAGAGCCGCAGGGCCGGACACGGCGGACATGGTGGGAAACAACCACTACACTATGGGTAGGGGAAACTATTGGTGTCTTACCTCGAGAGGAATGACTCCCCTAGGAGTCTTCTCATCGGGCTTCTTCACGTAGTAGAGCTGTGGGGAATGGAGGGAACGGCACGGCGGCACAGGAGGGAAAAGAAAAGAGAAGCGTGGTGGGCGTAGTGGAAAGGGAGGGAGACAGAGTGGTGAGTGGAGGGGACAGGAGGGAGAAGAGTGGCGAGGGGAGGAAAGAGGGAGGAAAGAGAGAGGGAGAGAAATAGTGCTTTCTGCACCCTGCGGGCGGGTGTTGAGTCAACATGAAACTTGAATAGCGAAGAAGGGACGTGAGGCAAATGGTACGTGAGGGAAGTGGTTACGCTGTATGTGTGTGTGTGGCATAGCATACCCGGCAGTCTTGTCGCTGAGTGCGAACCATCGCTTGCTCCACCCTCCAGGTGAGCTCTGACTTTACTCAAAGCTCGCATAGAAAAGCAAGGAAAACTTCTGAGGCAAATCGTCTGGTGATTGCACTTTGCGTACAGCCAGCATACCCGAGCAGTCTTGTCGCTGAGTGCGAACCAGCGCTTGCTCCACCCCCCCTTGGAGCTCACTTTCCACAAGAACCCTGCCAGGAGGAATGACAGCGACAGCAGCAAGAACAGTGATGACAGTTTTTGAGACGTCTCAAAAACAAGCTTAATTCATGTCGCTTGCTCCACCCTCCCTTGGAGCTCACTTTCCACAAGAACCCTTTTGAGACGTCTCAAAAGGTGCAAACCAGCGCTTGCTCCACCCTCCTTTGGAGCTCACTTTCCACAGGAACCGTGCCAGAGAAGTGACAGTAACGACAGAAAGGACAGCAACAACAGCAACGGCGGCAAGAACAAAACGGGTTCAATCTGTGTTAGACTCAGACATGTAGGTGTCCAGATTGAATCCATACCCAAGCAGTTTCTACGAGAAGCCTGATATGGTGTCCAGCAAGCAACAGCAGCAAAAACCACAAGGGATCTAACTGTGTGAGAATCAGACAAAAAAAACCCTGACTGGGTGAGCATGGCAACAACAGAAACAAGCAACAAAGCAAGGATGACTCTAAGCTCTTTCACGGGAGCCGAGCCAGAGAGGCTGCAAGGCGTTGGCACAGGGCGGAGAGGAGGGGTGGTGTCCTTCTCGCAGCACTTCATCCCATCCGCATCCCATCCCACCCCACCCCATCTCATTCCACAGCGTCACAACCGGTCTCAACCCATCTCAACCCATCACAGAACAGCACAGCACCTGCAAGCTCCTTGACGGGACCCAGGGGCTGAGAGGCATCGGTGGGTGGCGGAGGAGGGGGAGGCTCCTTCTTGCGGGAGAAAGATGACATGGCAGAGGCAAAGCGGCCTCCCCCACTGTCTCCTGTCGACTGGGGGACGGGGTGGGGGGGTTGGGAGAAGGCCGACGAACAAGGAGAGGGCGAGGGAAAACATGTTTGACGCGCCTCAGAAATCAGACTGTCTCATTACACCAGCGGATGCGAGATATCAGCAGAGGGCGGAGGAGGGGGAGGCTCCTTCTTTCGGGAGAAGGATGACATGGCAGAGGCAAAGCGGCCTCCCCCACTGTCTCCTGTCGACTGGGGTAGAGGAGGGAGGATGAGGAGGGGTGAGAGAACGAGGAGGAGGTGAGGGAGACATGAAAAACTTATGAACAGAACGAGAAATAGAGATATTGTACTTGCAGAGAGAAGCAAGGAGAGGGAGAGAGCATTTATGTAAGGATCGGCAGACAGAAAAAAACTCAGGGAGCAGGAGGGTGGCAGCAGTTCCGAGAGTAGGAGAGAGGCCAAAGTGACAAGGACGACTCACGGAGCGGGAGAGCACGCCTCGGTCCTGCAGGCCCTTGCGAGCCACCTCCAACTCCTTCCACATCTTCTCCTGCCTGGCGGGTGGAAGAGGAAAGAGAGAGAGAGGGTGGGCGAGGGGATGGGACGGGAGGGGGTTTGCGGCATCTCAAAAGTTGGCCCTTGCGAGCCACTTCCAACTCCTTCCACAGCTTCTCCTGCCTGGCAGATGGAAGAGGAAAAATAAGGAGGGACGGGGGTTCTGCGGCACCTCAAAAGACCCATCCCAGCTCAGCTCACCCATCCCAACCACCCATCCCAACCACCCATCTCAACCACCCATCCCAACCACCCATCCCAACCACCCATCCCAGCTCAGCTCAAATCAGCTCACCCATCCCAGCCCAGCTCATCTCACCGCCTGTACTCCGCCTCAATATAGTGAGAGGGCAGCACAGAGCCCTTCTCCATGTGACTCTTGAACCAACTTAAAGCCCACCTCTTCACCGCCCTCCCTCCCTCCCTCTGCAATTCCCCAAATCCCCGGGCTGACCTTTTGTACTCCGCCTCAATGAAGTGCGACGGCGGCACGAATCCCTTCTCCATGTCCACGATGGCTGTCACCATGCGCTTCGCCTCCGCGCGATACTCGTCCAACGCTGCCGAGGCGATGGCCACCAGCTGTCATGTGGGGGGAGGCAAGGGAGTGGCGAGGAGGGAGAAGGGCCACGACCATGAGCCCTTTTCTCCATGTCCACGATGGCTGTCACCATGCGCTTAGCCTCCGCGCGATACTCGTCCAACGCTGCTGATGCTATGGCCACCAGCTGGGAGTTAATGGGAGAGGGGAGGAGGGGTTAGAACGGGAGAAAGCAGTGAGAGGGTGCCGTAGATATGAGCCCAACTCTCCATGTCCACGATGGCCGTCACCATGCGCTTCGCCTCTGCGCGATACTCGTCCAATGCTGCCGATGCAATGGCCACCAGCTGGGAGGGGAGGGGAGGGAGTGGAGGGGGGAAGAGAGAAGCAAGCAAGGGGCGGTGGAGAGGTGGCATGGCATACGCCAGTCACCATGCACCAGTATGTGAAGGTACACTTCACCTCCACCAGATACTCACTCGACCAGTGCTACTGAGGCGATGGCCCACCAGCTGATTGAAAGTGTGGGGGCGAGGAAGGAAGGGAGCGGGGAAAAGGGAGGGTAAGAGGGCAGGGCGCTGTAGCCGTAATGCCACGTGCTCGGACTAATGCAGATGGGGCTATGACCATGGGGTGGGGAGGCTATGATAGAGGGGACAGAGGGGCATGCGTGCTAGAAGTTTGTTGCTCCCACTTACTTTATGATGAGCCATGGGGGTTCGGAAAGGAAGAGTGGGAGAGAGGGAGGGGGGATGGGGAGGGAGGAGAAGGCGTGGGGACGGGATGAGGAAAGCATTGGTGCTTGGAAAGGGGAGGAGAGAGGGCGGGGGCAGCTGTGAAGATGGGGTGAAGTGAAATGGGAAGCTTATAGGCAGCCAGTCACTGTACCTCTGTTTTCATGGGTGGGAACCGGACGAGCGAAGGGGCTTGGGATGCAGCACCTGCAACGATGTCCACAAGAATCTTGTGCACCTGCAATGGATGGATGCGCATGGTATGACATGGTGTGAGCCGTTATAAGAAGAATGGCAGGCATCTATGACACACACACATCAAGAGTTGAGTGGTGTGGCACGAGGCTTCTGAAGAAGCTTCTCGTCCCAGCTTCAACCACATCACATCACGCCCACTCAGTTTAACCCAGCCAGATTAGTGGCTGGCAGGTAGGTAGGTGATCAAATCCAATAATTTTAGAAAGAAAAGCAGCAACAATCGGGCTTTCCCTTTGACCCTCCGTCCCCTGCTCCCTCCCCTTTCCTCTCACCTCCACACAGTCAATGCCGGGCTGCTTGGCCAGCTGCAGGCTCCTCTTGATGAGAAGACAGTCAATCAGAGTCAACTGAGTCAATCGTGGTCAAACTCCTGCTCTCACCTCGTCCACACAGTCAATGCCCGGCTGCTTGGCCAGCTCCAGGCTCCGTTTAATGAGTAGACGCAGGCCCTTCTCAGGCGACAGCAGGTATGGCTGATACCCATCTGCCACCATCACCACCTGGTGGGGTAGCAGTGGTGGGAGAGTGATGGAAGGGAGGAAAGGAGGGATAGGCGGTGGTGAAAGGGAATGGCGACGGCGACAGCCGTTGTTGCATTGACCAGAAATATATATGAAGGCCCTTCCGCTGGTGACGGCAGGTATGGCTGGCAGGCAGCCATCCGCCACCACCACCAGCTAATGGAGCAAACAGGACAGCATCATCGACGGCCCACTCACCTTGTTGACATTGTCAAAGCTGAACATGTCGTCTAGCGGGAGCCCTCTGAAGCGCAGCCGCAGAGGCAATCCTTTTCCAGTCGACTACAGAGTCGGATCATTCACTCACCTCCTTCACGTTGTCAAAGCAGACCATGTCGTCCAGAGGAAGTCTATTTATGAGGCGCCTAAAAAATAAACACCATCGACGGGTCACTCACAAATGGGTCACTCACTCACCTTCTTGACGTTGCCAAAGCTGAACATGTCGTCCAGAGGGAGCCCCTTGAATGAAGCGCAGTGGCAATTATTTTTCAGCTGATTATGGAGTCAGTAAGGTCACTCACCTCCTTGACGTTGTCAAAGCTGAACATGTCATCCAGAGGGAGCCCTCTGAAGCGGAGGGGTGATCATTTTTCAGTCGACTATAGAGTCCGTCGGGTCACTCACTCACCTTCTTGACGTTGTCAAAGCTGAACATGTCGTCCAGAGGGAGCCCTCTGAAGCGCAGCGGCAGCGTGCCGACAAACTTCTCCACCATCTGCGACCCTCCGCCCTGTGGGTGTGGAGTGGAGTGGAGGCGTAACGGGTGCATGCATGGAATAATGGGGTTTGTTTGAGCATGCTACTGCAAGGAAAGCCTTGCAGCGCAGGGGCAGCATGCCGACAAACGTCTCCACCATCTGCGACCCTCCGCCCTGTGGGTGTGGAGTGGAGGTGAAGGGGTGAGTGAGAGCAAGGCGAAATGGTGGACGCAAGGAGCCAGAACCCAGTCTGACCGAGCGTGCTGCTGAACGGTCTGATTTCAAAAGCAGCGACTGTTGTCCTAGGATCCAAGTAGAGCATGGAAGAAAGAAACCTAGAGCATGGGAAGTAGCAGGCTTCGTTCTTCAAGCATGGAAGGAGTCTAGAGTGTGTTTATTCCTCCCCCTTCTGCCACACCTGCATCTCTGCCTTGCACCTCACCTCCCACAGCGCACGCACCTCACTGCCATCCAGGTGTTCGCAGAACTTGGTCTCAAATCCTCGGCACAGCTCCAACGCAAGGGCACGCGAGCCGTTGAGGTTGGACACGGAAGAGCAGCCCTTTCCATTCCCCTCACCTGGCCCCTCCATACCACCTTGAGGCACCCCATAATGCCCCCTCCCGAACACACACACGGCACCTCACTGCCATCCAGGTGTTCACAGAACTTGGTCTCAAACCCTCGGCACAGCTCCAGGGCCAGCGCACGTGAGCTATTCAGGCTAGAAACGAAAGAGAAGCCCTATCCTCTCTCCCTACCTGCCCCCTCCATCCATACCACCTTGCAACACCCCATAATGCCTCCTCCCCAGCGCACGCACCTCACTGCCGTCCAGGTGCTCGCAGAACTTGGTCTCAAACCCTCGGCACAGCTCCAGGGCGAGGGCACGCGAGCCGTTGAGGCTGGAGACCAGTGAGTCGCCCAGCCTGAGTAGCTCCGCATCCACCTCCTGAGACCGACCCTCCAGGCTGACGGGAACAGGGAGAGGGGAGGCCAGGAGACATGAGCTTTTCAAACCCTCGGCACAGCTCCAGGGCGAGGGCACGCGAGCCGTTGAGGCTGGAGACCAGTGAGTCGCCCAGCCTGAGTAGCTCCGCATCCACCTCCTGAGACCGACCCTCCAAGCTGACGGGAACAAGGAGAGGGGAGGCCAGGAGACATGAGCTTTTCAAACCCTCGGCACAGCTCCAGGGCGAGGGCACGCGAGCCGTTCAGACCGGTGACGAGGGAGTCTCCCAGCCTGAGTAGCTCCGCATCCACCTCCTGAGACCGACCCTCCAAGCTGACGGGAACAGGGAGAGGGGAGGCCAGGAGACATGAGCTTTTCAAACCCTCGGCACAGCTCCAGGGCGAGGGCACCGGAGCCGTTCAGACCGGTGACGAGGGAGTCTCCCAGCCTGAGTAGCTCCGCATCCACCTCCTGAGACCGACCCTCCAAGCTAATATGGGGGTTGAGGGAGTAAGAGAGGAGGCAGGAACGGGGGAAAGGTGGGGGGGAGGGGTTGGTTTAGAAAAGGGAGGTAAGAATGTATGAATTGGACTCTGGAGGCAGTTGAGGCTGGAGACCAGGGAGTCATCAGCCTGAGTAGCTCCCGACCCACCTCCTCAGACCGACTCTCCAAGCTGATGGGTCCGGGAGAGGGGGGTAAGGTGAGCCAGTGAGAGTGAGAGTGAGAAGAGCGGGTGAGAGACACTTATGCGGACATAATACAGAAGGTTGCCACCTTCATTTGTGAGCAGAGGGAAGGTGTGAGAGAGTGAGCCACTGAGCGTGACCGTTTTATGGGAGTGACGGTGTGGAGGGGGTGAGAGATGCTTGCGCAAACATAATGCTGGAATTTACTGCTTCGCCTTGTGAGAAGAGAAAGGGTGGGTGAGTGGGTGAGCGAGTGAGAGGACGGGGTGAGGGAGACTTACGCAGACATGATGCGCGGAATCTTCTCCTTCATCTTGTGCCGCACGGTGCGAGCAATCAACCGCAGCAACGCATCGCGACCCATGGGCGTGTCCATGCCCTTCACGCCATTCGCCCGCATCACCTGCCATGCAAGGCATGCAACGAAACACAACACAGCGCAAGGACGGAAGACAAAAGGTAAGCTGTTCCTTCCTAATCCTATATCATGGGCTCGTTCGTGCCACGTGAAGTGAGGGTGTTTTTGAGACGTCTCAAAAATCTCCACTGCCTTCCTTGTTGTTTCTCGGCTGCTCTCTCCTGTGTTCTGCAGGCACGTGAAGTGAGGGTGTTTTTGAGACGTCTCAATCCTATACAAAAACACCCTCACTTCACGTGGCTGTTCCTTCCTAATCCTACATCATGGGCTCGTTCATGCCCTTGTCCCCAAGAGGGGTGCCCAATCACCGCCACCGACATGACACACAGAAATTTGCACTGCACATTGCAACGGCTTCCAATACCCATCCATGCTCACCCAGCACGGAGCTCTCTCAACTCACCTGCGACAGGACCTTGAATGAACTCCTCCTGCCATGCAGCATGCCGGCATCCATGGGCACGACTCATTCCCAATCCCATTCAAACGAATCACCATTCACAACACAGCACAACTCTCACCTGCGATAAGACCTTGTATTCCTCCTGCCAAGCGCCATCCATGGGCTCATTTGTGTCCTTGTCCCCCAGCGGCTGCCCAATCACAGCCACCCACGGGTAGTCCTGAGCCATGGCCGCCCCCTGCTTCTGAAGCAGGTCCACTGCCAGCTTCGCTGTGTCCCTGTCCTTCATCACTTGGTCGAATTTCGTTATTACTCCAATGGTCCTCACACCTGGGGTTGGTTGCACAGAGAAGAGATTGAAAAGGGCATGCGTTTAGTCAACCAACCTGCCTCTGCAGCAGGTCCACTGCCAGCTTCGCTGTGTCTCTGTCCTTCATCACTTGGTCAAACTTCGTAATGACTCCAATCGTTCTCACACCTGCATTGGGGGAAATGGAAACGGAAAAGGAGAGCTTCAAGTGCCCCTGCCTCTGCAGCAGGCCCACTGCAAGCTTCGCCGTGTCTCGGTCACATCACTTGGTCAAACTTCGTAATTACTCCAATCGATCTCACACCTGTTCTCGGTGGCACGGAAAGAGATAAAAGATGTGTGTAATGAGTGCAACGCGCCTCTGCAGCAGGCCACTGCCAGCTTCGTCGTATCTCTGTCCTTCATGACTTGAAGCGATTTTAGTTATTACTCCAATCGTTCTCACACCTGGGGGGTTGATTGTACAAGGAGGAAATTGAAAAGGGCGGGCGTTTAGTCAACCAACCTGCCTCTGCAGCAGGTCCACTGCCAGCTTCGCCGTGTCTCTGTCTTTCATCACTTGGTCGAATTTCGTTATTACTCCGATGGTCCTCATACTTATTGAAAGAAACGAGCTTTTGAGTCCAACCAACCTGCCCAATGACCCTGTTCAGTCAGTCAGTCAGTCAGTCAGTCAGCCAGTACACTCTTCACTTCACCTTCTTGATCGATGTCGTGAGAAAATTGTGTACCTCTGAAATCGATGTCATCCCTGTCCTCCACTCTCTCAGCTTCCTTATCATCAATGTCGTGAGCAATGCATCGGTTCTTGAATCTTGAAGCGCCTGGAAACCCTATTCCCACTACTCACCTTCTTTGTCAATGTCGTGAGCGATGCGGAGGATCTTAAGAGAGTCCTTAACTGCCGTGGCAGAGATCACCACCAGGATGACTGCATCATTGTTGGACACGTTGTCCTGGAACTGCATGCATGCACGCACACGTGGAGTACAAGGCACGAAAGTACAGAATCGTCAAGACCAGTCTATGAGGCTGGCTTCACAAGAATCGTCTCACACCAGGATGACTGCATTGTTGTTGGGCACCTTGCTTGCCCTGGAGTGAAAGGAATGTGATTGGTTGAAGCACGCCAGGATGACTGCATGCATCATTGTTGAGCAACATACTGTCTGCCTTACAGACGAACTGAACAAATGATCAAGTACACATAAACGAGACAAGAAACAACACGTCATACACACGAGAACCGATTTAAGACAGCATGGTATGGCGCAGGGAAGGCTTACTGCTCCATCCATTTGAGATGCCTTCTCGATTCCAGGCAGGTCAATGATGCGCATTGGTGGGGCTGTGCAAGGGACGGGTGGCAATGGCCAACAGGAGAGAGAAGGCGCGGGGCGAGGAGACAGCAAGGAGAAAGTGGTGAGGCAACGGTGAGGGGAATTTGAAATTAACGGAACAACGGCAGTGTGGGAAAGAGAAGCCGGAGAAGCCAACCCCACTACACACCACCACTTTGTTTTGTATTCTGCACCGCAGCAGTGCAGGCAGATCTCGGACAAGGATGCCACGATGAAAGACTGAGAGGGGGAAAGACGGGAGACGGACAGACCGATTGGCGAGCGGAGGATGAGTTGCGCCTCCTCTCTGTGCCTGGACGACCCCTTGGCCTTGCTCATGTCCGACTGCAGTGCTTGCCGTATCTCCGCTGCACCCAGAGAGAAAAACGCAGGGAGCAGCAAAGAGAGAAGGACAGGCGAACGTTTCACTCTCAGATTGCCTGGAATGGAAACCCTCTCTCTGCTGACCACCAGAGTCAACAATTACCTAAGCACTCCTGGAGTTTGTTTCTATGAGTTGATTATCCCTGAAAAAAGTTTGCTCTTACAGGGCTTAGGCATGTTTGTTCTGGGGCCGAGATTGGCGCGCACAGAGCCGGCCGAAAGGTTCTGGTCGCGATGCAAGTCAACCAGCACTGGGAAGCGCGTGCACCCGCCCTCTCCTGTTGGCTGAGAGGGAAACCGAGCAAGGAGAACCCGGAAGAGAAGGCAAAAGTTGGGAAAAAGAAACACAACACAGGGCAGAAAGCAGAGGAGTCAGAGATCAGTCAGCAGAGCACCAGTAAGTGGGTTCTTATTGTGGTGCAACGACGTGCATGCATTAAATGCAACAGGAAGACATAGTACGGATTGCGGGTGACAGTGAGATGCATCCAGGATGACAACAGTAAAAGCATACGAAAATAAAAGTTTTCAGAAGAGGATACTCGTCCAATCAAAGTCAACAGTGAAACTACTGCTAAACCGCCTCAACTGTCACCAGCGAATGAAGCCCTCTAGTGGGCCAAGAGTTACCAGCGAGTGAAATAATCAACTTACGAAAGACCATCAAACTCGAGCACTTTTTAGCAGACACAGGAAAGACATGAAATATTCAATCCACTGACATACCAGGACGGCATGGCCGATGAGCGTGTTGAGGACAGCTGACTTTCCCGAACCCTGCAGGTAATGAGGGGAAAGCGAAGCGACCAGACTTGAAGCTCATTAAGAACAATTTATCAACAGGGAAAAGAAAACGACGGAAGAAGCGTGTGAGAATGAAAGCTTGATACTTGCTATAGAGTAACTGACGATTGTTCATACGGAGCCCTGGAGATAGTGACAACAGTCGGACACTGAAACGCCGTTCATGACAGAGTGCCGTACGCTACGAGATCATGTCGGAGTGCGTCGTACGCGAAGGTATCACAATAGCTTGTCGTACGTGTCGGACATGATGATCGACCGTGTCGTACGCTGAGGCATCACAATAGTGTGTCAGATGCGATGACACGTGTTGTTTGAGCGTCGTCCCGTAGCGCGGACGACGGACAGCAGGATGGGAGCAAAGCAGATTCCTAATGATGTGCTAAGAAGCGTCGTGCTTCCGTGTCGACTTGAAAGCGTGGTAACTCTGAGTCCCGAAGGTCGTACGCCTGTGTCGACTCAACAAGCAACATACGTCTGCGTCGACTCCAAAAGCATCGGACGTTCGACTGTGTTGACTGAACGAGCATCGTACCGGCGCGCCGATGACCAAAAGCTGGATGACGGGAGCAGAGCCCGAGCGAGGGTCCGCCTGAATGTCGTCTCCCACGAGCGCCGACGACGCCTGCTGTAACGTCTCGCCTAGCGATATTAGGTCGTCCATGGGAACCTACTGACTAATCGCAATCGTCGCAAGATTCGCGATAGTCGCAGTGGTTGCCACAATAATCGCGACGGACACCGCAACGGTTGGACGGAGCGAAACCAAGTAGTCTGACGAACCACCGCCGCAGCGATAAGTGAACTGTAATTGTTCGACAAAGTGATTAAAGAGAGGCGGCTGGATGTTTCTAAACACGCTTGTTTGGAGCGATCACATGAGATGATCAGCCGGAGATCACGCATGAGCTAGCGCAGCCAAATGGCCATGGATGGACCATGGAGCTCATATGAGAAGCTAAAAACGGAATTCCAAACGCTTGAGACCCAGCTGCTCACACGAGTGTGTACGCACAGCAGAACACGCCGTACGTTCCCAAGGTTGCTAGGTGAATTCTCGTCTCACGTACAGGTTCATGTCTGTTGTGTGTTCAGCTGACCCTCTGCGAGACGTCTTTGCAAATGACGAAACTGGTTACCGCAAAGGGGCACCCCACCCCTTTCTGCCCCAGAATGCAATTTCAAGGCTGGACGAAGCTCCCAAGGCTGGCGGGAGAGTGGAGAACAGATCAGAGATCAAGACTGAACACTTGTCTTGTCGGGCAGCGTCCCACATCCCGTGCCCGTGACCAGGGCTGTCGATTCAAGGGCATAAATGCCCTTAATGCCCTGAACATTCCGGGTTATGTTCGGCGCAGCTCGACCATTTTAAGGGTTTGATTCTACTGGCACCCGTGCTAGTGAAGGGCATCGTTTGGCCCTTCCCCGGACGCGTTAAGTGCTCAATCTGGGCCGTCCCCTGAATCTAAGTTCTACTTTCGGTTCCGCAGACCGCCCCCCTAAAATCTTGCGGAACACCCCCCTCCCCTTACCCCCCCTCTCCATGAAAGTTGCACAATAGGGCACCAGATGGAGGATGTTTCACTCGATATTTATCCAATCTAGTGTGTGTGTAGTGTCGATGTAGGAGATGAGTAGAAATGTAGTAGGTAGTGCAGCTGTAGTTGCACTACCAGCGAACGAGGAACTCAATCCTCCCGATTCCCGTGGGGTGTCGAATCCGATGGCTCGGGATTTTTTCGGGCTCGATGATCGGCTCCGATGCAGGGCGAGTCATGGATGGCGGGCGGTGACGAGGCAGTTGGCGTGTGGTTGGGATGTATGGGCGAAGTAGGCTGACGTGGAACGAAGGGCTGATGTACTAGTCCGTCGGCAACAGGAGGTGGGCTTTCACTGGGGTAATCATGTGGCTGATCTGGAATGGTCCACAGTAGCGGAGTCGCAATTTCGGTACGAAGGGCAGTTTTAAGTTCTGTGTGTCGAGCAGTACGTAATCTCCTGACCAGTACGTGACTTGGCGGCGGTGGCGGTCAGCGTTGCGCTTAGCAATGACGTTGGCCTTTTTAATTGCTTCTGCGGCTCTAGTTCGGGCAGCTTGCAAAATTTCGGCGAATTGCTGTGCATGTGGTGTTGGGTTGTCCGGACTCGGTGTCATGGGCACTGTAGGGTTTTGCCCGTAGTTCAGGTAGAAAGGGGACTGCTGCGTCGTCGCTGACGTGGCGTTGTTATACGCAAACTCGATCAGCGGCAGCAGCTGCTCCCAAGTGGTCGGGTCGTCGCACGTGGCACGAATCAACTGCTCCATCGTCTGATTCGTCCGCTCCGTTTGACCGTTGGTCTCGGGTTGGTACGACGACCTGAACTGTAGCCTTGTCCCGAACTGCTCCCAGAGGTTCTTCCAGAAGTTGCTGGTGAACTTCGTGTCGCGGTCGCTGATTATCGCGGCTGGTATCCCGTGAAGTCGAACGACGGTTGCGATGAACAGGCGAGCGGTTTCTTCGGCTGAGATCGATTTCTTGCACGTGGCGAAGTGTGCCATCTTCGTCAACCTGTCAACGACGACCATAACTGCGTCGTTACCCCCAGGGTTCAAAGGTAACCCCGTGACAAAATCCATGGTAACCTGCTGCCGGGCGCGCTCAGGCGGTGGAATCGGCTGCAACTGACCTGCCTTTCTTTTTCGCAAGCTCTTCATCGCCTGACACGTAGGACACGAGCCCACGTGGTGCTGTACATCGGTCAACAGCTCCGGCCAGTAGTAATACCGCTGCAGTTGCTGTCGCGTTTTTTCTACCCCGAAATGTCCCGAGGTAATCCCGTCGTGTGCCTCCTGCAGTAGCAGTTCCCTCGGTAGTGAGTACGCGGGTACCCAGATGCAGCTGGTGCCTGTATCTACGTAATAGACCCCTCTGGCCTCTGCCAGTTGCTGTGAATTTCCGGTCGTGAAAAATGAGTCGGTACTTTATTCGTGGGTGAATAGGCCTGTTAAAAATGGGTTGGTTTGGGCAAGTAGGATAGCGTGGAGTTGGGAAGTGCGTCGGCGATGTTGGATGCGCCTTTTTTGTAAGTGACTGTGTAGTGGAAGTTGGACTCCAGATAGTCCAACTTCCACGAAGGTACTGTAGGGATCGGTGGTCTGTCCGTACTGTCACGTCTGCTCCCGTGAGGTAACATCGCCACACCTTGAACGCGTGCACGATCGCCAGCATTTCGCGGTCGTGTATAGGATAGTTGCGTTCAGGCGGGTGAAGCTTACGGGACTCGTACGCGATTGGCTGAAGGCCGTTCCCGAAGTCCTGCAACAGTACCGCTCCCACAGTGATGTCGCTAGCGTCGGTGACGAGCTCGAACGGACGATGCGGATCTACGATGTTAAGTACAGGCGGTGAGCACAAAATATTTTTGAGGGCCGAGAAGGCAGCTTGCTCTTTCTCCCCCCACGTGTACTCAACCCCCTTCCTCAGCAGGTCGGTCAACGGGGCAGTCAGCTTCGCCATGTCGGGGACGAACCGGCGCACGTAGTTGACGAACCCAAAAAAACTCTGCAACTCGGTCAAGTTAGTCGGGGCGTGCCATGCTTGAATCGTCGCAATTTTTTTCGGGTCTATTTCCACTCCTGCAGCTGAAATGATGTGTCCCAAAAATTCCAGTCGGTCCTGTAAAAGCTCACACTTAGATGCTTTCGTCAGTAGGCGGTTCTCACTCAGTATCTTAAAAACTGCTTCGATGTCCTGTAAGTGCTGTGCTCTGTCGGGGCTGTAAATCAGTATGTCGTCCAGGTATACGATGACGCACTTATCTAAAAGCGGGCGGAAGGCTTCGTTCATGGTCATTTGGAAAGTGGCGGGGGCGTTGGTCAGTCCGAAGGGCATGACGGTGTATTCGAAGGATCCGTAGCGTGTTCGGAAGGCTGTCTTAGAGCAGTCGGGTGGGTTGACGCGAATTTGGTGGTAACCTCCCCGAAGGTCAATTTTCGAGAAAACCCGGGTTGTGCGCAGTTGGTCGATCAGTTCGTCGGCTCGTGGGATGGGGTAATGGGATTTGATGGTAACCCTGTTCAGTGCTCTGTAATCTATGCACATGCGAAATCCCCCGTCTTTTTTCGGCGTGAACAGTATCGGTGCTGCGAAGGGCGACGAACTTGGGCGAATGAACTCCTTCTCGAGCAGGTATTCCTGCTGCTTCCTCAGTTCGTCCAGTTCGGGTTGGGTTAGTCGGAACTGTCGCTGTACTGTTGGCTGTGCCCCCGGTTCTAGTTCTATCCTGTGGTCGTGCGGTCGCAGAGGTGGGAGTCCCGTCGGTAGGTCGTCCGGGAAAATGTCGCTGTACTGCTTCAACAGCGCTGCGAGATCACTTGGTACGTCGGCCAGCAGTTTCTGTAAATCCCCTCCTTTGTCTGCTGCCTCGTCTTCCCGAATGTCAACCGCGTACACGTCAGCTCCTGCCGCTACGTGTTAAGAGAGTAAGCAAAAGTAAGGTGCCAAAGCTAGGTAAACCCTAGCTAGGCAAGAGAGAATAAGCAAAGGAGGGGTTTCACTAGCAGCAGTTGGGATACATATAGCAAACCCTAACAGGGTTGTACTCGCTATAGAGCACCCCACTACAGGCTAGATAATAACATTCTGACACACCCCCATAGCCAAAGTGGGGTGTAATCAGCAGAGCACACATTCATAGAGCAGGTGCACAATTGCAAGCAAAGCTAGAGGCTATCACAGAGGGCAAGTGAGGAGGAGGATGAACTGTGGAAGGAGAGAAGATGGGAGGCAACGACTGAAGCTGCAGAGGCATGGGCACAGGAGCGGCTGACTCAGTGGCTACCGAAGCAAGGGCGACGGACTACTGGAGTGACTGGCTCCGCGGCTATAGACGAGCGGCAGGAGCAACAGACCCACTGGCGACTGGTGCAACAGGCTCATTGGCTACCGAAGCAAGGGCGACGGACTACAGGCACTGCAGGCGACACGACAGCTACCTTCACACAACCTCCTCCAACTGCCCCACACCCTCGACACACACCCCTTGCTGAACCCCTAACTCCACTCCCACGTCACCCCCCTAGCACCACTCCTTCGGCTCCCACACACCCACCCCCCTGAGCGGCAGCTGCAGCAGCGGGAGACGGAGGGAGGAGGAGGAGCAAGGGGAGGAACGCACAACCGCCACCCCCACACCCGCCACCCCCAAAACCCTAACGTAGGTAGGAGCGCAGGAAGCTGTAGGGACGGGTCACGGAGGGAAAGGGAGGCGGCGGGGGGTCTCCAGGGCGCCACGAAGGAGCAGGGCGCGGGCCCCCCGAGGGCGCCACGGCGGGTGACGGGAGGGGGGCCGCGCACGGGCCCACGAGGGCGGCTCGACGGGAGACGAAAGGGCCGCGCGCGGGCCCCCAAGGCGCCGCGACAAGGTGACGGTTGAGGCCGGCGCGCGGGCCCCCAAGGCGCCGCGACGAGGTGACGGGAGGGGCCGGCACGCGCGCCCCCAAGGCGCCACGACGAGGCGACGGGAGGGGCCGGCTCGCGGGCCCCCGAAGCGCCGCGACGAGGCGACGGGAGGGGCCTGCGTGCGGGCCCCCAAGGCACCGCGACGAAACGACGGGAGGGGCCGGCTCGCGGGCCCCCAAAGCGCCGCGACGAGGCGACGTTTGGGGCCGGCGTGCGGGCCCCC